TATGATTTGACATGGCAAAATGACCACAACTGTGGTTTAACAAGGCAGTTTTTTTCATGATCATAACTAAATGAGGTATAACTTGTTAATGGCATTTATAATATAAAATGTCATGGCAATAATAAGGACTATGTATGTAAATGTGACATGCAAATGTGGCATGCCATGGCATTTGAAATGATTATGTTAGTTTAAACAATGGTATATCATGGCATAGTGAACCTGTTATATATTGTAACCATCTTAAGTATATCACTGTATTCATATATAATGACCATGGTTTGCCATTCAAAAATCTTATTGCTAATGTAAAGAATAATACAAATACAAAGAATTTTTTACAGTAAAAGAAGGAAAATAAACATAATTTTATAGTTAACCAAAGAAATGATCAATTTATAAAAAAATATTTTGACCATTAAAAGTTTAGTATAACTGTAATATTTCATTTTCCCTTTCAACTATTTTCTAATATTTGCGTACACTAAAATTCCACTCATCAATTGTCAACAAAGGTAAAAAAAAATTATAATCCAGTTCTAAGAAAAATTGACCATGGAAATAATTTTAATTACTCCATGCATATCTCTTATTTTTTGCCCCCCAAAAAAAAGCAACAAACAAAAAAGAGCAATTTTTCCAATTTTGAAATTTCAAAACTATTTACTTCATAAAGTATTTCAAATAATAGCACAGTTTAAAAAATGTTAAGGTTGGGTCTCATTTCCAATCAAAATATTTCACCACAAAATATCAGGAAATATAGCACAGTGCGGACACCATCTGCATGCAAAATAAAACATAATTTATAATCTATCCAACAAGGTAACTAAAAATTAAACACTCTAACACAATTACTTTCGATACGATAAAACTTCTTAAAATAATATACTACTATAAGTTCGGCAGCGAAATTTTAACGCAGTCAATCATTATTTCCCAATAACATTATGACAACACTGTATGGAAATAATTTATAGTAAAACTTGGAAACATTCGAAGCGAGAAAGTTTCGTCTAAGCAGAGTTACGAAGAAAAAGACGGAATTTCCAATAACCACTTATACTACTAAATAATGTCCAGCATTGGTTATATATATACAAATTATTATTGAGTTAATATGTCACTACATCGTTAATTGTATTACTAGTACCTGACAACAACTTAAGTTTTTCTTGTCAAATTAGGAACAGCTTTTAATTTAACATTTACCATATAAAAGATATTTGTTTCATACCACAAACACTATCTGTTTTGTTTGCAAGGTCTCGCCAATATTATTCCCCGAACCCACCGAACATTATACCTGAGCATAAAATACCAATCAGACTACAACCAGCTGTGCCATCCAGCTCACTGTCGATATCAAATGTACAGGTCTGTCTCAGTAAATCAAGGTGTCAGAAATAACTTTCTTTATCCATATAATGAAATATTTAACTGGTGCTAATAATAACTTTTAAAACCGTCACTAAATCAGTGAAATTAAAAAATATATTGCAAAACTGTTCGGACTTTTGCTGATGGTATCCGGACATTTCATGATTTGCTCCCCGGACAGTGGCCCCCTCACACGTTTGCTCGGGTTGCCCCCCCCCCCTTTTTTTGCGGAGGCGGACAACAGTTACTGTCCAAGGTGCAAATGTCCTATGTGTAGCTCCATAGAGGATAAATATATTGTAAGGACTTATGCTCTACAGAGGGCCACCATGCAAAGATTTCACTGTAATATATTAACCTACAAAATATCTCCATCTTCTGTTTATATATTTCTATAATATACAGTATTTTAAATATATATAAATTGCATTAACCAACAGCTTTTTAAACAAGCTTATAATAAAGCATTAATTGTAATTTCTGAGCAACATAAAGGCGCCATTATTTTTAACATAGGCGCCATCATGTTTACCATTAACTTTGACTAAAACATTAATTTTACCTTCAACTTTTTCTTAAATAACACTGCAAAGCCAGAGATAAATCCAGAAACAAATTCCCTTGATGATGATGCTCATTGGCTAAATCTCCATTCAAATCATTCAAGTTATTACATATAGTCTGGTTAAACAGTTTGAAAGAAAATAAAATCTTATCCATGCACACTCCTTACTGTAACTAAAAATAGAAACTGACACAATGTACCATGGCAGGGATAACGTATTTTATTGAATTTTTCATTATCATGTACATTTTCTTTGTGACTCTTGACGATTCTATAATTGTAAATGTGATAGTTACTAAATTACAGCTACATGTATAATGTCAGGTGATTTCAGACTGTCAAATGTGTGACAAACTCTGGTGACAGTAATCTGCTCTTAAATCTCAGGCAGGGACTTTCCACCCTGCAGTGCTTTATATCACTTTTTTTATTGTTTCACTAATTGGCCCCTTTTCTCAAAGAGAGAAATAATAGTATAATTCTTTATTATTATTATAAATACTGCAGTAGAGACTTTCTTAATAAAAATGTTTTACTCTGCATTATTATAATGTTTTGGCTTAAATTAAATTCAATTCTGAAATTCATCATGAACGTTTTTGTACATTTGCCTCTAAGACGATAATGTAACAGGGCCAGCTTGTTTTATGCAACAAAAACAGCAAAAAGATAAACAAAGGAAAGCAAACGTTCATGGAACACAGATGGGACCTCAGACAACATACAGTTTATACTGGTACACCAGTCACATTTAAGAAGGCAGCTTGAAGGATGAAGCCAGGAGGAAGGCAAATTTATAAAGGATATCAAATATACAGCATTATGAATATGATTATGACAAGCCTCAGGTAAGTGACCATATAAAATAAAATACAAATTGTCTACAAGATTTTTTCCCTAAGGAAAATAAGAAAACAAAACATTTAAGTAATACAAAAACATCTTTTCCACCCTTGCTATGAAAGTGGCGTTGTGGCCGAGTGGTAAATGCGTCGGACTAGTAATCTAAGGATTGCTGAACCCTTGTCAGGGGCAGGCTGTTATTTCCTTGAGCAAGAAACTTTACATTCATTGCTTTATAGTACTGGTTGGTTCCAGGAACAGATTCAAGAGTGTTTCAATAAGCTTATAGCTTCTAACACAATCAAACTAAAATAAATTTGTATAATTTTACTAAACTAACACCGTGCCCTTTCCATAGTATGTTACAATATTACAAAAAAAATAATTACCGGTAGATGCATTATGACCATCATCCACTAATGGTCAAATTCTGGTCACTGACCACATAACGTACAATTTTTCAGGTCAAGGTTGACACTTGCCTTACATTGTTGATATGTTATTGTTATGCATTAATCCATTACCTTGCTAAAATTTCTAAGGAGACTTGCCCCATCTTTTCATTTCTGCGACAGTATAATTATTATCAATATTTTGAATATCAAGATGAAAATATAGTAAAGTAGGGCCTGGCCAGACTGCTTGGATACTGCTGGCAAAGCTCATCACTTTCAGGTCCATCAGGGTAAGGGTTAAAGAAATAGTTTGGGCTGATGTTCATAGAAAATCTTAAGTGTATTCTTAGTCCTAGGACATAAAACCAACTTTAGGACTCACTTAAGACGGTTTCAGTAAAGGTTTTTCCCTTCAGTAAAGGACTGTAGACTATACATGCAGTTCATTCTATTTTCCAAAGAAAAGTTCAGAAATACAATGACAGACCCTTTTATGAGAAATTTGTGTAATTACTCATCTGTATACAGTAATGTTATTCAGAAATTACAAGTCACAAAAGAGAAGTCATAAGTTATATATAGGACAATTTCTTTGCAATGCAAAATTGCCTCAGTTTTGGTCTTTAAACACCGATTTCAGACTAAGGACTTTCTAAGAAACACAACACTGTACTTACTGGTAAGAGCTGCTTGTTCCAAGTGATAGCTAAATATTCAACATATTAACTCTTAAAAACAACACTTGAACAATGTATACCTTATATGCCACTCTATCTTTTATTGACATATAACATTGATTTATATCTATATAAATATTTATTTAATTGTCAGCCTACTGTTTTGTCTAAAAAAACTTCTGACTTTTTTTTTAACCATTTATTCCTTTTTACAGTGGCTGTTTGGATAAACAAAGCATGCATACTAAAAATTTGTCAATGATTAAGTCGATTTACCCTAAGCACACTAAAAATGCAAAATGGACTTTTTGTGATATTTCAATGTGGGCAAAACCATTTACATGTTTTTACAATAAATTTAAGAGTAAGCACTGACTGAATAGGGAACAGTGCAGACCATGATCATATGGCATGAAAATGTTAGGTGATGTTGATCAGCACTAGTCACCACTTAGAAACTGTTATTAAACTTCATTATTATACAAGGTACATGTAATTAAGATGGCCCAAAATCGCTCAAATTAATGAAATACACTGCTAAAAAAGGCATTAAAGATCACTCAAATGAATGAAATACACTGCTAAAAAAGGCATTTTGTGAGAAGATTTTTGAAGATTTTGTGAGAAGATTTTTGAAGATTTTGTGAGAAGATTTGTAAAGTTTTTGTTATTTAAATCTATTTTTAGCTGATCTGTTCACCGACTTTAAATAATGCATCAGATTGGACCTGACAAATATAACTTTCTTAGAGGGCCATTTAAGGCTGGACCATACGTTTGGCTTAAATTTACCATGTGGTTTAAGAAGAGATACGATAACAACAGATGGCAGATATTGACCAGTGACACGAGTACTCTGCGAGATCACGTGAGCTTACAACAAAAACAACTGTCAAATGCATTGACTGTTTCCAGTTTTTGAAATGCTTTTACTATTGAATTTTATAAATAAATTAATAATATCAATAAAATGTAAGTCCTGGTGAAAGCAATTATTATTTTCTTTATTTTTTTGTATTCAATTGACAATGTCAAAATAATTTTCTTGTTAAATTTAGTTCAATAACTCTGAGAAAATAATTTTTTTGTACATACAGTCAAACAATAATACCTTTTCAATGTAAAATTATTTTTTATTACCTGTGCCACTTGTGTTGAAGTAATTTGTTCCCTCAAACATTTTCTTAAATGATAGGTCAAGAGGCCTACACAGACAATTAATGTTACTCAATACTGAATAATATTCCAAACTAACAAACACAATTGCTTTTTACTGAAATTTTGCTCTTAAACTTCGATCCTCAAGACATCAGTCCCTCATGTGATTTAAGAACATGCCAACTAATAATGGACTTATGTAACTTTACTCCCATCCTTCCATCAGAACATATAAATGTTATATAATACTCTTAACTCAGCATAGTACAAAAAACAAAACAAAGAAAACATTCATTTTACAGCTTACGAGTTTCTGCTAAAAAAATGCAACACTACAATCTTGAAATTTCACTATTTCTATTTATTTATACAGAGCAAATCTTGCATAATTACATTTAACCAGGCGATTTGTTACATATATATACTATTCGGCTTACACAGTACATGTGAACTTATCCCACCTTATCGTAAAACTATAATAATATTCAGGTCAAGTTCATGACTTCATCATTGTAGTCAAACGTTTGGCAAATATAATACCAAAAGTATAGACTATAGACTACCGGCCAAACATAAATCTGTCTCTCTCAGATCAACTTAAATTGCTTAATGTAGCATAAATAATTTCTGTTTAAAGCTTTTTGTCACAAGTCTTTACATAATGTGAGCATATTAAATTAATTGTGTTATCAGATGAGATAGTCAACAAGCACTGAGTAAATAAAAGTTTGAGCCCGATCTTTAGAGAAACAAAGTTAATCAATTTAAGGAAATAAAATTAATTCTCTCATTCATAAAGTCGTCCTTACATTATTCATATAATTATACATGTACTCAGAACAGAATCTGGAACAATATAACAATAAATAGCAGCTATTGATAACAATTAAAATTTACAAGCAGGTTGGGCAATTTTCACTGTAAATTTAAAATCTTTAGTTGCCTTGCAACAGAAAACCTGCTAGATTTTTTTTCCCAGTCTGAATAGTGCTAGTTTTGACCGCTGAAAAGGAAAAAGTTTTAGGTACTATCAAGGGTTCTAAAATTCAATAAATAATGGCATTTGACATATTACCACTCACAATCTTCGAGGTCTTAAATCTTTAGGATCTTCAAGACAAAAAATATTTTTTAGAGATTGGTTTCTGTGCTCAAACAAAAAGAAAGAGGGTACCTAGTTGTAGGTATGAATTTTTATTTTTCTTCCTTACATTTTCTGGACACATTATTTGTAAAAGATCTTATTTTGAGAACATAATTATGTACATGCATAAGATCAACAAAATATTGTCCATTTCTAAGATTAATCTTCATTCTTGACAATAATATAACATATCAAAAATAGTAATTGTTTGTGCTCAGTTATTATGAAAGTAACTTTAATTCAATTTTTGGCACACTGATTGAAGATATTTTAATTTTAGTTTGCAATTCTATAGAAATATCAATTCCATAAGAAATTCGAATTTTATTAGTTTTTTTTCTTAACCGGCTTACCCTGCTTTATAAAGTGGACTTGCCTGCTTTGAATCAGGGACAGTCCATTAGGAAATTAAGGCAAATTTAATATCAAATTACAAAAATTGGGATATCAACAGTGTAGGGCCAAGTCAGACTGTACCAAAATGGCCTGCATCTACTCTAGAGAGAATGACTAATCACTTTCAGTGTCAAGCAATTTAAGTAGGGTAAAGGTACTGTGGCTTAAGTATAGCTATTGCCAATTTTGGTCGACTTTTTAACTCTCTATCACTCAGTCATTATGCAAGAACATGTAACATTGAATAAAAACTTTTGACCATAAAGTTCAGTTATCGAGTATGTAACTAATCTTTGTCACTGAAGAGTGGACAAAGGTCAAGTGATAGGTCAGTCATTTGTACATATTTGTGTTGTGTATTATTCAAACAACTCTAATATATTCAAACATGGAATATAACAGTGGCATATGCAACTATCTCCATTTAGTGATACATATATGAGTAGTTACAGTACATACTGCAATAAATTAGAAATTTAGATATACATGTATCGTCACCTTATTGCAAAAATTTAAATCTAAATTTGACAGGAGTTAACCTGTTATTGCACTACTTAGGTGATAATGTATACATTGTACATGTACTTCAATACTGTAAACAAAGTCTGGACCACTTCAAACTTCTATTTTTGCAAGCAAAGGTCACTTCAGTAACAATGTAACTGACAGATACCACACTAAATAGTATACATTCATATCTTTAATAGACAAGTCCAATATACAATGTATATTAATTTTGTATACAAAACTTCAATGCCATTTATTACCTCAACTGCCCTTTAGTTGATAATTATGATAAGTTGAAAAAGGCATTATGATATATTTAAATTATGTTGCATTTGATAAACACCTTCAATGCTTTGTACCTATTGTCTCAATGACACTGGTTGTAATGTATCTGTCAAGATACAGTTGTGGAATGGCATTGCTATTCCTAAAATTTTAATAATATAATTAAAGATTTAAGTATAATGAAAAAGTGCCAAAGAAGAAAATTTGTACAAGTGCATTTCTTTTTATTGAAGAAAAGATACCACATTGTACAGGTTACCACATTTTATAAAGGTTACCATACAGTACATGTATATGTAGGTTTACATTGTTATTATAGGTTACACCATTGTATACAGGTTACCACATTGTATACAGGTTACCACATTGTATACAGGTTACCACATTGTTTATATATGTTACCACATTGTATACAGATTACCACATTGTTTATATATATTACCACATTGTATACAGGTTACCACATTGTTTATATATGTTACCACATTGTATACAGATTACCACATTGTTTATATATATTACCACATTGTATACAGGTTACCACATTGTATACAGGTTACCACATTGTTTATATATATTACAACATTGTATACAGGTTACCACATTGTATACAGGTTACCACATTGTTTATATATGTTACCACATTGTATACAGATTACCACATTGTTTATATATATTACCACATTGTAAACAGGTTACCACATTGTTTATATATGTAACCACAATGTATACAGATTACCACATTGTTTATATATATTACCACATTGTATATAGGTTACAACATTGTTTATACATACATATTTTACAAAAACAAGACATTATAAACAGGTTACCAAATTGTATACATATATTGCCACGTTGTATACAGGTTACCACATTGTATATGTGGTATATATGTCCAATTATAACAGAATACAAAAATTAAATCTTTCAGTTTTTAAACATCAATCTTCAAAGTCAATATTGATTAAAAATTAGATCTCTATGACATTTTTAAGGTCTCTAACCAAAAATAGGGATTGTTTTTTTTTAGTCTGTAATAGATTTTGATAAGGTCTCTCACCAAAAATAGGGATGTTTTTTCAGTCTGTAATAGATTTTGATATATGTAGATTACAATATTAAACATATGTTCAATAAAAAATCTATCTGCATTATTTACTGTAACCAAGTTTGAAAGGTACTGGAATGCAAAATGTACTAGAAATATCAAACTACATGGCAAAAATGCTTTAGGTGTCAACTATGGTCAACCTAAAATAAAGGATTTTAAGCAAAAATGACAACTTGACATTGTTATATCAATCTTCCTATTTCGGAAGAAAAAATTGTCAAATTATATCATGTGCCTGTCAAATTTAACAGTTTCGCTATGATGATGATTGAGACTCACTCGTTTTCTAGTTTGTAGTGGAATAAACAGCCTCGGGCATGCTGACAAAGTAATTACTCATGCATTTCAATGAAAATGATATGCACAATGATAAATTTGTTATAAATTCTTGAAGTTGTATTTCTATTGCCATTAAAGATTAACTGATTATCACTGGAATTTGTGATACATGTACATTATTAATTCATTTACTAAAACTGGCAGTAAATACATGGAGCACTCTGCACAAAAGTCTCCTTCAATTGCACATTCCTTTAATGAGTTATAATGAAAATTAACATTTTTTTCTGTATGTTTTCTCAAAAATATTTTAAAATGAATTTGATCAACAGTTCCTGATACAGAGTATATAAACAGTAAATGTAAATGTCTGGTAAAAATATACTTACATAGTGGAGAAATGTTTCGGCGATCGGTCTATTTACCCCAAGACACCCCTTAGACTACCCCAAGACTACACCAACACTACGTCAAGACATCCAAGACCACCCAAGACACTTTACTGACATGTAAATACATCTTAATTTTACATTTTTTACCTGAGGTAAAGTAGTTCTATGCCATTTCACATTTACGTGTACATTGAATCTCTCTTCATTTATTTCCCTGTCTTTTTTAAATGTAAGATTATAAATATATAATCTTTTTTGTGCAAAATTGTTTACAACAATGAAATAATCAATCATATTCTGTTTCATAATATTGATTTTTTTATTTAATCTGCCCCTTATGTCATTGGATTAACAGATTAACATGCATAGTCTTGTTTATATTTCAGTAGATCTAAAGTTAATTTTAATCAAAATATTTTTTATATAAAAGAGCATAGATCTATCAATAAATATTTTAGTGATGACAGTTCTAAGTCCATACATAATGATATTAACAATATTTGATATACGGTATATTTGATTGTAATTAACAAGATGACACGTAAATAATCATTTGTCGTATATAATAACACTTTCCCAATTTACACAGATATATAAGTTTCTTGGGGTGTCTTGGGGTAGTCCTTGGACTAAAAATGTGTATCTTTCTGTTCCAGAGTGTGTGTTTGGGTGTCTTGGGATATCTCGTGCCGGTGTTAAATAGACCGACCCATGCTTTAGGAGCAAAATCAAACTCAAGAAAAGGGGACACCCCTTATTATGTAACAACGTTCTGTGACATTAAAAATATGAAGTCTTTAATAAATGGGCCTACTGGTCACGTCCGATAAATTAATATCAAAAAGATCTAACAAATTATATGTCGTTTAAATCAATTTAGAGGTTGTCATCAAAAGAGCTAAATCAATGTTTACATTTTGACCCAGTGGTTCACGTGTTTGTCCCAGTTACCTAAATTTTGACAGGTAAAACTGACAGAAGTTTATCCACAGTTTTACAGTATTCAAATGGTGAATCTTACCCAAAATACAAAAAGTACACGATTTCATACTTGTCAATTAACAAATTGCATGCAAATATTACCTTAATAGCGACAATTACTTGATTTTTTCCTATTTTTCCGTTTCTTAACACCACGATCTCACGAGTGGCCTTGACCATAATATTACACGCATTCTGATTGGTTGATTCTACAGTACATGTTAAAAGATTTAGGTTACTTCCCTTGAACAAGAGATGTTCCACTGAATTTATTCGCCCACTAACGAAGCACAGTTCTCTATGCACGTGAAAATTAATGTCATTAAAAAAGTATAATACCCGTATGTTTGAGGGAAAGTTAAATTTAAAAAGATATACATTGATCTACTTAGAACACGTTTTCTGTGCACAAATTATTATATAACAGAGACATAGACAGCTCCTACAGTAGATATATAGATCTACTCCACTAAAACATCACTCATGCCTATCAAAAAGTGAACAATTAGGCAATTTGTAACAAATTAAACTTAATGGATGTACATTTGATCCTTTAATATTACATACCGTTTGAAAGGTTAATCTTTTATCTATTGCTGCAAGTTATTAAAATATTGGTAACTTTCCATGCCTTTCACTTAGAAAAACATAGCAGAACATACCCACTGAGCCAGTTTTTTCGTCATATGAATATTTTTGTAATAAAAATAAATTTCTCTTTAAAATTGATGTATCATTTGTTTAAATGGCCACTGTAAATATTTTTACCTGCAGCCATAGACAAAAGCACAAACTTTCAGAAAATGTATTATTTTACTGATTTTTTGATAGCTCGTTAATGAATAAGTTATCTATGTCTCTGATTTTAATTAGTTGTTTAATGCATACAAAAATATGTAACAACAAAGAACAATTGTTAAAAAATATAGACAGACTATGAAAACTGTATTCAAATTTTTAGGAACATTTTCTTGGCTTGTGGACAGATTTTCACGCCACTCGTGAAATATACCTTTTGCTGCTCACTAGGTGAAATATATTCCGATCTTACAACTGAACGAAACAAATATCCTGTATTTATTGTTAAATATATAAAATCATTTCGCTTGTAAACGGATATTTACTACAAAAGTTCCCTACAGTTGAAAAATACATGTATAGAGGATATTGAATGAGTGTAAGTTCAATACTGAATTTATTGCACGAGTTGAATAAAATAATATTATGCTCGCCAGAAAGGCTCGCATAATATTATTTTATTCAACTCGTGCAATATATTCAGTAATGACCTTACACGAATTTAATATTTTATTTATAACATACCCAAATAAAGACCGTTTAAAGTGATATAAGAGTCATTTTTCATGGACGCGCCTACAGTATAGTATACAGTAACGCTAACATTTAGCGCGTCTTCACATAGAGGATATTTGTTTGTTTTGCATGTAAGATTGAAATATAATTTCACTGAGTGAACACCAGATGCAATATTTTCACGAGTGGCGTAGCAACGAGTGAAAATATAATAGCTGGTGTTCACGAATGAAATATATTTCAATCTTATATGTAAAACAAATAAATTTTCTTTTTATTTTATGCTTTTTAAGTGATTTAAGCTATTTTTTACTGATTTTGCAGCGTAACGTCGCGCATTCTCCTTTGTGACGTAAATTGTATGTATCAACTTTTCTACAGATATTTCGCAGCTATCGTAAATAAAATGGCTCGTTTTTGTTGTATATTCTTTATTGTTAATGTATGAAAAAAATCATAAACTTTGTACTTTGCACTCCAGATGAGCTAAATGTTGACCCTGATTTGACCGTTAATCCTATTGACAAAATTTGTGGCGAATTGATTGTAAATAACTTGTGTTAAAGACCTTGCTCTATCTTCAAACGCGGTTATTTCTTTTTATATTTCAACGATATATTGTAATGTTAAAATTTCAAACTTAATCGGTTACTGCGATAAATGTCTTACAATATGGCATCGAATCGAGAGAATATATCGTTGGCGCGATAGCAGAGATCTTAAGTTTGCCTGTGCAAGTTTCAAACCCGAGATATAGAAATTATATTGCAATAATCAGTAAATGTTCAATTCTGATATGTTTAATCTAGGTCGGTCATGTTTATAAGTATATATGCAGCTTTTTAATCAAAGTTTGCTGAATTTTAACGTGATATTGCGCTTCATGATATAAGTGAATAGAAATCAGCGGTTTATTACCTCCCTTGTGACGTTGAGAAGACGTTAAACGTCACAGAACCAAGACGCTGATTCCATAGTAACGTCACATTTGTTTGGAGGATTAGAGTGATGTTGATCATGATATCGTCGTTTTACTCTTAAATTAAAGAATAGTCCGACGATAAAGTAAGAAGATTAAGATACCATGGCAACGAAAACCGTAGGGGATAGTTTTCCATACAAGTTGCTAGACCAAGCCTTTAAGAAACATGAGGCGTCTGACAAGTAAGTCATAAGCAATATCGCGTTTCCCACTTTTATCTAATTCTCACAATTTTTTTTTTATAATTATATAATTCTTATGGAAACGCCGAACATGGCGATGAACTTTGTGAAATATTTGTGCTATCTTGAATCTTTGAAATCTTGTTAAAATGATCTTCCGACAATATAAGGGCGTCTGTGTCTTTAGTAAAAAATATGATAAACAAGATCAACAAGGAAAGGCGGCGTTCAATGAACGTAACAACCATATGACTCAGCAACAAGAACGAATGGCCAGGAGCCCAGGCGGACCCAAAACAAAAACAGGACAGGGCAATCAATGGTTAATCAAAGAAATAAAAACTAGAGGCAATGGGGAAGATACTTACCGTAGACGAGAAAACAACAAGGGACACAAGCAAAAGTGTCACCAAAACAGTATGAAACAGCATAGACATACATCTGAGGAACACAGTGGGGCGCCGCCTTGGAACGGTCAGCAGCATAATAATGACTGCTGGAGAGTTTAAACCGGTTAATGGTGCACCAAACCTAGCTCTTAGCCCCACCATGTTCCTTTAAACGAGACGGTGTAAATAAAATGAATCCCCGCCAAGTGAAATTCTAACAGTTGTCATGGTAACAAAAGGTTAAATAAGTAAAACACTAAAATGATCATGTAGAAACATATAAAAGTAAACCCAATGACCATAACAAAATTACTCAATGTCCTAAAGGAAGACAGAGCAACAAGAAAATCACCTACAAGGGCCCGACGAAGCAAGGCAGAAGACGAAATGCGTTTCTTCTTAAACAATTAAGAAAAGATTTTCAATTATTTGATATGAATTTTCATTTTTGAATCTGTAATTAAAAGGATGAAGCATTAACAAATTAATATATGTATTTATACATACATCTAGTTTTCTTATGGGAAACGGTCGATACTTCACTAACTATATAACGCATGTGATATGTAGTTTTTTTGGTAAATGACTAAAAATAAAGAAATATAATTTATATGACTCCAGTAATTTGAACCCGTTTTGTCGCCTCTTACGAAACGGTTATGGAAAGCCTTGACTGTCTTATAATTATAAACCTAAAAGTTGCTATGGCCAAATAGCAATATATTGAGTCAACCTTTTCTGATACAATGTGCACTCATGAATATATTATGTGGAGCCATCCTGATCTATAGTCAACCGAACAATATATGATGTCAATGTATCTCTTTATATGATGTCAATATATCATTATACTATGTGCATTTTTGAATATATTATGTGGAACCAGCCTTATTTAAGGTCGAAATAACTATACATCATGTCAAATTGTCCTAATATGATGTCAGTGTGACATTATAACATGTGAAGTTATCAATATATTATGTGGAACCAATGTGAAACTGTGAATTCTTACAATAGTTTACGCGGAGCTCCACATTCATACTCTTTCTGAAGGGATCCCTATACGGTGTGACAGAGCCCACCTACTGATTATAATTACCTACAATTTCTATTATAGATTAGGACAGAAATTTCACGTGGTTTTGGGGTGTTGTAAACATTCAACTAAGCGGGAACACGGGTTCTTTTCATTCTGCACAAAACCATTCATATTTTACGAAAATTTCCAAAATAATTCCTGACCGAATAACAATAATGCAGATCACCAATCTTGGTTTTCTCTGGCTACAAAAGTAGACCAGCAGGTTAAAGTAGTAGCTGTTTAAAGGGAAATACATGTACATGTCAAACGATCAGATCATTTTTGAACCGCGACTCATCATATTAAAGTTGTGCGAGTAAAAATTTATATCTGTATGAATTAACATGCTATGTTAGATATTTATTTAGCACAGGACATGAGAGTTGAATTATTCCGGTATATGTGAACTTTTCTACACAATATACTTGTACATTTCTCCATTAATCGTGTCATACAGTATATGTAGGCAATCCGAATTCGTAAGGAAATCCAAAATAACATTTTTTTTCTTTATAGTAACGAAGTGATAAATTCCTAATATTTTCTTGGAAAGAAGAATCAAGTTATATAAATTTTAGAAATTGAGTACTTTCGTGTAAGATAATTATATCTATATTGAGCGATTTAGAATTACTTGAATGACAAGTTGTTCACATAACCTTTGTTTTTAATGAAGCCTTTATTTTTTTAATGACCTTATCTGTATTGTCTGTATAATGTTATAAAATAATCAATTTTGTTTCGTAATGTTTGCCTTTCTTTCTGCAACCAGAATTTAATGTCACGATTTTAAAAATTAACAACAACTCCTACACCAACAACTACAAAATAAATAAATAAATAAAAAATAAATAAAAAAATAATATAAATAAATAAATAAAATAAGATAAGATAAGATATAAACATATATTAAATAAGATAAGATAAATACCTCTGTTTATCCAATTCTTAAGCAACGGATTCTTTTCGGATGGAATGATGTATAAAACTGTGGTGCACTTCCGGTTTGCAAAACGCGGGTACAGGACCGCAGAACAAAGCATTTGTCGCGATATACAGCTGCTTCATATTGAAATGACATCTTTTGAAAGATGTTTGAGATGTAACAAAATTGCTGGTAATTACGACCATTATCTAGAGATTTGGCGCATCTCCCCAGACATGATTTCTAATTTGAGGTGATAAAAATTTGAAAAGGATGATGGTAGACTAAGAAATAAAGCAATAGAAAGTGTGTTTATGAATGTACTGATTTGTCACTGTATGGACAGTATAATTATAATCATAAACGGACCTTTTCATTTATAACACCGTTCAATTTATTACTAAGATTAACAAATTTTGTTCTAGTTAGGCTATCTGTCTGAACTTTATTAAACTTCATTCGTTACCGCCCTCCCATTTATTTAATAATTACTAGACTTAAAATATTTAATTTCATCTGTTTGTTCTTCCGATCATTCATTCATTAATTCATGTCATTTCATTCATGTCATTTCATGTCATTTCATTCACTCATTCATTCATTCATTTATTTATTCATTCATTCATTTATTCTTTCATTAATATCGTTTCATTTCATTTCGTTTCATTTCGTTTCATTTCGTTTCATTCATTCATTCATTCATTCATTCATTCATTCATTCATTCATTCATTCATTCATTCATTCATTCATTCATTCATTTCGTTTCATTCATTCATTCATTCATTCCAATCAAATTAATGAACATAACTGATATATTGATGGAAGTAAACTGATGTCGCCATTCAGCAATCCCGCAAAAGAAACTCAACTTAGATTTAGTGACAACTCTTTTAAGAAATTTGTATGGTCATTAAAACTTTCTTTCAAATAACAATTATTCAATCTTAAGATTTTGTGTGAATTAGACACAGGAATTCAGGTAAAAGTTAAATGGCGGTATGGTGCATGAATCAAAATGGCCGCCATATAACGCGATCGAAATATACTTTCGGTCCCTTCACCTCATAAAACTTCAGTGGAGTCCCTTTAATATTGGGTTAACTTTTTTTTTCAGGTTTCGAATATTCCTCACCATGAAGATTGCTGAGCGTGCAGAAATTGAGATGCAATATATCAAGCAATTACAGAATTGGGTGAATGATCTCAACATACAGACGGACAGAATGTGTCACCCAACTGGTAAGTTTTTTATGACATAATTGTTCTATGTAATGTCACTCGAGGACACAAGAATGACATGGGATTGCTCCACATTGATATGTCAGCCATAGAGACGTGGGGCGTGGAGCTCCAAACACCTTAAAATCCAAATATATTGTAAATTTGTCCATCCCAGCATATACATGTACATATCATATTTATCATAAATAAAAATATGAAAATTGATGTCCGGGTATACCCTTTCAGCTATTTATTTCTAAAAATACTTACGTACTTCTACTAAAAGTCTAAAACTAACATCGCTTTCATATCTGACACTAGTACGTGTTTTATATTTGGAAACATAGAATGGGAATTTAAGGGGAAATAAACATATAACGTGCCAAATGATGTCATATAGCATCGTGATGGTGATAGAACTAGGTAAAGCTGTCAAGTTTTGTCGAACCTTTCGTCTTACACGTTATCTTCAGGATGGTGATCGCGTGACATTTGTTTACGGCACCACACCTGCTATACGATATTTTCTCGTCATGTCTTTCATTATTTGACTAATAAACATCATGAACACAGTCATATCATGTTCCAGGTATCATTTGCCGATTCCAATGGTATATCACTTTCCATTTTGGCTCTTTTACTGCAGAAATTCTTCAATATAGTACCTATAGAAGGAATCATAGTAAAACTATATATGTTCTAGCAAGTTGGGTGTACACCTTACTTTATGTCATTTGATCACTATAATCAATTTTATCATTTGATATTTCTGAGGCCATTAAGGGCACACAAGAGTTTGTGAAGAAAGTATCAAATAAGAACGCAAATATGGTAAATTATTGTACTAATCTAACTTGATACAGAAAAGGCGAATAAGGAAGAGTACTGGATTACTACTCAATTTTGATTTGGAATTCATCAATAGTCTATCGCTTGTTATGATTTTTGTCACTTGCGAAGATAATTTATAAGTAATTAATTGCTAGTTATCCGGGAAAGCAAGGTAGGTTGACCAGCCGCCGAAGTATGACCATAATGTGTCAGAATCGGCGTAAAACCCAATCAACCAAATATTAATCTACACCCAAAAAGATATCAGATGAACATGACTATTTGTTGTCATTTGAAGCACATAGGTTAAACATTATTTAATAAAACAAATAAGCATACTGATCCAAATGTATATTTTTTTTATTTTTAACAATTTTTCTATAGCGACATGCCATAAATCATAATACCACGGATTTATATTATAAATCTGTGATAATACCTTTACAATTTCAGACCAATATTTAAAGAGCGAGCTCATGTCAAAGATTCTTGGGAGCATGCGCAGTGAGGCAGCGGAAGTCGTGGAATCCCGGCAACGTGTCTACAACCTCCTTATGTCAGAGCATGGACCTTATTCTAAATTACAAATGTAAGAAATACCTCAATGGTTTCTAATAGTATAATCAACTATGATTGTTATATCATATTTATGTACAACAATTAGCCATTAGCGCCCAAATCAAGTTAAGCACTGTGCTCATGCTTGCCTTATTCATTATCTGATGTGTCTGCAGTAAAGCGAACGAATAGATGTTTTTGCCTCGATTTTCAACACATAGTTATCTAGATTTGTCAATTTTCTACACATGTAGGTTGTCAATAAATTGGTGTTTGGAGGAATATTGATAATGTGAACCACCGCGCTTTTAGACGTTTTCGTTTAGTCTCTAGATGGTCACTTAAATGAACATGTTTGTTAAGAGAACATTAGATGATGGTCTTGTCCTTCAACCCTAAGTTACCCTTCTGTACTTGACTTTGCTCTGCTTCGAATTTATAGCATTCAATTAGTGTAAAAATAATGCAGAGAGCAGTACGGTGACTGGTTTAACTGTAAGTTACGTGTACATGTTTCACCTGCTGGACTGGTTTTCTTCTGGTGACAAAATCTCGTTGTTATTTTTCGCTTGTGTAAAATCTACAATCTTTTTAGAAATTAAACCAGAGGTCTTCATTTGAACGTATTTATTTTTACAACTGTCCAAAGAAGTGACTTCTAAATTACATTTCTGTGTAAAAAGCCAGATCATTTTGATGACTATTTGAGAAATTCTTAGTGATTCACACTTAGAATTCTGATGGTAAATATTGCATTTTTCTTACCTAAGTGAATCTTGTTCATGCACGAGACGTGGGAGGTTTCAACTAATAAATTCGTCTTTATTCTATATATTTTCTTCAAAATGAGTACAATACATGTATAAGCTTAACTTATTACGGTATAAATAAAATGTCACCTAAAGTAATAGTATAATGATGCTAGTTTGCACGCGACATCTCGTGACGTTACGTAAAGTTAAATCGTAAGGACTAAGTAACGCACCCAATCTAAAATATAGCAAACGAAATAGTATTTTAAACTTTCAAGTGGCGTTCTTTATGATACATTACTATTCACGTTGTTTTTGGTCCGTAAAAAGTCGCGAAAAAGGCTTTAAAAAGCTCCTACCACCTTAGCAGTATTGACCATTAACTGCCAATTTTATGTCGTGTTTGTCGGATTTTCGCCCTCCACATTGCCAGTGCTAAAAATAACCTGTGATATGCCACATTGATTTGGTAATTTTGTCTTTTGTCAAAATCGACGGAACGACAAACGGAACTTGGTGTCGTTCTTATGTTAAATCTTAATATGTCGTGTTTGCGATCTTGAATCATGGTTCCGTCGTGTCCGTGTATTGTCTTTCTGGCTGGATGCCAAAAACACGACAACTGTAAAAGTTTATGTGTTGATGCAGTGATAAGTGAACAGCATTAAAATAACTTAATATTTTGGTACGTAACGAAGATGGCTGATCTGGTAACACCGTTTAACTGGAATCAAAAACCCGTGCACAATTCTTTAAAATATGAACTAGTTCTTAAGATATATAACTACTGGTACTTTTTTCGGCACTTTTCGTCAAATTTATGAATCGCCGAGACCTTAAAAAGTTAAAATAGTTTTAGAAGAAGTTTTACTACAGCTCTCTTATTTTCAACGAATGTTTTTTTTTTTTTTTTTTAATATTTACAGCTTAAATGAAGGAGATGAGGAGCAAAACATGAAGATGTTGGAGAAAGATTTTCACAAACGATACGACAAAAGAAACCACATCGCCATGGCATACAGAAACTGCACTGAGGTAGGTTGTTATAAATCACGTGACGTTCTTGTTCATGACTGACTACGTGACGAATTTCTGTAATGCATATATGTTACGTGACGTATTTATATAACCCGCTATATAAACATTATCTTGTTACTTGTGTAATGCGTCACCTGTTGTTGTTTTTTATGTTGCATAAAACATTGTAATAGACTTCGTAAAATGTTGTTTTTAAGACATGACTCTTAGTTTAGTCTTTACGCAAACGGCACTTACCTATATATAAGTCAAGTTTGTTTTTGAAATCTCGTTTCCTATGTGAGTGGGCACGACAATATCAAATTTAATTAAGACATTTTTTATTCGTTCTAAGCCCCGAACTCTCACACAGGGCGTATAATTAATAGATCATTATATTTCCTCGTATGTCATTCCATGCTTCATGCGTGATAAATCATTTGGCGCAATATTTCGCAAACGACAGTCATATTGCTGGTGAATTCGAGGCCCGATTTTTATTAGAAATTCTTTTATACCATTATGCGGCTTCTGTAGATGATAGATTCTTTCTATTTTAGTTTAAAATCCTCTTAAAATAGAAGAAGTTAAGGGTGTATTTTAAATTTGTCGGAGGTATTTTCTAAAAATGATATGTACTCGTAGTTTAGCTGTCACGTGATGACCTAGAAATCCTTTACGCAACTGCCATTGAAACCATAATTATTGTCACGCCATGCTACAGAAAACCATATGTGATAACTATATTGGATATCACTAGGTTTCGTATAATGTCGCGCAAGGTTATAAATCTATATACAACACGTGTCAAGAAAGAAAACAAGAGCTGTCACTGGGACAAAACGCTCGACTTTGAATAATGGTTTGATTTTTAAAGGTTTGAAGAACAATTTTGTTACAGTTACGATTTTGTCAAAAGTATACAATTAAGTCCTTGGAGACATTTGCAAAGTTTTAAGTGTCAGAATCTTAGTGGCTGTGAAGATAAGAATCGCTTGAAGAACTCAAATTGCCAACACTGTTACTGTGTAATGAACTGGAGATAGATATGTGGAAACAAACAAACAACAACAACAACAACAACATAATAAATGTCACATGACCTCGGCTGTCTCCAGCTGATATCCATACGCAGTTCCGATAATATTATAATCCCGGCCACCCATTCCTGATGGACAACGAGTTTTTACCTTGTGTCTTTCTCCGTTGTGTCAGGCCAATTATTGGTGGTTTAGTTTCGGAACCAAAATAGTTGTACATGCAATTACATGATATGTCCATCGCGCAGTGCGGGTTCTGTACCGAAGGGCGGGCTTTCACCAGGGGTTTAATTTTCAAAATGTAAAAAACAAATATTACTACGAGCTATAGTTGGCTCGCGTGACATTTTGAGCTTCACTTTCTGACTTTATTTTTTATAAAATTGGGACTGTGATTAAATTTTAAGTCGTATAATGATAAGAATGCATTTTTCTAGGCACGAGAACACTCAAAAAACAGGATCGGAACGTTAGAAACGCAGCTGGCGGAGAGAAGTCGTATAACGTCATCAAAACGTCCGACGTCAAGAACTGGACCTCGAAAAATAGACGAAATGCGAGACAAGTTGTCAAGGTTACGGCGTCAGAATGACATGGAAACGGAAAAGATTGCATTATTTGAAGAAGAACTTCTGGATGAAGAGTCGTCTGCTAAACAAGTAAGTTTGACTGTTGATAGCTGTTCAATTAAACACTTTACGATGTTGATGCTGTTTCCAATACTTTCAGAGTTTTGACTTTTTTTTAATTAAAAAAAAGGGTTTGCATTGCTGCTGAAAATTGTTGATTTGTATTTATATTTTATGAAATAGCTTATCGAAAATAGCAAATCTAATGTGTTTATTTCATAAATACTTGGTTCATTTCATTGCAGTTTTTAAAATCTACAGAAAAGCAACTCCAGGAATTAGAGACACAGCGTATGAGATTGATCATGGAAGAAATTAAACGCTATTTTGAATGCCTGCAAAATAACTCTATGCAAAGGTATATATCTCTTTTGTTTAAATAATTTTATATCACCTAGATCTACTTTGTCAGCGTTTAACTCACGTGAGAGTAAAAATTAAGTGACTTTCCGTTTTCTTTCGAGAGTTATAGTGTCCAACAGAATAAATTCTTTATCTTTACGCATTTAAATTTCAAACCCATGTATGGTGGCTGATTTCTGCCATTTCGTGTCTTTCTGTCTTCGCCCAAGGCGAATATATAGCTTAATACCGTTGAAGGCATAAAGAGTTGACGTTTTGTCTTGGAAACCACATGCATTCATTTTAAAAAAAATGTTCAAATGTCATATGATAATATTTGCATATCAAATTTTAGAACAGTTTTCCTTGGTCAGGCTCGATTCAAGAGCCACTAGGCCTGAGATCACTGATTTTACCCCTGGACTACTGTATACCAAAAACCTTTGTGCTTATTGGTTTGTCAATACTTAACTTCCCTAAGCGATTTTTGATGCAAATATTGATAATGGTTTGGATACCTTTTTTTTTTATTAATTGTCATATTAATTAATGATACTTCCGTGACGGAAACGGGCGTAAACGCATATCGTTTCCTTTTTAATTAAAGCCGAGTCATAGCAACGTCCTATCCGCAATTCAATGTCAAACAAAGATAAAGTATCTTAGCAATCTGATTAAAATCATCTCCCAAATAAAGCACACTTCGAGCGATTTGAAATAGTCGTGTCTACTTTATAAGAGGTCGCTTTGTACAGGTTTGTCTATGTGTCTATAGTTACTCCCCCTGAATTTCTATATTGAACATTCGCTACGCTAAATGCATCCACTTTTCGGATCATAATTACATTTTCCATAACAAGGTTGAGAGTAATTTCAGGAAAGATTATTTCATAATTTCGTTCGTATATTTGACTGCACTTACTATTTTTGTCTCCAAATTTCTATCTCGTAAAGAGCTATAGGGCTATTTGTAACCCTTTTTACACTTTGTTAGTATTTTTACGACAGCAAGTGCCGTATATAGGCTCAAATAACTTTATTTCTGAACTTGAAACAGTTTTAGAATTCTGAACACTTTTTCATGATTGCCATAAAATTTGGCATGATTCTGGAGGCGATATATATACGCGAGTTGCTTAATTTACCAAAGCAAAATTGTCGTCTGGCCAATGCCAGTGAATGTAACGTAATATACAAGCTGATGTTTTTATTTATTTAAAGGTCGCCCAGGGTGACTATAAAAGGCCAACAGATCAGAAGTTTAGAAGAAGCTGAAAAACTTGTAAAGGTGCATTGGCTTGATGTTCATACTAACGCCAAGAAAGACGACATACCAAATTACCAGGTTGGTGCAGTTTGACCATTTCCATTTCCTTTTAGAGAAAAAAGCAAGATAAAAACACCAATATTCATTTTCTTTCGCGTGTTAAGGAAGTACAATACCTGTATCATAGCCAGGTAATGGTGGTGGTTTTTGGAAGTTTTTACTGCGGATCACGGCAGTAAGCCACATTGAATATACCAGAACACAGTTCAGCCACTGCATCGTTCCTGGGAATGCTGTCAAGCAGTTTACCAGTACTAGTTGCCTTCACTTTCGCAATGAACTGATAGTCAGATAAACTCTATGGACCTTACATCATAGTGCTCCACTTTTTGTAAGAAAAGTTATACACAATGTAAAGCAAGAAATCCGATCCAGTTAAGTAGAAGAAATTGTAATGGCAATACTCGTTTCCTTAAAAGTTGTCAATTGATAAAATTCTCATTCGGAACACTTAGCCGATTACCAATAATCCTTATAAATACACTTGGAATGTTTTTGTTTGCTGGAACATAATTAAAGTGCGCATGTGCATATATACTTGTTTTAGTTATCAATCGACGAAATAGGAGAAGTATTTTTCGTTGATGTTGTTCAATTTTTTGAGAACTTAATTGAATTACTTTGATCAAATTAACAGAGAATAAATTAACCTTTCTGTCTTTCTTACTTTACAGGACATGTTTTCGACTCCTTCTGCAAGATCGAAGAAGAATGAAAATGTCGATAATTCGAACGAGCAAAGCAGGTAAACTTTCACAAACCCTTTCATTAATAATTAATCAGTTTGTACGTTTGTAACTCACTTTTGAATAAAGCAAAAAGAAAAAAAAAGAAAAAAAAGAAGATTTTAAAAAGAAAAAGACTCAGTTGTAGAAAACCGCGAAAAGCCCGTATATTCGCATGTCCGGGCGGCAAATACCGTAAAAAATGGATAATACCGTGTACAAATATTTTATTTTTTTCAGCAGTTTTACATAACTCTTTTTTTTTTACTAATTCCAGCATTGAAGTGGGCACCCGACCTAGATGCCTTTAACAAAACAAAAATCATCTGGATAAATATAGGTACTGACGTAAGATACCATTATTTTTAACATATTCAGTTGTTTATAATGAAATGTTCTTTCGATCATTTCTGTTTCAGAAATAACAGAGAATACAGACCTGGGAGCCAGCAAGGATTGACGTTAACCGAGAGTGTATCAACTTATTTCTATTATAAATCCAGTTCCGGTTCGTCTGTTGAAGCAGACGGTAACGGTGATTCGGTAGTAGCAGAAGTGAACCGAATGCAACATAGAATGGCAGGTCCAGCTTTATTGCCATCACAGAGGCGTTCCGAAGGTATTCATACATTAAGGTTATCTATATAAAACCTAGGAGCGGATCCACGAACCAGTGGTTACGCGCCGGACCAGAAATCTAGGACTCGCAAGTTTTATCCTCCGTTATTTACTTACAATTCTAATGTTAGCCTTAAAAATAGAGGCCGCATCAGACATATATTGGTCCTCTTTACAAGGCATTATAATAAACCAGGGTCGACCGCACACCCTAAAGATAACAACTAACTCTCTTCAGAGTATTGCGTCGCAATATGAACAACTGCACGCGACACTTAATAATCCTCAAATAACCCGATCAAATATAGTTATTTATAAAACATAATTTTAATTAATAGACCATTCACACCGTTAACGGTAAGGTAAGTTTGTTTGGGCGCTGGAATTGCTTTAAAAGTTCAACATAGTCTTAAAAAGTTCAACATAGTCTGTACCAGTGTCCAGTCATTTCTCTGCTAGTTAATCTACACGCTGATTTCATATTCTCTCCATTATTTTATTTTCAATTCAAAATATATGCAAGTTGACCATTACATTAGCTTATGATAGCTTTACATGTATTGTTTTAACGTCTGCTACCGACATGCACATACAGAGTACATTTTCTAGAAAACTCGGTGTTTTTTTTTTCAATGAAAGCTTTAGAATATTTAAACAGCTGTCCAAATTGTACAATATCGTTTGCCTCAAGACGACAGTTTAAGGGAGGCAACTACTGATATAACACGCACACTTCAAACACAGAGTTGTGCTTTCAAAATTTGAATCGCATTTAAGTTGCACGCATTTTCAAACATATTTACGTGTTAGAACTCCAATATCTTTAAGCTATAGACATATTCACATTAAGAAGTCATTTTGTGAAGTGTAGCCTATAAGGTTATATGAATATGCAAAATTTATGATAAGAATCGTTCATTTTCAGAATCTATTGAAACGCTAAACTTACCACCGGAAGTGCGCTGTCCAGCCGACATAACAGTATTAGAGCCAAACAAACAATATACCACTAGAATGAAGGTAGAAAAATTACGACAGAACAACGAGTGTCGCCAAGCGGCTCATTTAACAGGTGATATACATGTTGTTCTTATTTTCTGGCACCATCATTTGAATTGGCGTTCCAAATACATAATTATACAGTAGAGGCATTTGTGTTTACCAAACATGTCAATGTTTTTGTGTGTCATTATATATTGTTTAGAAGGCTACATTTAAAATCAAGATATGTTATTTGTTTTTATTTGTTTGGGTCGTCAGACCAAACGAATAATGGTAGCGAAATTTCAGACCCTGATGCTGTTAATTGCAAATGCCGAAAGTAGTCCGCTTTTTTGAAGAAGTTACTTCCCTTTATATGTACACTAACGCCGAAAGATTCAGGGGAGATCACTGCGTAAAAATTGTCAAATGACAGGCGCATTAATTTTCAAGCAAAATAGTTCCCGAATGGTCGAAGATATAATATTGTTTTATTCTTTATAGATATACATGATTTTTATAGTAAGCTCCATGATTATTTACATCTGTGTTAAACAACATGTTTAGCGTCGAAATAATAAAAGTTACAAACCCTAATTTAGAATAATATGGTTTTCTTCAGGCTGTTAATATTTGGTTTAAACAAATTGGTTTATAATCTCACAACCTTAACCTTTCTGACATTCAGTTTTAATTTTGCCTATATGTCTATATGAAAACTCCGAAAAACGTCTTTAACAAACACGCGTTATTACATTTTCTTCTTCAGAGTATAGCACTGTAGACAAATTTGTTCCTGAAGACTCGGAAAGTGACGAGGAAATACAAGAGTGTGTCGGCAAACTCCGGAATGTCCGTGTTATCGCCGTGGAAGAACATTCTCCAAGTCCCAGCAGCCTTGAAATAGCATTCAAAAAGGGTAAGATAAGGAAAAAACTTGTGTAAATGTACCTCTGAATGAAAATATCTTTTATAGAGGATATTCAATGAGTGTAAGTTCCATACTTAATTTATTGAACGAGTTGAATAAAATTATATTATGCGAGCCTCTGGCGAGCATGATATAATTTTATTCAACGAGTTCAATAAATTCAGTAATGAACTTACACGAATTTAATATTCTATTTATCACATACCAAAAATCAAGACTGTTTAAAGTGAAAAAGCGTCAATTTTCATTGACGCGCCTATAGTAAAACGCTTTCAATTAGCGCGTCTTTACACTATGTTTGTATAAGGCAAATAACGTCACGTCAAAATACATGCACGGCAGTGCAATACCATTTTTACGGAGTCGCAAAATCGGCACGGGTGTTTGATAAACATGTCAACTCGTTCAATAAATTCAGTATTGAACTTATACTCATTCATTATCCTCTATATACATAGAAATAAAGTAATTTAATTTTATTACTTTTATTCTTTATTCCTGCAAATGAATGAATTTTCTGTTTATGGACATGAATGTATGGTATTGTGGTGGAAATCACAACCTTTAAGGAACTACATTCTGAAAATCAGTGATGCATCTGTATGACCCGGACCGACAAAAAAATCTTGCCATTAGGGAGGCTCTTTAAATATATATACAAGGTACAATGTATACGGAAAGTGAAACACAATGAGCGAGATATCCACTTTTGCCTTTGCATTATGTCCTTAACTCTTCTGATTTTTGAATTTTTTCTTCTAGCATTTGGTTATATCGCTACTTGCAGTCGGTAACCTTTCTACTTACTTTAAGCAACTTGTATTTGCATTATTATCAAGTTTTCTACTTCTGTTTGGTGGATTGAGCGATGGAGGATACTGGATTCCGTAGTTTTTTTGTGCTAATCTAATATATACTATATTATCATTAAGAATGTACACATCTAGGTTTTGTTTATGACTTAATAATGTTTGTTTATTTTTAGGCCAAATAATTAAGCAGAAGTTTGGAGCTAATGAAGATGGTTTATGTTACGGATGGACAAGAGAAAATCTGGTCGGAAAGAAACATTATGGATATTATCATCAAGATAAAGTCAGACTCTTAAAGAAAAACGGAATCTAGATCAATAGACGCTTTTTAAACTAAAATATTTGAATGTTTTTTTCTGTTAGTTTCTTATTTATTGTTACTTCAAAAACACTCTGTACCATCACAGTTTGAATTGCAATATATAATGTTTGTTACATTCTAAAACTATTGAATAACACAAACATTCCTGCAAAATAAATTCTATTAATAAAACGCATTATTTAATGTGGCATAAACAGATATTCTTTCAACAATGAGTAGGCACTGCTTAATTTCATAAGTCCGATTTCGTGCAAATCTTTTCCGGAGTTTGACGGAAAGAGCCGAAAAGTTGTCATTGGCCATTACATGAGGAGATATACACAATAACAACGACAAAACATTTTTTTCATTATTCCTGCGAGGACAAAATACCTCCGAGTCAATTATTGTTATGACCTTCATTTTGACTAGGAAATACTTTACAACGTTTGACGCCTTAATGTGCATATAGGGATCAAAGTTTCATATTCTCTCGGGGAATAATTTGACATTCATACTGAGGCTCCGCCAGGGGGTATTTTCTCGTATACAACCTCGGATCTGCAGACGGCAACTCGTAGTTTTCTGGTGGCAAAATTCGCACGCGCTGCAACAGTGACGTAATGGTTATAAATACCCTTGACCTTGCAAAATCTTGTCCTGGGCAAGCTCGTTTTCCTAGTCCAAAAGGAACAACGCTGAAAAAAAGAGCAAAAAGCGATTAACAGTAAAGTTAAATAATGGACCTATATTACAATCTTTCCTAAAACTGAACTCCATATAAATAACAAAACAATATATTTGTTTTCTAAACAAACACATTGCCCTACAATGACCTGCAGAAGATTCCAGCTCAGTGGTTAAGGATACTAACTTCAAATAAGTTGCCCCTGACTACTATATGCTCGCATACTTCTTAAGGAAGAATTTTGGTTTCACAAATTATCTGAAAATATAAAATGAAACGGCTTTCTACAGCAGTAAAGCCTTACATCCCGCGTGACATTTAAGTATCTAACTTTTTGCATTTAAATTTACACCCTGCATATTGATTAGTTTATGTGATAAACCAATATTGAATTGTTTTTGTGATGTAATTATTTTGAAATTCAAATAGCCACTAAGCATATATTAAGACTTACTTCCGTATAGAACTATGGTTAGGTGGAAGTAACTGGCCTTTCTTGTCTAGGAACCTCCCTGGTCTAAAGTCCCAAGGATCGCCCCATATTTCTGAATCATGATGAACACTGTACAAATTGGGAAAAATCTAGAACGAATAGAAACAACGTTATGTTAACAATAATAAAATATACTGCTATCAACATGCATTTATGTGCTATTTCTAACGTTTCGGACGTAACCTCCAAGTAAATTTCAAAATGTTATTATATTTTCTATTCAGAACAAATTGAATTTAACAATTGCCATACAATGACAGAATATATTTGGTCGCTACTGATAGATTTTCGTGTCAGCTGGATAGGAACCAGTTTTCGGATACTGTCTGCTCGTGTAAAATTGAATCGATCAAGATTAATTTGATAAATATTTCATCTAAAATAAAAACAAACCACTGATCCGTTGTCTATGTTATACCCGTCTAAAAGAAATCCCTTTTTACACAAATGAGGTATTGCCAATGGTGTCTGTGAGCCGTAACGCCATAATTCAAGCATGACAGCGTTCGTAAATGGCATCCGCTTCCGGTCTGACACTTCCGGAAATCGTTCAGTTCCTGTCAAGAGTATTGAATTGAATAAGATGGTCATCGCTCATATTTACAAATTAAAATGAAAAATTATCACTTTAAACATTTTAGTCTCATTCACATTTTTTAGGTTGTAATTTAAGTGTGACATCAAGGTTGTACCGTACATTTTCAACACCAAGTTGCAAATAGATATTTAGTAACAAGAAAGATATTTTGTAACATTTAGGATATTGAAGCAGAAAGAATTTTTGTATGACCAATGATGTACAATGTACCACAAAGGATTAAAAATAAATGCACATATACCGATGACGTTGTCAATTTCTGCTTGTAGGCGTGTCTGTATGTCCTGATAGTGACACATTAGTAAAATAAAGAGGCGAATACTCTTCAATAACTCTGTCATTCCTGTAAAATATAATATCTAGATAGGCACAAGACTGGATGCAATGAATAATATAGTCGATATTATGTAATACACATTTTAGGGTAAAGTATGGTGGCTGATTTGGCACATTTTGCGCGTTGCGTTGTTGATAGCGACAACACAACCTATATCGTTATCGCCTTTCGTCTTGTCGCTAGCGAAAAGCGCCAAACGGCGCGTTGTCACACTGTCGTCTTGTCGTCCTGTCGCTAACGATACACGCCAAATGGCGTGTTGTCGAGCGGCGAATAGCCAATCCTTCGATTTGAGCCAAGCGAAAATATGACATCGCGACAACACGCCACACGACAACGCGCATTTTGGCGTGCATCGTTAGCGACAGGGCGACAAGACGAAAGTCCGACAACGCGCCGTTTGTCGCTTTGTCGTGCTGTCGCTAGCGACAACACGACGCACCAAAGTGTTCCAAGTCAGCCACCATAGTATAGGGATATTTCTTAATGACAACATCAATATATTGGTTTATGAATAAATAAGCAATACGTAGTCGTTCTTGAGGGGGTCATGTTGTACAATAGATGAGAACTCGTTTTTTTATAAGTAGTATAATTGAAAGCTTGCAATACAATATTATTCATATATTCATAAGCCAAACTGTCATATACCCGAACTTGTTATCCAAAAGTTAGTACTTGACACAATGTTCAATAAAATGTGTTCTGTACAGGAGTGTCACTTGTTTAATTATCATTAAAAGAAATGCAGTTAAAGAGAAACTTCAAAAGTTCGATTGTTTTTTTATTAAATTAGGAATTTACAAATCTGGTTACCGGCTGCAAGGGTATCAAATATGAAGCCTTTGATATGTTCGTCACTTAGCAATGTGCTTCCGGTTTTAAGGATGTCGTCTGCTTGTTTTGTTAAACATACATCTACAAGACCCCTCCTCCTTCCGGATATATAGGATTCCTGAAAAATAAATTTAGGAAATATATACTGCAGTTTTTTTAATGAGAGAAGATATGTTTCCAAATCCAAAGATTTTGATTTTGTTGTTAATCTAGTTCGGGAAAAGAATATTTTGTTTTTACCTAAGAAATGTACAATTTCGTCATTTAAGCTATTATTGTCAGATATGTTTGTCATTTCTATTATAATTTTGACAAGTTGATTGTTTATTTGGTGACATAGATCTACATTAGCGTTATTTTTCTAAATTGGTTAGTCAAAAGTGACATTTAAAGGTTCATTCCATATACAATGTAATGAGGTCTACTTTAATCGAAATAAGCGCAGAAATATTTCCAGACGACATTATATCAGAATGAGAAAAAGATCCTAGAAATCGGAAACGAGAGTGTTCAGCCTACTAAAATAGCAACTCGTGTAGTTTTTAAACAAAATCGCAGAACTTATTTTTTTATTACTGTTTAAAGCGTATACATACTCAATTAACATTCGTGACCTTTAAAAAGTTGTTTTTTATTTATCATTTTTTTCCAACAAAATGGCGAAAGAAGTCCCTTGAAATAAATATGAGTTTTGACTCCGCCCACTTTCATATTTATATTTCATATTTATTCTTAACAAATATGAAATATATTTGACTAATATAGCACCATATTTCATGGGTAAAATTGAATAAAAACAGATATTTTGTAAGATTTATAAAAATAAGTGTATTTTATTATACGGTGCCAATCAGCTATACAAATTTATTCAAGATCTGTCAGACTTTTTTTTATAGGTTAGCATCTCTTAACACTATACAACCTTTCAAATTCTTATAGGAAAAAAACTACCAAAAGTTAAGATAAAAACACAATAAAAATTGTTCAGTTATTGTATACATAACAATATTTTCTTTGTTTAGATCAAATTCTTGTGATTATCATTACAAGAAAGAAAACAACCGTGTTTTTGCTTTGAACTTTCGGATGCTTTTAGAACTTGTATGGAATGCAATTCATGCATGTATTTTTATATTTTATATTTCTTTTAAGCCAGAACACGTTATGAAAGCATGCAACTGTTCCGGGAATGATGTATGGTTTTTACAACGTTAAGGTGTGTTTGATAAACGGTAAACGTCGGACATGATATCTCGAGAATCAACATAAAAAATAAAGGTGAAAAAAAGCTAATATTTTCATGAACATTTTATATAAAAGAGATAATATAACTGATAACACGTCTACAGACACGGACATAAGTTTACGGAATTTAATCAATTTGTTGTTATTGTACTGGCTTAGATTTATTTCTCGACAGGGTTTATACGATTATACATTTTTTTGTATTAAATGGTTAAATGATAAAACAAAGATAACTAAAATTCCAAAAAAAAAAAATCAAATCCTAGGCTATTTGAGAAGTTTGTTGAAGGATTTTGTATGCTGCCTCTTAGTGTACCATTTTTTTGTCATTCTACTTAAAAATCGTTAGAGAGAGAGAGAGAAAAAAAAACAATTAAAAAAAACAAACAACCAAAAAAAAAAAGAAAAAAGATAAAAGAAACAAACTTTTACGTAGCTTTCTATACAGCATACACTTTACTCTGAACATGATTTGTTGAATTTTGTGTACAGTGAACAGCCCCAAAATACATGTATATCTGATTTTTTGAACCTCTTTTAAGCAGATTTATTTTTACCTTCTGATAATCGAAAAACATTTTCGCCACTTTATCCCTTGCCTCGACTGTCCGTCTGTACATATCACCGTAGTAGCCTGGCAGGTATTTTAGAAACGGAAATGTTCTGAGAGCACCATCTACCGATGGTTCGATAAGTTCAAACAGAAGGTCAATGAATTCCCATGGCGCTTCTTTGTCAGGATCCGACTCGGAAAGAGATTCCCCGATCAGCTGAAAGTGAAAAAAAATACTGAAAAATCAAAATTTTGTGATTTTTTATAAAAAAAATGATACCCTTTGTAACATTTTACGCGCAAATTGTTATATTTCTTAATCTATTTTACTTTGTATTCTCGGCGTCTATACGATATTAACGTGAGAATTTAGAATGACTTAAATTGTTGTTGTGACATTGCATATACATAGAGTTATCCAAATCACACCAGTACCAATAGATGAACAGGAAATTAATGTATTCATAATGATGTGGATGAAAAAAACAAAGTCGTTCTTAGTGAAAGGCTAAACAAACTTGGCCTTGCAAGGACACATATGGAGGACGACTTCAGGGTTACCCTTGTTTACCCCATTTAGCAGATCTAAGAAGCAAATATATTCAGTTTTAGCAGATCTATTTCAATCAAATAAGGCTTGTAAGCCTAAAATTCGCATATCACATTATATTCCACTGTCTGTCGGATGGCTAAAACTCTATCAATCTCACAGGCTTCTAATATTTGCGCATCTGATCTCGACCTGTGCAATAGTGTACGACAATGCGCGGGTTATTTCTGAACGCTGTAAGGACGTATCAATGATTTATTGGGAAGCACGAGACATTCATAAATGCGTTACGTCAGCGTGTCTGTCTAATTATACGAACTGTCTTTAGACAAGATTGAACAACGTTTCAAGGCTTATCAAAAGATGGTTTCCATTTTCGACGGAAGCTTAATTTCCAATTATTTTGATAAAGGTAACATGAGTATCTGTAAACAAAATTCTGGTATGTCAAACAGAATTATAGACACAATAAATAGAGGATATTTGTTTGTTTGTGTGTAATTCATCGAATGGGCTTTAAAAACAGTATTCTCACGAGTGGCGTAGAGAATACTGTTTTTAAAGTTCACGAGATGAAATAAAATCACATCTTACACACAATCAAACACATTTTCTTTTTATTTTATGCTTAAAAACAAGTTAAAACGAAATTTCCTTATATTAAAATCTGTTTTCCCCATTTAGTCGAATTTTTCATAAAATAGAATAAGTCTTGGAATGAAAAATAAGTTCGACAATCAACGTTAAATGGCGGTTATATTATTCATTTCATAAAAAATTATGAATGGTCGCTTGTTTTATTAATAAAAACAAACAATTCTAGTAGGAGAAAAAGTCCAACCATCCATCCATATTGCTTTTACTTACTGCGAATTTATATTAGACCTGGCTTTGTTAAAGCGGCCGCCTTTTTTAAAAGTTGTGTAGGGAGGAAAATAACTGTGTTTGATTTAGAGGGATATCATTTGGATTTGTTAGTCATACACCTTTTTAAAAGAAAGAAAACTTATTTGAGGATTGTAACAGACAATAAATAAGTGTTGATAGAAGTGTAATCATTCAAAAAGCGACTAGGAAATAGGAAAACTTGGAATTGTTGAAAAGGCTGCCTAACGAACGCTGGGTTGTTTACTTATTCTTCGGGCTAATGGCTGTCATTGCTATTCAAGTTTTCATAAAGCATACGGCAGTTATTGCTCGAAGGATACTTAATTATGCCCAAATGTCATCAAGAGCAGTTTTGCATGTGGAAGGAATGTATTTTTCAGACTGTAAAAAAGAAACAAAAAAATTAAGAGAAGATATTTGGTGATTGGTAATAAGAATGAATAGAAGTAAGTTTTCTTCTTCTCATTGCTTTTGACATTTAAGTTATTTATCAATTTCAGCTTTGCTTTTCTCTGAACAGCCTGCCATTGTCAGAATTGTCAGCAAAAATTAAAATTGAGGTACCACGTGGGGAAAATCTTAAGAAAATGGTTTCGTCATTGAAAAGTGTGAAATTATATTTTGATTGTTTTCACTGTAAAATTATCAAATATAATTTTCACGGATAAATCAGTAATCCACTGAAAAGCATAAAATAAAGGACGATAAGCGGATGTTTATTTTTGAGACAGTAAACTGTCTGATCCTTGGCCAATAAATCATCTTGAATTGAGACTGCATATCTCCCCACAAGTGCAATACAAACAAATTCTAACACAGATACACAAGTGCATTATTACTTGATATATGCACAGCATGAAAAAGGAATGCTTACAAATCATAATTATGACGTCAATAAACCAAATGACGTCGGGTAATCTACTTCTACGCTAGTGCAGTTCAACATAGTTATTTATTAGAATGGAAATATATATGAGCAGCGTCACGACAAAAACAACATAATGGGTTTGCGACCAGCATGGATCCAGACCAGCCTGCGCATCCGCGCCTATAACAAGTAGAGAAACCGATAGCGAACAGCATGGATCCTGATCAGACTGCGCGGATGCGCAGGCTGGTCTGGATCCATGCTGGTCGCAAACGCATTACGTTGGTTTTGTCGTGACGCGGCTCATTTAAATTCTCATTTAAGGAAAATAACATTAAATTCTTGTGCTTGGACGGTATTTATCCAATTCTATGTTTTACGTATGCGTTTCATTTTTCCAGGGCCAACAATTTGGAAAATTCTCGGAACCGAACGAAATTTTGAATTGTAATTGATTTAACAAAGCTTGGCCTTTGGAGATTTATTATCTCAAGAAAAAAAAAACGTTACATTACTCTACCCTCTACCCAAGACAAAATATGACCCTCAGAAATTCTTAGAATGATTTCAGATTCCCGTCGCGTCATAATCAAGTGTGATTGCGCCGACGTACAATGTAGATGTAGATTGACGGTAGAAAAAGATCAGTGACATCAGAATCGGTTTTTCTTTTCAAGCAAACAAGTTTACAAACAAATCAGGCACTAAGCATTATTCTCTCAAAGAAATATAAAGAGCATTTATCAACATAAACATAAATAAAAAAGATTTTCTCATATTAATTTTGTGTTATCTAGTTTTGTAAGTTAATCGGAGTGTTAAACTGAATGACAGGTAGATTCTACTGTATTTGTTTACATTGACAACTGTCCGTTTCTTAGAAAGGGCGACAACCAAGATTAGCACCGATGTCTATACGCCGTTTTTCCGGCATAGTTACTTAATATGCGACTGAGGCCCTCGAATTATAACAAGAGCGCATGACTCTTTGGCAAACAGGCCAAATCGTCATTTTTTGTTTGTTTGTTTGTTTACTGGGCCCTGTATGTATTGCGCATAGGTGAAACCGGGCTATAACAAGAGCGCGTGACTATGTTAACACATGGTTTTGGTCCCGTTATAACATGGGCAAAAGAGGGAAAAATAGCCGATTTTATGCTATAATAAACCAAATGACGTCGGGTAATCTACTTCTACGCTAGTGCAGTTCAACATAGTTATTTATTAGAACGGAAATATATATGAGCAGCGTCACGACAAAAACAACATAATGGGTTTGCGACCAGCATGGATCCAGACCAGCCTGCGCATCCGCGCCTATAACAAGTAGAGAAACCGATAGCGAACAGCATGGATCCTGATCAGACTGCGCGGATGCGCAGGTTGGTCTGGATCCATGCTGGTCGCAAACGCATTATGTTGGTTTTGTCATGACGCGGCTCATATTATTTTTCTTGCATTTTTGTATAATAATGCACAGTTTATCATTTAAATGCTTTGTAATTAATCACTTAGACCTATCGGCCTTCGTGATTATATTTCTAAGCATTTGAACTAGAACCGTGCATTATTCTACAAGAATGCACTCAGAATTGATATCTATTTCCTAAGTAGAAAAGTAAAAATTGCAGACTCGTTTTTATTAAATATGCTTATCTCACGACATAAGTGGTATACTCTAAGTATTTGACTCATAGATTTAGAATAACCGATAAACCCCAAGTTTAACCAATATCAGTTAATCTTAGATTTATGAAATTTTGTATGGCTTTATTAAATCTAAATATTTAAACACATTTTGAATGATTGACGTTTAAAGTTTCAAAGTAAGGAAGCAACACTTATAAATGATAGTTTTCACAAGGAAGGGTTTCAAGTTTTTATTAGTTTATTATTTAAGAGGAATATCTATTTTTTCTTCCGTAGTTACATAATAATGCACAATCCGGGTTCAAATGCGCAGGAATATTAATCGCGGTGTCCGGTAGTATTCATCCTTCCTTGAACATTTCAACGATACATGTACATGTATACATGTATATATTATTGGACAAGAACGCAAGAAATATTGATATGTATTTCCATTCTAACGTGCAACTATAATAACTCTAGTAATTATAGAATTGATAAGAAATTGTTGAAATATATATTGAGCGGAGAAGTTATTTTCATGGCGTCATTTGGTTTGTTGTCGTCACATGTGGCGTCAAATGATATCTGAACATTCCTTTCTTTGTTCCTGCGCAATGTGCATTATTCTGCAACAATACACTAAAAGACTCTTCAGACTAAAAGTCTGTTATGTAAGAAAAATGTTTGGAGTTTATTCTAATATACCGACCACTTTCTGTAGTTCAGTTGACTCGATTTCTGGACGAGCCAATATTTGAAACTTTGTTAGTGACAGAAGAAAGGGTTCAGATTTAGGACTCTAGTTGTTGAGAGGCCACCGCTCATTCTTGCTATGTCGATGCTAGTTTAAAATAAAATTGCTTTTTGTGATGACTTTGAATATTAACTTAATTCTTGCAGGGCAGGTTGAAAATGTAAGTTAGAAACAAGTAATTTATAAATGTTCAAGTACGTTTATATAAAGATAAACGATCGTTATAACTAATTATTTTAATAAGTCAAAAACAAAACATATGCTTACCAATATTGCACATACGTTCTTAAAATATGTCCTCAAATACTCGTGCGGGTTAATATTGCTCGTTGGCTTACTTATAAGATTTAAATGTAATCGTTTTATTTCTTCTTTATTAAATAATTCAAAGAATTGTTCACGCTCAAAATATTTAGGGATTGCACTTTTATGGAATTCTCGAAGAAGGAGAGTGGTATTTGATAAATTTGCACATCCCATATGTTTCCGACCGTAAAAAATGTCAGAGGTAGAGTTTGCCGACCGGTCGTTTGCTATTTCATCCGTCGGCGTCGTTTCAAATGCTTCATACAAAAGTGAAGCAGACGACAAATTTACTATGTTAGTACCGTATAATTTCAGTTTAAATAACGGTCCAAATTCTTCACGGAAATTATGTAGATCATGGTGAATCCGGTCAGCGTCTATCTGAAAACTGTTTCCAAAACAAAGATACCCCTGAGGACCTGGGGGCAGCTTCCGTTTCCGTCGACGCCATACACATAAGAACACATACACGAGACTTAACGCACAACAAGTTCCTAGCAATATCTCAAACATAATCCGGCAGAATAATGTAGATTATTTTCTACTTCTGTTTGCGCCACTTTATCGTCCGCTTTTATTTTATGTGCAGATAAATAAATTTCGTGCGTATGTAATAGCTACTCCGAAACTCGCAGCTTTTTCATGTCTTGTAATTACTAAAACTTTTATTGCTTTGGCTTTGTCCGATTTCAAATTAATTGAAAATTTCAAATCCTAACTTGGCCATTAGTAATACCCATTAAACATTTCCTATTGACTTCAACATTAATTGTGTACCTATTCAATTAATTCACATCAAAAGACGGAAACTATTTTCAAGTCTCGTGTATCTACCGAAACTGTATTTATTATACATGTGTTTTTATAAACATGCTTTCAAACTACTTCAATAACTTATTCTGCACTTCTCCGGAATAGCAGTATAAAAAGAAATATTTAAAAAATATTGTTTTTCCATCATTAACATCAAAGAAAGCTTTAATGTAACTTTCATGATATAAAATATAAAAAAAAAGGAAATAAAAAAAAAAATAAATAAAAAAAAAAGTAAAATAAAAAAAGAATTAAGATTATAACATAAAGTCTGTGAGTCAAGTCAGACTGTGCGGACGATTATCTTCAGATATCTGACATTCTAATGCTACCTAATGAGCGGTAACGCGCCGGACTAGTGGTTCAGGGGTCACTTCCGCTGCCCTAAAATAACCGCTAACTTTCTCAGGGTGCGTCACAATATAGACAACCGCACGCGAAAATAGATAAAACAAAAAAAAACAATCAGATGGTTAAAAACTTGGTAATACGAAAATCTATTTATGTATGTCGGTTGTTTGTTTTCGAAGTTTTCTCAGTTTGATTTCATTAAAAAGCAAATAAACAATATATTGAAATTGTCATGTAATGATATTTAAATGACAAAAAGTAAAAACTGCATAAAAGTAAAGCATACAAATGTAAAACAAAGTAACATATCAAATGAATGCAAATTGTTATAAATACATTATGCAACAATGCCAAAATTATCACATATTATGCATGTATGAGAACAGAAATCAAATGTTGGTTAACCATCAAAACACCACATATTGCAAACAACTGCCTAGTTGGCAATATCCGCCAATTTACATACTTAAATACATGTATAATCGTCGAGTATCTAAAGTGAACAATCCTTAAATTGATTGTTGAAGGACGCATCACTTAAAATAATAAACATTAGGGGAAAAAAACAATTAACACAAAAACTATACTGTTAGTCTGGTCAACAAAAGCGAGCATTTTATTGAAGATAACACTTTTTAATCAGAAAGTTTTTTAAAGTAAATATTTTTATCTGCAATAAGAAAATATTTACAACCTTATACAGCAAAGTTCTGACTAGTGAACGAAAATTCTCCACATATGCAAAGCAAGGCGAATTACTGCATAGGTCTATATGGAACAGAAATGTAATGTTTTTGTTTGTATGTTTTATGTTTGTTTGTAGATTAAGAATCAAATATCATATCATTAATAAACAGAATGAAGGCATGTTCGCAATTTGAAGTTTACTTCTAAAGACCTTTTTGCGTCAGAGTGTTATTATTAAATGCGCATGCCTTTTATGTTTTAAACACATTGGGTCATTTCCCGCTGTTTATACAAGCAACTACAATGATGTTTGGCAACTTTGGGAGAAATAATCTCACATGTTTAGGCACGCTGATGATAAAGTTTATTCAATGAATGAGACTCATCCGAAAAACTTTTTGAATAAATCTAATGAGTTATCAAAAAAAAGAAAGAAAAAGAAAAAAAATAGAAATGTATGATGACTGATAAATAAATTTTAACCAATTTTTGAAAGATTTATAACGACGTATCTGCACAGTTAATTAATTTACAGACAAGAGTATTATACGCGTATTTTATTTTAAGATAACAAATCTCTAAGTTAAAGAGATAGTCCAATGTTTCGAGTTTAATTTTGTTTCCTCTTTTTTGTATTTCCTGATATTGTGCTGGCTCTGCACTCTCGGTATAATTAGTGTTTGCATAATAATTCGAACTTTAAGCATTTCATTTCCTTAGATCAAATGAATTATGCAATAATAGACTTATTGCTCCTTGAGAGCTGTCAAAACCGGGAAATGTAAGCCATGATTAGTTTGTTTTAAGATGTCTTTTTGACCTTGCAAGGTAATTTTGTCGTATCCTTGAGTGTATGTTGACTCGATGGTATTTTCAGAAGATATTTTAATCAAGTAGCATATTATTTACCGTAAAAGAATACATGTTCGCGAGAACAAAATGTCGGAAAACTCAAGTTTCAAATTTATTGGCGTTGATTTAATATTCACGAATTTAAATCAAGAAGTGCTGTTTAATTACTATTACTTAAATACATATCGAACGTTTATTTTTACGAAAGTCTTCAAATCGCAATATTAGCGAAATATAATACCTCACAAAAATCTCTGGTGTCATAGTATGATGTTTAAATACATAAAATGCTGATTTTGATCGAATAGCAATGTTTTATTATACTTGGTATAATTCAGGGAGGACAAACCAATATTTTGTTTCTTAGTAGGAAACACGCAGTTTTAACGTAAAATTATTTTCCTGTAGCAGTAAGATAGAAGTAATATTTTTTTGACATCACAAGTGGTTAATTCGTGACTTCATTCAAGAAAAATATATCAATCTTAATTTCTTTGCATTTTATTCTATCTCATAAATATGTTTGCCTGTTGACAATATAAAGCATTCTTCAACATGTTTTGATTTTATCTGATGTGAAAAATTCGACTCTTTTTTTCCCCTTTATTTCAGAGGAGATGCTGCGACCTTGGTGATAAGATAATCCGTGACTATGATAATCCGTGACTATGATAATACGTGATTATGATAATACGTGACTATGATAATCCGTGACTATGATAATCCGTGCCTATGATTAATCTTGACTATAATAATCCGTGCCTATGATAATACGTGCCTATGATAATCCGTGACTATGATAATCCGTGCCTATGATAATACGAGACTATGATAATACGTGAATATGATAATCCATGACTATGATAATACGTGAATATGATAATACGAGACTATGATAATTCGTGATTATGCAGCTGGAAAGTAGGGTCATAAGCATTGAAGGTCTTTGAATGACTGTTTCCTTGAATAAATCATTGAGTTCTTACATGAGTAGTGATATCATTCATCATGTTTTTGAATTATCGTTTAATTAATGGGATTGGGAAACATTTACAAAAATGTGTTTTGGTGGAGGGCAATACTTTGGCTGTTTGGGATTTTCATAAAATGTAGCAACCCAACGATAAACATTTGCTGGACTTTCCTAGTTTGTGATAGTACGAGTTAACCACAGGAATGAAGAAATTTTCCTCTATGTTTATTGACGGACTAGTCCACTTTCATAAATGTCTCAGGGCGTTCTGTTTTGCTGCTTTGAAAAGTTTGCCCTTCTTAAATCGCCGAATTCAAAGCAAATGTCTGCATGTCTTCAAGTCGGATATAAATAATTTTACTAAAAGTCAAAGAAAAAGGCGATGAAAAGCAGAGAGACGTAAAGCGAGTGGATCACCAGGCACGGGAAATGGCGTCTATAACACGTCCTCGTGTAACGTGGATTCTCCGAGCTAAACAAACACTGAGCTGGACTTTTATCAAATGAGTGATGATTATGTACGTTGTCAGTTATGAATTATAACACGTCGCCAACAATGAATCTTGAACAACAAAATGCGTATGGTTTTCAAGCAGCGCAGCCAGCTCAACAACCAACTGGTACACCAGCCCCACCCAGTTGGGCTTTAGCATTGATTGAAGTTGTAAAATCAATAATAATAACCACCATGAAAGACGCAATACCAAAGATTGTGTTAAAAGTTGATTTAAATGAAAAGTCAGTTAACATGTTGAACAGTAAAATCTCGGACATGGAAATAAAAGAAACAACAATGAAAAACAAGATATCAGATATAGACAAATGTCTCATGTACGAAACACAAAAATATAAGCTAATACAATCAAAAGAAGACCTGGAAAGTCTTAAGGAACAATGTGAAAAATTGACAGAGAAACTGATGACAATTAAAAAAGAGAGGAGTAAACAAATTAAAAAATCCTTGAATCAAGGACAATGAGAGAAAAACTCATTTTTTACGGTTTGCCAGAGCAGCCAAGAGAAATCGAAAACTGCGAATCCTTAGTAACAAATTTGATTACTATCAAATTATGCATCGACACATCTTGTATGAGTTTTAATAGATCACACAGATTAGGGGGACAGAGGGCTCGAAAACCACGCCCCATTGTAGTAAAATTTCACAGATATTCACATCGCAAAGAAGTACGAATATCTCATACAGAAGTCACTCAAAGATTCAAACCTATTTCAGCTGAGGACAAAAAATGTGTTAAAGTTCAAATTGAATGATTGAAGGAAAAAAAAAGAATATCATGACAATTATTTTTTTTAAACTAGTGAAATTATAGTTGCACCCTTCACAAATTTCGAAGATGCGTCGGATTAAAAAAACTTAAAATTTCAACGTCTTAAAAAATAAAGATCACGCTATTGAAAAAAAGGAGTGAAATGATCTAAGGAAGTAATACTGATGCAATTCCGACCGTTTTCATGTTTATTCTACTTTTTTCTTTTGGCTGCTAGAATGCCAACTTAAGGCTGCTTGGCTATCAACTTATGGATTCGAGGTTGTTAGACTGCAAACTTCACGAACATGATTAAGTAGCTATAATGTGTGAAGTGATTTAGGAAACACTTTTAATCATATATTGTAATTTTAAGATCACGCAGTCATCTCTTTTGATTGTTTCAAGTACGTTTAACTAGAAGTACGTTTAACTAGAAGTACGTTTAACTAGAAGTAATTTAACTAGAAGTACGGTGAACTAGAAGTACGTTTAACTAGAAAAATAAAGTAGAAAAATAAAATTAAAGCAGCACGCCTCCAGATTAATGCTTATTTTCATGAAAATTTTAAAAAGTACTTAAAAAGTAAAATGTTGTGAAGATAACAAGGAAAGTAATTAACACATTGCAAACGACACTAACAATCCACATAAATTACCGAAAAGAGGCCAAATTATGTAAAATTGACCTTTACTGCGTGAGTAACGCAGTAGAAATTTGGTAATAAATTCTGCAAAATCAGTAATATAAAGCACATAAAATGTTCACTTTTACTTGAATCTTGAATATTTCTAATGTTCTTAAATCTTAGAACATTTTTCTCAAGTTTATTTTTCTTGAAATATTTTGGCTTATCTGGAGGCATGCAGCTTTAAAGAAGTGTTAGCATTTTAAATAGTCAAATTTTAATCAACACTAAGTGTTTTGGTATCTGTCAAGCAATTGATCACTTTTTCACGGGACATCAAATGTGAATGTCTATCAGCGGGATCTTTAACATCTTGATTTACTTGTTCAACGCTTTTCTATCGAAACTCAATCAACTCAAAGAAGACGTTACGATTATCCCTTGATTTACCAAACGAACATAAAGAAATGTACAACATGTTTTTTTTTATGATTTCCACTTTAAAATCATTGTAAATTTGATGAAATGAAGGTTTTGACACAAAAGACTAAGTATGCAATCAATACTTTTCATTCCTAAATTGATGTTTTCCTCCAAAATTGCGTTTTTTTATTCTCTTCAGATCCTTCTGGTTTACCTTCATTTTTTTTTCTTTTCACCAAAGATGCGTTAAGCGAAGTTCACAAATACAAAGAAACTATAACAGGATGTAAACGCTTTAAACAGTATTTCAGTTTTTATTTTGTCAAGAGTCCGGGTAAAAAAGTGTAAATATATTTAAAGAAGTGGGTAAAAAGACTGACACCGAGGTGAAACATTTAAAAAAGTTATAGACATTTATGACCATTGTATTGGATGTAATCTTGATTTCATCATGTTTATTTCAGTACTAACTGGTATGTTATAATTATATTTTACAATATTCATTTCTTCATTAATTTTGTCTTACCACGTATAGTAGTGTACCAATGAAACAGTATTCTAATATATTAGCAGTTTCGTGTATAAAGGAAATCCACTGAGGTTTTTTGAATTAGGTCTAGACCAATAACTTGTGTTCAAAAGTTCAGACCATTCGCTCATTCCGTTTTTTCTAAAAAATAATTTTAATTGAGGAAAATGACCGAAATTGAAAAGCGTTGCAACGCTTTTTACTAAAATCGGGCTTAATTAATATAACGAACAAAATACAACCTGTACGATTATTTATTTGTTTCTGAGTATATTTCTTAATTTTCTTTTGTATATCGTTCTGTTTTAAGTCTATGTATGAAATTAATATTTTATGTTTTGAGGCTTTTGAACCTCAGTGGAGTTCCTTTAAAATGGTAATTGGTAATTCAATGGTAGACATTTCATGATTTATTTCATCTGAAAAAACATTTAATTTTCAATCCATGAAAAAAACTTGATAATAAAACTCGTATTACAACGGATGCGATAGTATTCATTTAATTTTTCTTTATTTTTTATTCAATTTTCTTACTCTTTCTTATGGGTGAAAACAACAACAACAACAACAAAAGGCGCTTTCATTTTGAAAATGTGTGTTATGTGAAAAATGGTATGAAATAAACAGTGATGTTAATCTCCTTCAAAGTTCAGCTGAATTATCAATTAATTAGACAAATTAAACATTACATGTAGTAATTTGAATGGAAGACACATACATAGTCTACCAGCTTACAATATGTCATGTATGTCATTAGCTACATATTGCTCCAATTCCACGAAAAATAATCCTGCGAAGTGGAGAACTATGTGTTGTATACCATTTCCTAACATTCGGCAAAACTAAACTTAAGTTCACAAATTTGGTTTACTGTCTCTAAGAATTATTGATACTAAGAAGATTTGAAAGCTTCTAGTTTAAAAAAACATTTGGTTAGATTAGTAATAATTATTATATCATCTGACTGTTATCAGTTTGACTTCCTATTTTTATGTCTTTCAGAGATTTCTTTTCCATTACTTTATTTCATATCACATCACCATGGTTTAATATCACATCACCATGGTTTAATATCAAATCACCATGGTTTAATATCAAACCACCATGGTTTAATATCAAACCACCATGGTTTAATATCAAATCACCATGGTTTAATATGAAACCTACATGGTTTAACATCAAATCACCATGGTTTAACATCAAACCACCATGGTTTAATATCAAATCACCATGGTTTAATATCAAACCTACATGGTTTAATATCAAATCACCATGGTTTAATATCAAACCACCATGGTTTAATATCAAATCACCATGGTTTAATATCAAACCTACATGGTTTAATATCAAATCACCATGGTTTAATATCAAACCACCATGGTTTAATATCGGCATGCTTCTTATTTTAATAAATAATAAGTAGAGTTATTGAACAGATATTTTAAAGGGTAAAATTCTCTACCTCGACTGAAACATTGGTTTATTTATTTTATCCAAACAGATTCATTATTTTGCTCAAAATGGTAGCAACTGTATACAAATACTTTAGGAAATGTTGGTTTGATTAACAAAAATGTCATTTTCTCAAGACCTATCAATTACATTGAGAATTATCAGTTTCTTTAAAAACTTACCATTTCATTTTAACCGATTGTTCCTTGTTTCAATTTAAGCATTGATCTGTGTGTGTGCCGTCATTGCTGGACAGAGGGTATACCAATGTGACAACAAAAATGCAAACGATAACTATATGCAGTGTTTGAACAAATGGCGTGTATTTAGAAGCTGCAGCCTAGGGCATGCACAGTTCCTGAAAGACGTGACGTTGATTGATGAAATATGTATGTGAGTAAGATTTTGGGTCGTTAAGTGACCTGTCTATGTCAGTGTATCAAATTGTCGACACAACATGTATAATAAGCCAGTATAATTTTATATCCAGCAACTTAGAGATAATACATCACTTAATTATTTAAATATATTAATTCAGCTGTCCGTAGACTTTTAAATATTTCATACTGTTTAACTTTTTTTTATAAACTGTTCACAATATATAAAAAGTTAACCACCTGATATGGAAGAATGTAAATGGAAGAAGAATGTGTATTTGCTGCTTTCGGTCTTGAAAATATTTCACAAGAAATGACTTATTTTATGCCCTGAACATCAAAAGAATCAATTAAACGACATTTGCTTGGTATTTCATGAAATATTTTGTGTTAACTAACCAACAATTGCATCTACTTGTTAGGAATGTACAACCTGGCCTAGTATTTCAAGCTTAGTAAGTAGAGCTTTTACAAAGTAATTTTTCTACCGGGTCTAAGATATTCGGAGGTTGTGCTGGATGCGCAGGCTGGTCTGGATCCATGTTGGTCGCAAACGCACTATGTTGGTGTTGTCATGGCGCGGCTCATATACCTATAGGTCACATTTATTCGATATAATTTCAGATTGATTATTCACTCATGTTTTACATGTAGATTTAGGCTTTATATCTTTTTGATTATTTTGCATATGAGTTCATATCAATGTTACAAATTCAATCTACAGAAGTTACATAAAATGTTACACATATAAGTTTTTTATATAGTTTTAAAAAGTATATTTCAAGGTAAGTAACCCTGATTTTGGAAAAAAAGTTGTTATTAAATCATATCATACATGTATTAACATGTTGGGGTTTTATTATTTTAGTTTAGATAGATCCAAAGGTGTTCTCACCGTTGAAGAGATGGATACACGTGTAACTAATGCTATACCACTGTACTGTAATTTTATAACTGCACACTGGAAGGGCCTCAAACAATTTGTCATCTACTTATGCGAACACAGAGAAGGTTAGTTAGAAAAATAGACCCTATGGTAAAGATGATAAAGATACTAAAATATGTTAACACCAGATGTATAGTTCGATTGTTTCCAGTAGATGATGCAAGCATAAAGAAACTGTATATATAATATCAGAGTGGGTAAATGATGTAAACATAAAGAAACTAAAATATATAATATCAGAGTGGGTAAATAATGTAAACATAAAGAAACTAAATTATATATCACAATGGGTAAATGATGTAAACATAAAGATACAAAATTAATGTAACATCAGGGTTGGTTACTGGTGTAAATTAAATGTAAACTGACTGAAATAAAGAAACTGAGATATCAGTGTAGGTAAGTTAGGTAAGCTGAAATATATGGGGGAATAACTTGGGATGTGCACACATATATCGCATTAGGCAAGTCAAGTAAAATAAAATGAAAAATAAAATAAATGAAAGCTATAAAGCCTACCTAGTATATTAATTTACAATTACATACACCAGTTTTTCAGATTAAAAGATTTATTAAGATAAAATTTGCTTTCAGAGTTCCAAGGGATATATGCACAGTGTAGAACAAATAGGAACTTCCAATCTGCATACCACGACTGCAAAGCTACCCATGTAAAACAAATAATCTTCGAGGGGGATAGTTGCAGGTATAATTTATTGGCGTTTCATTTTCTTTGAGAATGTGCCGATAGCGTTGATAAACTTGCATTCATATAACGAGATGCCAATTCTAATGCAAAGAAGCAAACAACAACCGCCGGGTGGGGGCAACGCTCGGCTTTTCTGTTTGCTTTTTCTAAAAGGTTTAAACATTTTGGACGATGTGCAAAATTTTAGATGTAAAATTGAACTTTGATATCAGCTGACCTAGATTTTAATGAAGAGACCTGCTTTCTCGTCCTTTGATGTACAGCTATATGAATTGGACCATGTTCACAGTTTTACGTGTAAAACTGAACATTGAATTATATGGAAAGTATTAATACTTGGAGAAAATGACAAGTGTGACTAGACCTACCTATTAAAATTTATAAAAGGGAACTATTTTTTAAAAGATTTGTTTAAACCTTTAAACAATAAATTATAATATGCCTCAGAAAATTGTATAAAATTTCTATTAATTTTTTATCATTTTGTTGCAGTTCGTATAGAGAAATGGAAAAATGTTTTAAAAATGCTCTTGCGAATCACTGTTCGAAGAATGCAGCTGAATTCTTCATGGAGGCCTTCTCGAAAAGAGATGATCCTTTGATAGCTATAAGCTGCAAAAAAGGTACATTTGTATTCATTTTATTCTGAGAAAAGTCCAAAAATAACTTTTGGAAGTTTCGTATTCTAATATTATATGACGCTTTAAAATCTGCAAGGTTGAACCACATTTTCTCATTGATTAATTGAGGGGCTTTGGTATAACCTTGAACTTGTATAACAAGTATGTAAGAATTAGCTTGTGTTTTTCATATGTATTATATAATATATCCAAGTAATCTTCGTGAAATGACGTTTGCGTCACTTGAAGTCAATTGTGATGTACGATTCTATTCAATTGTAGCTGATACAATAAAGTACTCGCTTTGTATGGTTTCACAAAAATGGATGAGTATTAAGTGAGTTAGACTCAAAACACAGGACAATTATTAGACTCAATTTGTTGTTGTTTTTATTTACCTCTATTGCAACAACATTTATTATGTCACTATAATCATGCTTTAAACAAAGAACGACTCTTTTACAGAGAAGTGTATATATTTTTGGAGTTTATTTTGAAGTGAAGGTATCATCTTGAGTTAATCAATTTAGCATTAGGTGAACCTTCATAAAATCATCGTTCATTTCAAAACTGTTTCGTTTTGTATGGTGCATGAAATAATTAATGTTGGTAAATATAACACGTGTGAAGGATCACAAGAAACCTTTTTTCTCATCTTTATTATTATTTCTAGAGAAAGAAGAAAAAGAAAAACAATCAACAGACAACCGTCCAATGACAAGGGAACGTGTCGTACTTGCTGAGGAAAGTCTTGCAGTGAATGAAGAAAGTGGAAGTGATATTTTATGTGCGAGATGCTACTTAATTATTTCTATATATATGTGGAGACTTGCCATATCTTTTCTAGCAGTGTATTTATTGTCATCATAATAAAGACCCTACCAAGCTGTGTTCAATTTTTCCGGATAAACAATAATATCATTGAAATTTCAATATATATCCATAACAAACATTATATGTATAATTTGTCCACATTAAAAATACATGTATTGTAGGTACATAGTTAATACCTTAATTAAATTCTACTTTTCTGTTTCTATGACAGTGCATAGTTCATACGATGACATTCGTCGTATTTCTTACAAAAGATGTGTAGAATGTTTGTCCCTCTTAAGGGAGACACAGTTTTACTGCATGATCATTCCTCGTTATGTACAAATTCACATGTAATTGCACTATGTCTCAGAAACGAATAATTATACATGTTCTTTAGAAAGGGTGACGGTGACAGGCGGGTGAAGTAGCAGCATCCTTGTCCTATAGCACATGGCTAGTTAACTAGGAAAATTCATATAAATAGTGTAATCTGATTGGTAAAGTATCTCGTGCGCACGACTTAATTATCTCGTTCTCACGACTTAGTAACTCGTGGCCACGACATAGTATCTCGTGCGCACCACTTAATTATCTCGTGATCACGACTTAGTAACTCGTGGCCACGACATAATATCTCGTGCGCACCACTTAATTATCTCGTGACCACGACTTAGTAACTCGTGGCCACGACATAGTCTCTCGTGCGCACCACTTAATTATCTCGTGATCACGACTAAGTAACTCGTGGGCACGACATAATATCTCGTGCGCACCACTTAATTATCTCGTGACCACGACTTAGTATTTCGTGGCCACGACATAGTATCTCGTGCGCACGAGATAAATAAAAACACACACATGTCACCTCTGTGCCACTGTATTTTTTTTAAACTAGCTGATGCCACTACGAATATTTTAATTTTGTAGATTTTAAGTGTAAACAATTTACTGTTTGTAAAATTTGAGATAGATATTAAAGAAACGTTGATAATTTTCAAACACATCATTCAAGTTTTTCCACCTTAAACTGTAAAATAATTATAGAAAATTAGAAATATCACGTAATAGTTTTTTGTTGTTAATTAGGTGTAATTCGGACTAATTCCCTAGAGGTAAATCCGTAACGTACCGGCGAATGGTATTTAGCTAGGTTTTCGAAAAGGTCAATTAACTAATCATATACGGTTTACAGATCACATGCTCCTCCATGAACCGAAAACAGGTCACGTGCTCGTCCATGCCTCAAAAGTTAAACACGTACCAATACCCTGCGGTCCAGACCGCAGGGAATAAGAATATATCTGGTCATCAGATGTCCTCTAGCTGCATTCCTTACTTGGACGCCCTTTGATGCTTTGCATCAATGCTTTTCTGGTTAAACTGGTTTAATATGATCAAGGTGCGTGTTATGTTTGCACTGAAAACATCGACACAATTACCTTACAATGTGATAGTGACATCTTGAATATCATAATAATCATAAATTAAAATCCCGGTATCAGAGGCCAGTATGTCGGTTATTATATAACTCACTTGATGTTAGGGAAAGGAATGTACAATGCTCTTCTTACTATACAAATACAGACACTGACAACAGCGTAGATCAAATAGTGTTCGGGAATTGATTTCTCGTTAGATTTACTTGGTACGCAGATTGAATAGTGTTAGGGAATTGATTTGTATCTAGATTTCGTTGGTACGCAGAAATAAAATAGTTTAGGGAATTCGGAAATTGGTATGGATTTGTTAGTACGCAGTTTTAGTGCGGGCTTGAAAATTCATTTCAGTTTAATCTAGTTCATATCAAAGAGTGTATTGGGAACTGACTTTCTATTTAGATTTTGTTTAGTACGAAGATCAAATAGTATTCGGGAATTGATTTCTATTTAAATTTGTTTTGTACGCAGATCAAATAGTGTTCGGGAATTGATTTCTATTAGATTTGTTTCCTACGCAAATCATAATGCGTTCTTGAATTGATTTCTATTTAGATTTGTTTGGTTCGCAGATCAAATAGTGTTCGGGAACTGATTTCTATTTAGATTTGTTTTGTACGCAGATCAAATAGTGTTCGGGAATTGATTTCTATTAGATGTGTTTCCTACGCAAATCATAATGTGTTCTGGAATTGATTTCTATTTAGATTTGTTTGGCACGCAGATCAAATAGTGTTCGGGAATTGATTTTTATTTAGATTTGTTTGGTTCGCAGATCAAATAGTGGTCGGGAATTGATTTTTTATCTAGATTTGAACATAAAATATGATGTACAACCTCAGGCAAAATGGTATGGTTATGTTCATCACAGTTTTCAGTGCAGGGCTGGAATATTCATTTAAGTCTAATCTAGTTACATACATCAAAAGATGAGCATAATTGTGAAAGCATAGACTATTCACAGAAACTATTTAGTTCTTTAAAATGAAAATAAGAAATAAATATCATTAGATGAGCATAATTGTGAAAGAATAAACTATTCATAGAAGCTATTTAGTTCTTTTAAATGAAAATAAGAAAAAAAATCAATAGATGAGCATAATTGTGAAAGCATAAACTATTCATAGAAACTATTTAGTTCTTTAAAATGAAAATAAGAATATCAATAAATTACCAATGTTTCTACTATTTTTTCTGAGCAATTTATTTCGTCCGCAAAATAAAAAATAACAAGTTGAAATGTTTACAAGGCTGTAAATGAGTGATAAGGTAAAAAAGGAAATGATGCAAACGAAGAATAAACCCTCAGTTAAAAAATCAAGTACAAATTAACATTAGATAAGATATTTTAAAACAACATTATAAAGGAAAAGTCCTTTTTTTGCAGTGTGTATTCTATGGCGTCATTTGTTTTTGTATGCGTAAACGGTGACGAAAACAACACTTTTATCATATTTATTGAAATGATTAATGAACAGAACAGAACAAGTTTATTCAACAATAAAGAATTGAACTTATGTTCCTCTTCCATACATGCAACACATATAGACCTTTTTACAATACGATTTTCCATAACTACGAATGTTGCATTTCGCGCATGCGCATTCTGCGTAGGGCAAAAAGCAATAACGATGTCTACAGTTTATCATACTTTAAGGCTTTAATAGATGCGATTTCATGTTATGTCACCCCAAAAAAATATTAATTTTGGGATGACTTAAGGCGGAAAGTACTGAAAACGTGAATTTATTTTTTAACAGATCTACGAAAATGTGCGAGACTAAAAATTCAATGGTCAAAAAGGGCACTCACATGTCGTTTGTTTAAGGTATCATTAGACGACATAGGTCAATATACATGTATTGACATATAGTTATATAGTCATAATTTTACATTATGACACAAATTACAAAAGTTGATGTTAAAATAAAGAAAAAAAAATTAATACTACGAAAGATAAACAAAACTATAATCTACAAAGGTAGAGGATGAGCAATATGAACAATTGTGATTATTTACATTCTTCATTTCTATATTCAATGTTTGATTATTGCTAGACATTTAAAATATGCAAAATGGTTCACTTGTACGAACTCTGCCGTAGTTAGTAAATTTTTCATTCTGTTTTCAAACATAAATAAATTTGTATTTACTTTTACAACTTACTGTTAAAAACTGAGAGTTATTTTCAACAAAATACTCGTTTATTTCTTTTGTTAGCCAAAAATAAAAACTTTTGCCGTCAGTGTTTATCAGCCGAGTGATACAAATACCTTTATCAGACGTGTTTCTTTCAACAAGCAATTTAAGATTTTAATGGAGTCAATTAGTTTAGATACAGAGAAATGCTATTTAAGTATGTAAATAGATCTCCGATCTTTATTACCAAGTCTCCAACCATCTGATAACCTTAGATTCTCAATCGGTGCTTAATACGACATGCATGCGTCTGTTTGAACAAATACACCTCCCTGCGGAAATTCTTTACATGCTCGAAATAATCAACTATTAATGAATTGATATATTAACAAGGTGTGACTTAATGATAAAGGGCTGGATCTTGATTTAAAAATTGGAATTTAATGAAAATGTTTGGGATGGCTTCTGTGACAATATTGCCTAAAATTAGTGACTTTGTTTGTTTTATGAAGTTAAGCATCAAATGTCAGTGAGAAAAATAACAACAGCAAATGGATTAGAAAAATGTGGTAAATGGTAGATTTGCCTATATAATGGTAGATTTGCCTATAATGGTAGATTTGATTGAGTGGAAATATTCTAAAACGTCGGAAACGGTTAATAACTAGATTTGTTGAATATTACTTTAGATATACATGTACATGAATATATTTAAATATGTTTCAACAACGCGTTAGTTATACTATAAGCTTATAACATAGTTTATAATTTATAGTTTTTATTTCAAATGTGTGAAATTACAACGTTGAAACTTTGATGTACCCTGGTTTATGATCAAACAAATTACATTTTTAAACTACATCCTTTTTATGTGGCTGATGTAAAATGTAGGATTATTTGTTAATAACTTTGATCATATTTGAAGGTCTGTAATTGGGCTGACTAAATATGTATTTATTTATAAAGAGTTTGAGTAATATACATAGTTCCCGTCTATTGATGCGAATTAATGAATAGGTACAAAATGTTGAAGTCAAAGGTAAATTTTTAATGATGATAGGTAATGACCAGGCTATGACTCTGTGATATTAGTTAAGTGGATATAAGACAAAGTAAAAGCAATTAATGGTTTGTTAATTACAAGCCATGGAATAGCTGCGAGTTTCAGAGAAGCCATTAGATACTGGTATATCTGGAAGTGAATCGAGGTATTAAGCGTGATTTATTTATCGGCGAGATAAAAGCAGACGATAAAGTGGTGCAAACAGAAGTAGAAAACAATTTACATTATTCTGCCGAATTATGTTTGAGATATTGCTAGGAATTTGTTGTTCGTTAAGTCTCGTGTATGTGTTCTTATGTGTTTGGCGTCGGCGGAAACGGAAGCTGCCCCCGGGACCTCAGGGGTATCTTTGTTTTGGAAACAGTTTTCAGATAGACGCTGACCGGATTCATCATGATCTACATAAATTCCGTGAAGAATTTGGACCATTATTTAAACTGAAATTATACGGTACTAACATAGTAAATTTGTCGTCTGCTTCACTTTTGTATGAAGCATTTGAAACGACGCCGACGGATGAAATTGCAAACGATCGGTCGGCAAACTCTACCTCTGACATTTTCTACGGTCGGAAACATATGGGATGTGCAAATTTATCAAATATCACTCTCCTTCTTCGAGAATTCCATAAAAGTGCAATACCTAGATATTTTGAGCGTGAACAGTTCTTTGAATTACTTAATAAAGAGGAAATAAAACGATTACATTTAAATCTTATAAGTAAGCCAACGTGCAATATTAACCCGCACGAGTATTTGAGGACATATTTTAAGAACGTATGTGCAATATTGGTAAGTAAACATTTATAATATGTGTAAAATTATAAATATTTTAATTAGTATCTACATATAGTAAATTTAAAAGTCAACGTTTTTCGAAATAAAAGGCAAAATAGTATACATTCTTGTCTAAAGATGATTTAGTGGTAAATGTGTGATCTTCTCAACACAAAGGTCGTGAATTTGAACCCTATTTCGCCTCGGTGATGTTCCTTCACAGGTATTAAGTTCTGATAAGTCTTTGAAGAGGTCAATAAAATGGACTATCTAAAATGAGCGCGTTTTAATTTACTATCACTTTAAAAGCACATGATAGTAACAATTTAAAGCTGGGTTTAACCAAAATATAAAGTACATGTAGTCGGATGTGGACATTTTGCCAATCTAAAGTCTAATCTAATGTTCTTTTAAGATTAAAGTTTTATAATGTCGTTTAAATAGATAAAGTTACCCTTGAACAAATCAAAGCTTTGATTAAATAAAAGTTAATGTTCAATATTATCTAATGAGTGGTCTGGCGCACGAGTATTCAATTTTACAAATTCGTTTTTTTGTAGGAAATATGTGCTGCATTTATTATTTGAGCTAGATACAGTAGTTCCCAGACAAGATAACGGACAAAGATCCGGCATATAACCCTCTCTAATACATTCACATCTTTGCTGATTTACAGTATCCCTCTAGCTGTTGAAACGTTTTCTAACGTACTAATTGAAAGTTATGATTCTGGCATATCTTAAATAGATAAATGTGGCCATAGAACCTGGCGAGTTATTATAACGAATTTTTAATACTGCATAGTTGATTCCATTGATTACAATATTAATTATTTCCCGAATTGAAGAAGCAGTATGTATAAAAACTGCAAAGTACGACAACTGTTTGCAGACGTGCCACTCATGTACATAAGTATATGATGTGGAATGAAAAAAAATCTAAATTAAAGTGAATTTGTCTTCAGTTGACTTGTTTTACATTAGTATTTAGTCACTTTAAAAAGTCTACAGTCTATTGTTTCCATTAAACACCGCTAATGACATCAAAACTTTTTCTTATACCTAAAACAGTTAAGTTTAATAAATATGGTGAAAAAATGGTCAGAATTACAAATAAATAAATAAATAATAGTTTTTATAGAATAACCACATTGCTTTGATTTTTTATGTGTTATCATGATTAAGGTCAAGGTGACACGTTTTACAATTCTAACGTATTTGAACAAAGATTTCGTGCGTGAGAGCGAAAGAAGAGTATGTTTATAGTGCAAATATAGTCCTTTTGAATTTTTCAAGGGATGGATAAACACATAATTGCAATTGGAAGATTATATCGGAATTTGAAAGAAAATTAGTTTAAATTACTAAATAACTGGTGACAAGGTGAACAGAATGAGAGTGCAAGTTTAAAATAGCATCACACACTTTATTTTACATACCGCATAATTTACGGTAAATTTTTATGCGATAATGGCAAAACTTGACCAAATTGTTGTCCCGACTTCATGCAATTAGTTTCACAAACAAAAAAGAAATTGGTTTGATTAATTATTTTGTATTATATAAAAACAATAATAAGGTGTCGCAGCGGCAACGGAAGTTCGTCGACTGGTTTTAAACATAAAAATTACATTACGTCATTTACAATGTCTTTTCATTAAACATTTAGAAATCTTTTATCAAAGGGCCTCTGACTACCATTTATTGAGAAATAATATTATACGATAAACTCTTACAGTCAATGTTCTGTACGTCTTACCCTGGATTTTCAAGCATTTTATATAGTTCAAAATGTATTGCAATATATCGCATTATAATTATCGCAATATGATTTTTCTTTGCAATACCGACCCAAATAGAATTCCATTCCATGAAAGGATATATATCTTATCTTTTTATTAAGTTTCACTTACATTGCACGTTTGTCTTTGCATTGCACTTTCAGTTGATCGGCGAACGTCTTTCCGAGACGGTTCCTGACACAGACGCGCCATGGGAATTCATTGACCTTCTGTTTGAACTTATCGAACCTTCGGTAGATGGCGCTCTCAGAACATTTCCGTTTCTTAGACACCTGCCAGGCTACTATGGTGATGTGTACAGACGGACAGTTGAGTCAAGGGATAAAGTGGCAAAAAGATTCTTCGAGGACCAAAAGGTTAGAATTCATTCTTTACTTCTATTACAAGTATATCAGATTCAGATCTAGGAGAAGAAATAAATCATTCATAGAACCATGTAGAGGTAGATGCTTTGACTCGTAACGTTTTTTTATTCAAAAGCAGCAAGAAGTAGCGCAACAGTTTTTGCAATAAATTCTATTTCATAACTTACTAATACAACTGTAACCTGAACTAGCTCGTGCAGGAATTTCTTTAACTATCTTCAAGGAATGTGCGTTACAATTTAATCAAAGGAAATATCAAGATATCTTTCTGTAGTTCTCATGTCCATATCCGTCTTACAGATTAATCAGTTCTATTACGTTTTCCTTTTTAAAAAATCGGAGAGAAAACATTTTCGTGATATTCTAATCCATTTTTGCTACCTTATCATTTCATGCAATCGAGGCCGACGTTCATAAGATATTTTTATAAAACATTTATTAGAAATCTACTTTCAACATAACTTGCACGTTTCTTTAATCAATTGCACGCTTTCATAACGCTTTTAATCCTAACATAAGAAAGATTTGTTGTAAAAGAGAAAAGATGATGTTGTAAAAGCAGGCGGAAGTTCAAAGCAAACGCTCAGACCGTTTGTTTATTTAATGGTTATTAGGGGAATATATTCTATCTAAACAAAAAGAGTTGTTGTTTATAGAATAATCGAGCAGATTTTTTTTATCAGATATAAGATTTTTTTGATATATTGCAGATTGTGTGGAGATGCTAATCTATAAATACAATTCTGACAGATCATGAACATATTTTTTATAGCTGAGTGGCACCATATAATAAATGGCATTAACCTACTGAGTTTATGTTAGGTTTTGAACAACTTTCTAAATTTCTTTTTAAGTTAACTTTTGTATCAAGACTGTTACAGTGTAACCTCTACAGCGTGGCACTTTTGTTTCAGAAATCTTACATCTCTGGAAGGATGAGAGGCCTTGTAGACGTGTGTTTAATGAGACAATCAGATGACGTCATCAAAACCGGAAGCACGTTATTAAGTGACGAACATATCAAAGGTTTTATATTTGACACCCTTGCGGCAGGTAATCATAATGCAAAGCCTACTACACAATTTTGTAGTTTGAATGAAGAACTAAATCTATCCAAGTTTGCTTATGTTTAAAAAAATTTCAAACACTGAGACCTATAAACACACCTGAAATAAATGCATTTCAATAATTTCATATTAAAAAGAAGAAAAAGTTCTAACACGCTTCACACTATTCTCCTATTAAAGACACAATGGTTATATTTTATTTCAAATAGTTTGGCATTGTATTAATTCTTAGAACTGTAGATAATACCTCTCAAACAGTTTGTCAAATAGTAACTTTGCAACCATTTCACATTAAATAGTATTTTACAATCGGCCGACAGCTAAAAATACGTAATAAAATATAAAACAATAAAATATACGTAACTTTCGTTTGTAAACCATTTGAAACTCTGAAGTAAGCCTGTACAAGGGAATGGATGGGGTGGGTGTGCGCGGAGTTAACTTGCGTCAATCAGTCAGAGTCTGAAAATTTTCAATTTAGCCAACTTTAAAATTACCATTTTTGACTTTTTAAATGATTCTAAAAGAATTTTTAATTAGATGTTTAGGATACAAACATATTAAAAGTATATATACCCATACACATGTAACGTTAGGTATATTAGATTGCAACCGGAGTTATTAGCAGCCAGCTTGACTATCTCACACTTAATAGCTTATGTCAGTGATAACTTCCATACCATACCTATTTCAAAGGTCGGTTATTAATTTTTACGTTTATCAACTTCAAAAGCAATGTCGAAAAATAAAATGAATAAATGTTTTCCATCTTTCAATAGCTTGTATAAACCCAACTAACATTGTAGCTTTCAGCATCCCATCAAAGGTAACTGATAGAAACTTAAAGGCAAAAAATAACCTTCATAAACAAAGAATTTGTAAATCATGCGATGCGAAACAAGTAGAGAGTGAATATCACTATTTTCGTGCATGCCAACATAACTAAGACTTTAAACGTTCAAATATTGTTAAATTAAACTCTAGAATGTTTTCGCCAAATGACAATAACGCATACTGTCTCGATCATGCTTTTGTATACGAGTAAATAACTATTTTCGTAATAATTTCTTAATAATTCGGGAAATTCTAACCCTTAATAAGGAACAAGGCATGGTTATATGTTAAGGTTGGTAAAGAAACATCAGAAAATTGCTCAACTTTTCTATCGTGTGTCACTGCAATATTTAAACACCAAATATAGATTTCTAATTTTGTTAACAGGAATGACAGAGTTGTTGAAGAGTATCCGCCTCTTTATTTTACTAATGTGTCACTATCAGGACATACAGACACGCCTACAAGCAGAAATTGACAACGTCATCGGTAAATGATTTCTTATGCTGATGAATTATGCTCAAATTTGTACTGTATGTCAAATGTTATTTTCTCTATGCTACATAATATTAAGCCAACTGTACATTTTACCTTTTATTCCTTTTTAGTCCATTATGCTATTTAATCACACAGAGCGATCACGAACTTAAGTCTTGTTACGAAGTTGAAATGCGCATGTTTTGTGTTGGTTTTGCAAATGGCGGATATGAAACTAATTTCCGCCGCCATCTTTTAACAAAATGACTGGCCCGCATGACGTCACATTTGCCAAACCGGTCTATATTTAGTCTTACTAATGATACCACGGTAGGTGACCGAAGTCGCCCACAATTTGTTATGGTTCATTTATGCTGTTCATAGTATTATGTAATGTAACACGTTACAAAAATTACAATTTGTTCTTTTAGCGCCTCACACTTTGTATATCATTTCTTGCTATTTCTTGCCATATTACGCCTATACCTTACATTATGTGCTCTATGCTACACATTGTCATTTTACATTTTCTTTGACGGTATTGAAATATGTAATTTAGATGTTACAGATATTCAGAAAATCTGTTTTAAATGACCACTTGTTTCCCAATGCATGAATTTTATAAATATGCAAATTAAACTTTATTTGATAGGAACTGAACGATTTCCGGAAGTGTCAGACCGGAAGTGGATGCCATTTACGAACGCTGTCATGCTTGAACTATTGCGTTACGGCTCACAGACACCATTAGCAATACCTCATTTGTGTAAAAAGGGATTTCTTTTAGACGGGTATTACATAGAAAACGGGTCCGTGGTATGTTTTGATTTATTGAAAAATTGAAAAAGAATGAACAAATTTATCATTCCTTTTGTATGTTTTCATCAGCTCCTACCATCGAGTCAATTTAACGAAAACTTTTATCATATCAGCAAAATGATTTTTAAAACCATGCTCATAACTACATGTTTATACATCATATTTAAGCATTCATGAAATGATTATCTATGAGTAACTTGTATAAATAAGGCTGCGTCGATCTCGTGTTTAGTGCGTCTGCCACTTGACCCAGAGAATGTAGGTTCGAGCTTGTTTCTTCGTATGTAACCAGCACTTATTATCTCCAGGCTTGGGAGTGGTTCAAATGAGCTCCAGACTTTCACCAAACCAATCTCAATTGAATATATTTTAACTAAATACAACTACTTTGCATATTAAATTGCCAAAATCGACCTAGTGACAGCAAAGCTTTTCAGTAAAATCATTCCGTAATTTAGAGGTACAATTTTAATTTGCATGCTCCCGTCCTAATTGTCACATAAAATGCCATGTCTACAGTATAAAACACGATATTTTGGCATTGTAAATCTTTACATTTTCTTCTGTATTATTTTCAAAATTTTATAATTCAATAATATTTTACTGTGTATTTTAGCTCACCTGAACACAACGTGCTCATTGTGAGCTATTGTGATCCCCCACTGTCCGTCGTTCATCGTCAACAATTTCTTTTAAGAACATCTCCTCAAAAATCAATGACTCCTCAGTAACCATACTTTACAAGAAAGATCCTTGGATGGTCCTAGGGTCAAAATTGGCCCCGCCCCGGGGTCATAGGTTTTCCTTATATGTATATAGTAAAAACTGTTCCCATCCACAAACTTTAACCTTGATCATAACTTTAAAGTTCTTGGTGTATTGTCTTAAAACATCAACTTCTTACCTACACAAAAAATTAACCCTGTATTGTATATTTTTAAGACCTGGTAACTTCACTTTTGTATATCAATTGCATTTAGTACTCAGGTGAGCGCATTGGGGCCAATGGCCCCCTTGTTACATTTGGAAGACCAAAGAAATATTACACAGTACATGTATTTTGAACGTTCGTTAATTTAAATTTGTTATTTTATTTTAGATTTTTCCAAATCTGTACAGTATTCATCATGACTCAGAAATATGGGGCGATCCTTGGGACTTCAGACCTGAAAGGTTTCTCGACAACAAAGGGGATCTCCTTCCGCCCGATCATAGTTACATACGGAAGTAAGACACTAAGCTTGTATTTTTGAATCATTCAACCTCTTGCTTATCCATTTTATTTTTCATTTTGCTGTAAGTCAAGTCAAGCCGATAGTGTTAAGATAATACAGCGACATTTCAGTGTTTAAAGGTTGCCCATTCCTGTATAAACCCAGGCAATAGTTTACGCGGGCAGATTTGAGAAAATGACATCAAGGGAGACAATTCAGTACATCTAGAAAGCTTTGAATCGCAAAGGGAGGCAAATGTTTTAAAAGTAACGAATTCCATATAAAGCGAAAGGCCTTTATCGGGTAACATTATCATGTTAGCCATTTTGTACTAAGTCCAAGTCACACTTTAAAAGTTATTTGACATTGAAAAGGTTGACTTACCTATTTTAGTATTATTCACCAAAAGAAACATTTCGCTTTTTTCAGCGTTGTTCCATTTAGTCTAGGAAAAAGAGCTTGTCCAGGACAGGATTTTGCAAGGTCAAGGATATTTATAACCATTACGTCACTGTTGCAGCGCGTGCGCATTTTGCCGCCAGAAAACTACGACTTGCCGTCTGCAGATCCTAGATTGTACACGAGAAAATACCCCATGGCGGAGCCTCAGTATAAATGTCGAATCATTTCTCGAGAAAATATTATACTTTGATCTCATTATGCACCATTAAGTTGTCAAAAATAGATGTTGTTGTTTTTTCTAGTCAAAATAAATCATTTAGATGTTGTGTAGTCAGACTGATTTGTAGTACAGTCATGTTATTAAAATTGAAAGAAAAATGATAACCTTAGATTATTGAATTCCTTGACATTATTTACAATAAACTTTTAAATTTAATTAAAAAGAGCTTTTATCTTGCATAAAACATTGAGATCTCTCTAGTATCCAGACATAGGTCTAATCTTTATTTGAATAAAAAGCGCATAAAGAATGTTTTAATCATTAATCTTGAAAACTTTATCGCAGGATACGATAGAAAAAAAGAGAACAAAATAAAAACATTGTTTGTAAAACCTAAACTGACCTAGACCTATATTCCGATCAGTTTCCTTGAACTTTTTTTTTTATCAAGTAGACATGTTTATTATCTTTCTCGTATGCAATGATATCCAAACTATATGTATAAGCATGGAATTGTAGAATTCCTTTTAAAAAGTACGCCTTCAAATGAGGCAAACACAATGTTTAATAAGTCTAGCTGAGTAAGAGTATATTCTTCATAAGTTTACAACTTATATTTAGGTAATTTTCGTTTATTTACTATAATAAATAACTATCTACAGGTCGGTTATGTTTTCGGCCGTTGTTTGTTCACGATAAATTTAAGGACTATTCGCCATCTCTTGTCCGGTATTTGCCGGATACTAGTAGTATAAAATCCGTGTGCTATGCCATAAATAAGCACTGATAATATTTCTGCATTAATAGAACAATCCAGCAACATTCATACCATGTTTACCGCGACAGAGTTTCTTTTATTTTATTTTCACGGTGTTCTGTCATAAAAGTAATGGTTGTACTTTTTACAGATATGATAAACAGATTTCTTTGGCATATGTTATATTTTACATTGTTGAGTACAATACTGATTTTTTTTGAACGAGTAAACACCTGTTATAGCTATATTGGATGAGGCGCTAGCAGGTATTAACAAAAAATTTGCAGCTGTGTACGAGTCCAATAGAATCATTAATGTATTCAACTATTTTTGTTGACCACTTTATTTCACTCTTCAATTTATTTGACATTTTGAAAAAGTATGTAACTTCCAGTACAATAAATTCTTCGTTTTGTTCAGGATTTCTTTGAGCTTTTACATAAGGTAAAAAGAAGAAAATGACCTGAATTCCATGTGGTTTTCTGATTTATTGCATGATTTGGGAGTGGGTAGGGTGGGTTGCGGTGAGATATGGGGATATGAAATAAAATTGAATGTCACATACAAAATCATTCCTCGGTCATGCGTACAAAAATGATAACAAAGATCAAAAATAATTTTAATTTTAATATACTCTTCACGTCATCCATTTCAAACATATTATAAAATTTTGTTCAATTAAGCATACATTGTATGAAGAAAACAAACATAAAATCTACATAGAAATAAAACAATGAACGGCCATACATAAATACATAAACACACTTTTGTGAATTGATACGTATTATATTTAAACAACAATAAAAACAACAAAAGCAACAGTTAAAAACAAGCTTGTCCCTAAAGTAATATTATATTTCATTTCATTGTTATGAGCGATATTGATGAAAAAGCAATCAAAAACAAATGAACAAAAAGTTTTCTCTTTGATTGATTGGCAGTGAGTGATATAGAATTTATCTTATTGATAAAAATGAAACTTTTCACTGATAAGATATATAATCAATATCACCACCGTGAGCTAGAAATCGTTTGTAAAGCAAGTTATAAATAATGAACCTTAGCTACAATATATTTGTATGATCTATGTACATTAAATATACATGTACACCTTATGGTTTTTGAACATTCATAATTATACAATCCTAATTTGTGGACATTCATATTTTTCAGTATATGAACATTCAAATATGTATTTTTCGTCTATGAACATTCGTATACAATCCTTGCCTGTGAACAATTACATACATTGTATGGCATGTGAACATGGAAACACAAATCTATCATTTTGAAACACAAATCTTACTGTTGAACAGTGATAATATAAGTAATACATTTGACACACATGATAATTTGAGCACAATCGTATATACATTTAAAACTATTTTCAGAAACAAAATACTATGTATATATACAAATAATACTGTCTGTTTACCCAATGTAAATAAATGGTTTGTAAATGATACGGTGGTTGTAAAATTTTAATTATAACACTCGGTGTTTCTTTCTAATGAACTATTGACTGATCTGTAAAAGCGAATTTGATAGGGGCTTATATTTATAGCACGAATTTTCTATTTTTGATATACAACAATTTAATATATTTTGATTATACTTTGAATTACAATTGTTCGTTCGTGTAACGTTATTTTATTACTATAACAGCCCCCACCCCTTACCAATGATTGTACGCATTCAAGTCTGTTTAAGCATTCCATAAATGCCCTCAATTATGCTAGAAATAAGTTATTTTGAAATTGATCTTTGCTTTTTCCGGTTTTAAGCGGCTTATTCGGAAATAAAATGTACAAATCGGTATTTATAATTAAGTCACGTGATAAAACGAATCCGACAATTATGTTTTTATTTCGTATAAATATGTATGAAACTCGCCCCGGCAAAGTTGTTATTAATTTTTCCCTCGGAAACATTATCGGCCTTCCAAGGTTAGCAAATTGTCCTGAACGCGCTTCAAAAAAAGTTTATATGAAATAACAACTTCCTGTCAGACCCCACATATAGTATGACTATCATCTGTCCATGTACGGGGAACCAGACGACATTGATTCTGTTCTTAACGCGATACTGAGGCTGGTTCTTAGTCGATCTAAATATAGATCATTTTTCTCCACGCGCTTCTGTTCTAAGTTACGCCATCTGGCGGATAGATCTGTCAGTTTCCTGTTACTTCTTAATCTGAAATAAAAGAGAAAAAAAAAACATTTTAATTTGATTCAAGTACATTTGTGTCTTGGTTATATATCTGTTTAGTTTTTTTACCACTTGTGGTTTTGTATGCTCTTGCAAGACAATCTTTGTAAAAAATCAGAACCCAAATCCGGAAGTCCCTGACATTTCCTTTATTTCAATAGCACCTAACATATCCGTTTTTTTTTAAAAATTTAAGTTAAATTTGTGATGGATATTCCCATGCTGAACTGACATCATTTTAATACTACTATTCTAATATGAACAAGGCAAAGCCTCAAAGCGAGCTCGATTTACTTTTACCGTGAAATAGTATACAATAATCGTTCATTCTTATTTTACATTTTCCGTTTTAAAATTGTCATTCGGTATTTTATAAACTGCTTCCGTTTATTCTGGTTCCCTTGCCTATTATGGTTCTCATATAAGTGCGCAGGACACCAGTTTACGCTTCCGTTTTCAATCAGAATACCTCGGCTTTTATCGATATCTTGTAATTCGAAAAGTTGCGATGTGTCAGTTCGGTACTTAGGACCCATCACTATCTAGCAGGTACTCGCGTTACCGTAAAGCTCGCTTTGCGAGCAGGCCCTTCGGGCCAGCTCTACGAGCTCGCTATTACCATTATTCATTTAGATCTATTGTAAGCAAGAACTTTTCTGAGCATGTCACATGTTGCCCGTAACTGAAAGATCTTTAAAAGTTTCAGAAAGGGTTTTCTGTATTGTCAAAATGTCAAAAACAGGCAGTTTTATTTAACGTACTTTCGGAACTGTATAAATTCAAACAAATCGTCTGTTTTGTTACCTCCTTTGGCCATTTAGTTTACCTTCTTTTGCTATGAAAAGTGCTAAATTAGTTTACCTCGTATGCTTTAGATCTCAAGTCACAAAAGTATTACAACATAATTACCTTCTTTGGCTAGAGATCTGTCTTTGTTTTTCTAATTCTTGTCGTCGACGGATAAATTCCTCCTCCCATCGACGATCTTCTTCGCTTTGTTTCTCATCCACTAACTGTATGCGCTTCAGTTCCTTCCAAGTTTCCACCGCCTTATTCATCTCGTGCTCCGAGTAAAGCACCTACAATAAAGTAAACCAAGTTCATGTTATATCTTATATTGTTATAGTTTCCGACAATTTCTACATCTCAATTTGGGTAAAGCGTCTCATGTAACTTAGATAATTTAATCCAAGTCTTAATCGCTTCAAAAGTTTAAAGTAACATTTGCTTCAGGAAAAACACCCGTACTAAAATTGATAAATTTCCATAGTTGTCGCGGTTCCATCCGACATTTTGTAAAGCTCTTGATATTAAATTATTTTTTTGTTTGTTTACATCTTGAAATTCGAGTAACGTATGATAATTATTCAAGTTTTCACCATTTAAAACAAACATATCAGGAATTGGGTAAAGCATCCAACATAAAATAAATCAATATTTACGAGTACTTTGAATTAACATTTGAGCCGCGTTACGACAAAACCAACATAATGGGTTTGCGACAAGCATGGTTCCAGACCAGCCTGCGCATCCGCGCAGTCTGATCAGGATCCATGCTGTTCGCTTACAAACCCTATTACAAGTAGAGAAACTGATAGCGAACAGCATTGATCCTGATCAGACTGCGCGGATGCGCAGGCTGGTCTGGATCCATGCTGGTCGCAAACGCAATATGTTGGTTTTGTCATGACGCGGCTCATTTTAAGTTCCCCCTTCTTTTATATATCCTGTAATTCGGGCAAAGCACACGAAAGGAAACCGTTTTATTGTGACATTCAGATAATCAATTAAAAATATAATTCTAAAAGTTTTTCGGTTAAAGAATACGTAATAGCACCACGTGCATTTTACATGTATTTGTGCTTAACTCCGTTTTAATTATTATGTTAATTTAAATATAGATCGCTTGTTACGCCGCAACTTTGCAATGGGTTAACATTTGCAATAAAACTTTTATTTTCGATTCCCTTCCGTACTTTGAATAACGCTCACACAATTTATTACATCAATCAAGTTCTTAATTTCCATTTTAAATTCAATTATGATATCATTTAATAACTTTATTTCAATCTGAACAGACCAGTACAATCTCACTTCTGGGATATACTAAATGTACTCAATTCTTCATTTCCAAATGTTTAATTAACTTATTCATATATATATTTCCAGCACATACAGAAATTCAGTTAATTAGGTCCTTCACATACCAGTTTTATTCATATTTTTCGCACCTCAACTTATCTTTAAATCTTATTTTGTTTGATAAGACATTTGATTCATCCTTTACACAAATTTGAAATATTTTCATTTGAGGAGTGTTAACAAGTTGTCCACAAATTTTGTTCAAAAGACGTTATGAACAGAAGTATACTGAACAAATAAAACTCCAACCGAAAAATTTAATACCTGGTTACTACAAATATTAATAACCATGCAATGTCCATTAATTGTTATCAATATAAATAAAAAGTGAGATACAAGTTTAAATAGTAAGATGACCTTAGCGTCGATGTGGTCTTATAAAATAAGAATATTATATTATCTTTAAAAGAATAACATATTTAATGTTAAAAGAATATCTATATCAATGGAGTTCAGGATGACCTCCAAGACTGGCTGGTTGCTGGTTAAAAGCACGGTTCTTCCCACCAGGGGATTTATACCCAGCCGAGATATCTGCGATCACTCACATAAGAAAGACAGATGTATAAAGAACCTATTGGCGGTTTATACGATTTCTACTTTTAACCTTGAAATCAAATGTGAAGAATATTTGAAATATTAGATCTACATTATTGATATTTGAAATAATACATGGCGGGTATTTGAATTAATGCATGATTGATATTTTGAATAAAATAAGATGATTTATTATAAAGGCCTATCTCTATAATATACTAGACAATTATGCCCAAATCACAACTTGGCCATAGTGACACCTAGCAAAGAGGAGCAATGGACTAGTGGTTAATGTGCCTGCACCTTAGTTATAACATAGTAGGTTCAAGCCTACTGTTGGCCCGACCATATTTTCTCATAATTATGATACAATACTTGTTAGCTCCAGGAAGTCGACTAGAAAGTTAGTAATACATTCTGCAAGAATTTGTTTTAACATCAAATTAAAATGAATACGTGTATGTTTAAACAATCTTAACAACAAAATAAACAACAAATCCTGCTCGCCATTTATCAAGTCATCAATGTAATAACTAATTAGTTAATTTAGTATTATTTATTATTTATTTTCATATTTATTAATGACATCGAAAGCAGATGTAATCATAATTTATATTACATGCTTACCAATTAGTTGTTAAAATCCAAATATAAAAAATTCCTGATAAGACAACGTGATATGCATTTGCTAGGGAGTTGGGACACCTGTCATAATAAATACGCAAACTGCTTTAAGATAGCTTAAGAATTGCGTATATTTATGCCTCCAAAACAAACAGAATAGAATAATCCTTTCTGTAGTATGCTGAAATCTGAAATCTTACGGATTGTTTTGAATAGGGTAAACCTTGTTGTATATGAACGTATATAAAAGGTTTCATGCCATTCTTGCGGGGTTCAATTATAAGTCATATAATGCGCTTGTAAATACATTTTGTGAAAAGGCTGACTTAAGAGTGTATATCTATTTGAAATTCACTGAATGTGGTTTTAATTTGTAGTTAAGTCATTAATCTCTTTTAAGTTTATAACCGTTTCAAAAAAAAACGATTCTATTATAAGGGATTAACAGAATCGCGTATAAAGATTTTAATCTGGAAAGAAAATTGAAAAGCACTATGGATGTGAAATCACTCGGAATAAATAGAATTTAATATTGTAAACTATTTAATAGGTTATTCATCGTGTTGACAATGGAGACAGTTAAATGCTGAAATGCGTGTTTGACTCTGTATTTCTTTGTCGGCTTTGTATTTTAAACAACACGTTCATGAATGTCTGAAAGAAAAGCAATTTACGGTATTGAAATGTCATTCATAGTTTTTTTGGATTTCAATTGTCGTTGAAAAATAAAAGCGTTTCGATTGTCAATAAAAAAAACAACAACATGATATTCGATTTAATAAAATCCATTTGAATCCAATTAAATCTTACAATCGCTATGCTAAAAGAGTCGCCGGGACATGTTTCAAGGCACGTGGAAAAGGTCTGCGCAATTTATTATAATGGTTAATATTTTCAGATGTTATAAATGAATAAAAAGTGAAATGTTACAGCTTGTTTTTACAATTAGGAAACATTAACAGAAAGTGAAAAATTTCGGTTTGAATTTCGATCCAGAGAAAATTTGAGACATGGAGAACACGCGCGGTGAAAGGTTCTGCCCGGTTAAAAAATTGTCTACCCAAAAGCCCCAGTCACATTAGAGCTTACGACCAGTGAAGACCAGTTCAAGATCACCAGTGACCTCTGGTCGCGGACAATCTTTAAAACGTCTTATCGGTGGTCTTTGAGAGTCGCAGGTTATCTTATTTAGGTCCCACGACCAGAGAGGTTTTTGAGCTTGCACAAAAACCTCCCTGCGATCAAATAGGTCACCAGTGATCTTATAAGGTCTTAGGCTTTTGCACGATCGTCGTTCGGAAGTGCGACAATCTTACGACAGTCTTAACAAATTGCCACTAGTTACTGATAATCTTGAGTAACTTTGAGTTATCGTGCGATGGTCGTAGGACAAGTTGTAGGTGATCGCATGACAGGTCACGGGTAGTCGTTAGTAATCCCACACAATCTTGAGACCATCGTACGTTTGCTTATGACCTGTCGTGCGATTGTCAATGATGACTGGTCTTACGATAGTCGCAGAAGTAAATTTATCTGTCCAAAAACGTTTTGGTCGCAGAAAATCGCTGATGATCGTCTGTTTTACAAGTCGCCGGTGGTCGCAAGTAATCGTAACCTCTAGTGTGACTGGGGTTTAAATAAACAAATACTACTACATGTACTGTGAATGGGGTATCACTGTCACGCCAAAATGGTTTGGTTACAATATTCAAAAATCTATACATAAATCTAATAAGCGATGGAAAAAGTTAACAAATATAAAGTTTTCTGTAAATCCCATAATCATTAAACTATGGAAAATCTCTCGAATTATTTGAGAGGAATTCTGGGCTAAGATGTTTCTTAACTTAGTGCTTTTATCAACATGGCGATGGTGTTTGTTCTAATTGTTTTTGTTTCTTTTGGTTACACAAAAAATGATAAAGTTCCAGCTTTATTCGCGGGAGAAGACCTCAGATGTCCATCTAAGCATTATTTAAAAAACGAACGAGCACCTGCGTAGTACGACTGACTTTCCGTTGTAGGCTGACTGGATAATTTCAACAAATCAATGTAATAATTCAAAGTCCTTAAGTAGTGGGAATCGAACACAGAGCGGTAAAAGGGTCAAGGAGCACATAAGCAGGTCGCACATATCAAATTTACGAACTTGACGCGGATGCTCGTGATATTAATGATGTTACAAAGGTTGCGCATTTTGTATGATTGCGCCGTTATTTCATTTATATAAAGGGAGCTTACTCCTGTAAAGTAGGCATATTTAACTGAACGTACGTCCCTTATTTTTATATGTTCTCTAGATGATATCAAGAATATTATGACAACACATTTTTATAATGCACGCATTAATGATGCTTTTAATGAAAATTATGATGGTATCTGGAAGATGAAGACAACTGTTATTGGCTTGAAAATTTTATTGTTGTTGTTGTTGTTGCTGCTGCTGCTGCTGCTGCTGCTGCTGGTAGTGGCGGTGATGATGACATGGGTGGCAGTGACGGTGTTGTTAATGATAGTGACGATGATTCTGTTGTATTTTAATTTTACGATGATGATGGTGGTGATGATAGTGATAATGACAGTGAAAAAGAAAACGATGCTGGTGACAACAAATGTATTCATGGTGCTGAAAATGTTGATAATTATGATGATGATCACGATGATGATGATGGTTGTAGCGATGATGATGTTGCTTCTGATGTTGATAGTGTTGAAGGCGATGATGATGATGATGATGATGATGATAGTGATGATGATGATGATGATGATGGTGTAGGTGACGATGATAGTGATGATTACGATGATGATAACAACAACAACAATCAATACGATAAAGTGATTGATACCAAATTATGATGAATCAATACTGAACAAACACTTGAATTGAAGAAGAAAATAAACAAAACGACAAAATCATACATACCGTTGTGTTCTGATAATCATCTAAAACCCTCATGATAGTGTTTACAGAATAACATATATATTTCCTTTGTGATTATAGTCTCCATATATGCATATATTATCTTTATTTAAAATCCTCTCATTGTTTATTGCATTAAATTGAGCTAGATAAGTCACGTATTTCCATTCTTAAAAGTTAATTGATTTCCGTACATTTACGTGAGCACATACATGAAACCTTATCGCCTTTATAGAAAGAAAAAAGAATCTGGTATTTTAGCGAGACATCTATTCAAGTAACACGCCCCATGTTTCCGACAAACACGATTGGTGTTTAACAGAAAAAAACGGTTATTAGATCGCCTCGCATGTTATTGGAAACATTATCTAAAATTGATTAGATTAGACTTGAATGACTTTATTTCTTGACTTGAGTAAATATTTTCATTCTGACATACAATTGACTTAAAGGTACTTGTCCATCTGTGTTTTCAGACTTCCGTATACAAGTATCGCACAATTTACATAAGCTCAGAAGTTCACCCCCACCCTTTTCCCAGAATTAAAACATTGTGGATCCGTGCGTGCGTACGGGTGTGTATTCAGTTGCGAATGCAAAATAGGTCTAAAATATAACATTCGAATTTCGTACATAAATGAGCTGGGGCACTTTTAACAGAAATATAATTATGCAAAGATAGTTAAGAAATATACTTTGAAATGAATTGAAAATTGTATTTTTATGCTTTTCTTAGCCTGATTTGAGTGAAAAGCGTTTTTAACGCTTTTCATTTTGGGTCATTTTTTTACAATTTGAATATTTATTTTGGAAAAATCAAGTGCGCGAATGATCTGAAATTTTGCACAGAGAATCGAGGTTTTAACCTACATCAAATGGTACATTTATCTGGAAAAATCATTTTCAGTCCCATCATGCCAAAAAACCTCAGTGGAGTCCCTTAAAACAATTTTTACTTATAGGACCATTTTCTTCTATTACTGTAGCTTAGAAGATAGTAATGTTCAGTAATTTTACCTAAAATTAATATTACCTTGATTTACATTAGCTTATAGCTTACTTTTAATTACTTCAGTTAGGATGAATACCTTTAATACTATTAGCAAATAGGAGTAACAATAACCTTAGCTTATATAGGACCTAACTTCAGCAACTTTAGCTAAAGGACCACTACCTTTTTTACAACTTAGCTAATAGGACAATTACCTTTAATAACTGTTTTGCAAACCGTGTTTGTCTTTTTAATTCTCACTTTGGGGAAAATAATCAATGCAATCTTTAACAACAAACCTTCAATAAGGAATGTATGTGTACCTTATGGATTTATCGACCCTTAACCGTTGTATCAAATTCATTTCTCGTAATCGAATTAGAAAAAAGCAAACATTTAAAGTAAATTATCAATTACATTGTGTATTTAGGTCGCTAGAGGAAGTTCATTTATTAGTAATAACTTGAATATGAGCACGTGTCAAGTTAGTCACGAATTTACACTATATATATTATGAGTCTGCAATATGCGTTTTTTTTACTGAATGTACATGTATTTTGCAGGTAAAATTAGCTCTGTATAATACGTAATGTTTATAAATTTCTTACTGAGTATTGCTTATTTTGCTACGATTTTTCGTAGAGATAATTGTAAGAAGGCATAAAAAACTGCAAAATAAATTGTACCTTCGGTGTCTTACATACACGTCCTGATGAGAAATTCTTATTAAACTATATTTCAACTGCTTATGAGTCCTAGTGACTTACATTGTTTTTGAGTGCACTAATTGTTCGGTCGTTACGTAAATAATACAAAGATATATACAGTAAAACCTCTGCTAAACAACAACTGTGGCGGGACACATAGTATGGCAATCTCCTACGCAGTGATTTCCCCTTATCAGTACAAAGATCTGCCAAGGGAGGTAATCACTGTCCGATGATGATGTTGAGAGGTGAAATTTATTGTTACACTTGGATATATTGTATAAAGATGATTGCTTGACAGATGGCCGCTTTGTCGAGGCTGCACTGTATTTGTCAATATTTGCATGATCTGTTTAATTTGTATTGTTGCGATTTGTGTCAATGACGAAATGACTGGTTAGAAAACAGAAATGCATTTCCAGTCGATACTTTATCAGAACAGTATACTTCCTCAATCAAATACTGGGTACCGTCTGCTCCTCTTTTCGTTCATTGGATCTGTTTAAAATGACTCTTTGACAAATTACACAACTCGATATTTCTTCCGTCACATACAGGACCAAGTAACCGAGGAATTTTTACCCCCTGCACTTACATTTGTACACCGGAGGTCTAATTTGGTATATGTAAAGGTTTCTATTTTCAAAAGGTGAAAAAATGAGAGAAACACGTGCAATATTGAAACTGTCTGAAGGTTCGCAGTTGTATGTCAGAAAAGAGTACATTTACAGCACAATGCTAATAATGCTAGTATGTTGCAAAATATTGTTTGATGTCCAAGAATAAAGATTTAGTTCAAGTAGGACTTCCAGTCATTTAGGAAAAAGGCAAAAACAAGCATTTCGAGGCGAAAAAGCAAAAATACGACAGAAGACAATAGGGTATACGAAACGTAAAACATGTCGTCTATTTGCATTTCCTTTGTCGTATTTTTGCTTTTTCGCATTATTGCATTTTGACTTTTACGTATTGTTGTGTTTTCGCTTTTTCGCATTATTGCATTTTGACTTTTTCGCATTGTTGTGTTTTCGCTTTTTTTTTGCATTATTGTAGACTATTTTGACTTTTATTACATTTCGACTTTTTCGCATTGTTGTGTTTTCGCATTGTTGTATTTTGACTTTTTTCGCATTGTTGTATTTTTACATTTTTTGAAATCTATTTTCATAATAAATGCAAACCAGCCGGTAACTATGGAAAAAAAGCGAAAATACAACAATGCGAAAATGTCATAACACGAAAAAGCGAAAATGCGAAAAATTGAAAATGCTTTACTTTGTCGTCTATTGTGTTTTCGCATTTTTGTACTTTAAACGTGAAAAGGCGAAAATTCGACAAATGGAATTCGACCATACGAGTCGTATTTTCGCCCTTTCTGTCGTTTCGTTTTTTCTCGAATCCGAAAGCGAAAATTGAGAACCCTCGTCCTTGTGAGCGAGAAGCGAATACGACATGCTAAATCAGCACATGTAATCAAGTTGTAGATATGCACTGTCGTACCAAAATCTATCGGTTCGGAATGCCGAAAATTGCGATTGGTGCAGATCGCGACTTTCCGGTCTTTACCGCCATACTTGACGTTGATTCTGCGAAGTGTTCCGATTGATCCAGCCGGAAATAAAACTCATTTGTCGGGAAACGGGCCAGGTTTATCTATTCAAGATAAACTGATGAGTTAATCAATCATCACGTACCAGACTAACTTTAAGAAATGACATATCCAGTCACGTATCATGGATTATCACCTACCGACAGGATAATCCTATATTGCCGATATTATCTATGTATCCAAATTCTCCAAATCCCAAAACGTTGTCATTGTCATTTCAAACTGATTTTCACGGAAAATTGAAATTTATAGCAATATACACATAGATTGTTCTCAGGAAAAATGCATACAAACTTATGACAGTTAAACGATATTTAATTTTCAAACAAAATACCTTATTTCTGAAATATTACAATTAGCATATAGGGGAAATAATTAACGGTTTTAAATTCAGTTTGTTGCATGATTGTCTCCCTTGGTGTTTCAAATTTACAACTTTAATTTACAGCATTTGGTAATATTTTTGTTTAAGAGAGCATTAAGTAAACGATAATCTAGAAAATTAGGAATTTTCATCAGAAAAAAATCTATATTTAGGATTTTTCAGCCCAACGATAAACTTATTTTTCGATATTGGACTAAATATTTGATCTGAGTTCGTTATCTAAAACTGTTTAAATAAATGTTACGTTTTTACAAACCCCCCATACCAGTTAATTAAAAATCAAATAATACAATGATTTCATAATCGCGTGGTTAAATATTGTAAAATACTGTGATATATTATCAAAACAGATCAATTATTTACAGATATCGATCTCCCCACGTGATTTGATTGGCAAAAACATCCCAAGGCCTTAATATTTAGTTTAACAATAATCTTCATATAACAAATCCCACAGTATCAAAAGAAGAAAATTACAGTCTATTTATGCCTCTTTACGCATACATCTAATATAAAAGACACAATGCAAGCATTCAAATACAGTCCCTGGTGACGAGAAATTTTGAAGATTTTAATGAGGTTCATAAATAAACGCTGAATGACTGCGGTACGCAATAAATGAAAACATAAGACAGCTTGGATTTTAAATTTTTGAAAAGTGAAAATAATGTTTTAAAATACGTAAGATTTGTTAAATACCCGAATTACTGTCTACTTACTGGAAACATAACGCTTTTATTTATAAAGTTGAAAAAAAAGTGACACGGATATTTTTGAGCGGCCACGTACCGGAAGTAGAAAAGAAATGGAAACGGGAGCACTATAAAGGAGTTGATTTAGAAGAAGGACAAGTCTGAAATTTTAACAAAGATGACCGACAGCGATTTATCTAAAGAGGCATGTAAATAAGTAAATTACTTTAAAAAGGACAAAAATAATAAACCTTTTTTTAATTAAAGAAGGTAGTTGCATGCTAAACATATACAGGTAGCCTTGCTAGTGATGTACATTTATTTTTATTTTTACGCGTTGCAATTTTCTCACATTTTTATCTAAAGTGAATAATCTTTAATGGGCACATTTTTCATAAATATTTCAAATATTCATAAAAACAATAGAAGTGAATCATCTTGGTATTCTTATCAAATATTTCTTGAAAAATAATGTTGATAAGAGTTCGAAGTGATTAGAATAAACATTCATATTGTTCAGGATCGCTTTATGATCTGCTATATAATTAACAATATTTGTAATAATAACAACATTAGCAATCCATATTGCACGGTGTTAAACTATATTTGTATTTTATTGTACTACAGATTACTCTAGACATTAAAGAGTCAAGGACGGATAGTAAAGCTTCAGGCCGGGAACCAGAAATTCCCTTCGATAAATCTACATCCGGGTTCTCCACGGACGACACAAGCACTATTGGACCATCTCGGCCAGAAAGTTCTGTAGAATATCTAATGACTGCTCAGGAAATTCAGGTACGTAAATTTGTAGCAAAATCATGTATCTTCATATGTAGATGAAAGTTTGTTTTGACAGCTTGATAAAAGATATTTTGGGTACCTTCCCCTCGATTTCCTACTGATTACATTTTCAAGAAAAGCTATAATTATTCGAGTAATGTCTAAAGCCCGACGGCAAAGCAGTGTACATCATATATTAAAAACATACTACCATAATTCATATTGCAAATATAAAATACAAGCAATAGACAACCAATACTACTACATTTTGTTGCATTTATAGATTAAGAAGTTTGAAAGATTTTTGTTTTCAAAAGTAAGCATGAAATTTTATCAAGGGCGTTTTGCTTGTAACTGGAATTCTTATATTGTCCTTTACATGTACAATGTACGTTTTTTGTCCTGAATTCAAACATTCGGATAACATCGACCAGGCACAAACTGCATGCATCTTCTTCCAACACCAAAGTGTTTGATAATGATATTTTTACAATATTCTTATAATTCAAAAGATAATCTTACATTATTTTTATAATTCAAAATATGAACTACGTTTGTATTTCTTTTCAAAATGTTTTCTCACCAAAGTTATAAATAACTTCTAACTATATCTGAAAAAGGCTAAATAGGTACTTGCTTATCACGTTAAAACGTTAAATATTTTTTTTTTAGCTTTGAACAAAAAGCATAGAATAACAGTGCGGACTTTTGCTCCAATTTCCTTAACAACTTTACATGAACTATCTTACAGGAACTTGATAACAGATTAGAAGAGGTGGTAGACAGATTACAACGTCAAAGAGAAGACTACGAGAAATGGGAGAATGGTTTAAACAAACGTAGACTAGAAGCGTATGGTAAATTAAAAGCTCTTGGAAAATTTCATAGACAACGTATGGAAGTGTATGACACCGTGAAAGAGTATTTACAAACTATGAATGCTAGCGGTCATAGTAGATCTTCAAAGAAATGAATAATTTTGAAATTAATTTTGTGTTGTACTATGATATTAAAAACATACTGCATAATATATATAAAGTGTTTACTATAGTATACATGTTTTTGAGTAAAAATGTCTAAATTGCACAAAAATGTTAATACTTTAATATAAATGTCTGTATGTGAATTTAATTGTAAATTATAATTGTCAATTTAAATCCGAATGTTGTAATAATTGTAAACGTGTGCATTAAAATGTCTGTATGTTTTTATAGATGTAAACGTGTAAATACATAAATGTGACTTTATAATTTTTAAATGCAAACAGGTGAATATAAATATATAGAAACACATATTTAAATATATGAGTGCTGTCCAAATATTCTCTGATAAGTCTGTTTAAAACATTAATTAAAAATGTATGAATTAAAGATTTTAATATCATGTTATATACTAGTACACATATATTTGGAACATTTTTGTTATTGAATTTCATAAGATATCAATAAATAACAAAATGATAACATAAATGATGTGATCACGGAGCACGTCAAATATCTAAGAATTACGCGCCTTTCACTCGCAGTTTAGTGCGCTGCTTTCCATATGCATAGTCAGAACAATTTTAACCATATTTTTGTTAGTCTCTGGTTAAATGTCAGGGTGGCAGACAGACAATGATTCCTCGCCAGAATCAAACTTCCAGTTCCGTAGCACACGATTCCTCAATAATGGTTGTCGGTCTCTCTCTTCTGTTTCTCTTCTGTACTGCACATTTCTGGTTTCCCTCATTTGTTAACACACGATTACAATACGGCACTAAACTGAATTGATAGGTGCATTAATATGTATAATCATAACAAATAAATGTCATCAAGAGATATGGTTGTACAGAAGTGTCATGCGTGTGTTTTTATTTATCTCGTGTTAATAAGTTATGCGCATGAGATAGATAAGTGATGCGCACGAGATATAATGTCGTGCACACGAGTTACTAATTCGTGTGCACGGTGGCACGAGATATTATGTCGTGCGAACGAGATAATGAAGTCGTGCGTACGAGAAAATTAACCGATCAGATTACACTATAGATATGATTTTTTAAACTTAGAAAATTTCTGGTTAAAATTATACATGCAACATATGATAAATCTTTGAAACTACAGAAGATGTTCACCTGAAACTTGATACATGTCTAGAAGGTCATTATCCATATCCAAGGCCCATAAATCAGACATTAGTTTTTACTAAGTTATGCCCCTTTTTATGCCACCTCCCCACTTGAAAAATGGGAACCATCCTGTGATAGGGTAATCAGTACGTACGTACTAACGGCCTGTGTTTAGTAGAGTGAATTTTAAAGAAATTATAATGAATATTTCTCTAAAAAAGCTTAATGTTATGTTGGAAAACAACAACAACGTTTATAAATGTCATGTATGAATTATAATACAGTCGTCTCATTAATGTAAACCATCTACATGTATAAAGTTTGTCACGTAATTTTTGATGTAAACATGATAAACATATCAAAAATTAAGTTAAATTAATCCCATTTTAGATGAAAATAATATATCAATGCTACTAGATCTAGTATTTAAAAGTTAGTCGTTAATAGTTTACCATTATCTTTTGTGAAAGTGATTCATGCGAAGGAAACACAATTTGTAGATAAATAAAAGCAAATTAACATTGATCTTATTTCCTGCTTGGATTTTATTTTTCAATCATAAACACTTGAAGGAAATAAAATATGAGTAAAATATTAGAACAGGAAGTTTTTATCACCTATCAACGACACGCACACACTATCCGCAATCTAAAAATATGGTCATTTTTTCTTTGTTAATTATTTATTCCCACGATTCTTTTTAAAAGTGCGGGTTTTAATTATACGCCTTAACTTCCCTTTTCGTGATTTTTTCTTAATCGTGTTTTTTTTTTAAATATATATATTTGTCTTAAAATATCACTGAAAATCATATTAACATGTATTTTTATGACTAATGCATAGTTTATATTATACGAGTATACAGAATATATGTTTGGTCGAGCCGCAATGACCATTTTGACATTTATTAGTTTTTCCAATATTAAAACTGAAGATACATTTATATTTAATTTGTTTTGAATAAAGTGCATAACATTATGATCATATACAAAATATAATGAATATGAGCCGCGTCATGACAAAACCAACATAATGGGTTTGCGACCAGCATGGATCCAGACCAGCCTGCGCATCTGCGCAGTCTGATCAGGATCCATGCTGTTCGCTTACAAACCCTATAACAAATAGAGAAACTGATAGCGAACAGCATGGATCCAGATCAGACTGCGCGGATGCGCAGGCTGGTCTGGATCCATGCTGTAACACTGAATTATCGCATGACCATCACGACTTTTTTCTTCTCTCGTAATATTTGCTTTATTTAAACATATAAATATTTTAAGAAATACCCACAGAAATACACCCATTAGATGCCGTTGAAGGAACCTGACATAAATAACCATTTCACGAGGTAAGTTGATGCATTTTTTTACTAAATGCGAAATAATAATCATCTTTCAAGCTCATTTTCAAAATATAATCTAGGAAATATTGTCGATAAGTATCCCGGTGTATATTTCAGAGGTATATCTTGTACGCGTATTTTTAAAACTAACGACAATGTAGTGATTTTTACTACTGCCATCTATTAAAAATTACGCTAGAATATTATGTTCATATACGTGTAGTGATTTACTGAGTGGCTTACTGGTCAGAATCTCCTGTAAAACGAAGGCATTGTTTAAAGTAAATAAAAAAATAATTTGATCATTGTTTCAGATTTGTCCTCGAGGTCAGGATGCAGAAAATGGCGATTACTTCCCCTTGAGTCAACATCTTTATAATAACTGCATTTTCAGATTTTGAAAAAGAAGAAAAAAAGATTGAGATGATACATAAATATTTAAAAAAAAGTCTGTAAACTGTGTAATGTTTTGTTTTGCTCTTTTTCATGTATGCTCACTTTATTATTTGAAATAAAATAATAAACTGGGCATGCGCGAGAAAGTGTACTGATACCTCATTTAGAGCACCCCAAAGCGTACTGATACCTCATTTAGAGCACCCCAAAGTTTTCCGATACTAAAATTTAGAGAACGCCGATCTTCAAAGGAAAGTTGTGGCGGTCATGCGATAAAACAGTTACAGAATAAATACTCGGACTTCACCGGCTGGTATCAGCGCATGGGGCGACAAAAGGGTCAATCATGGAAATTAATCTCGACGTTCCGTCTCGATTAATTTCCTATGATTGACCCTTGTTGTCGCCCCATGCGCTGATACCAGCCGGTAAAGTCCTCGTATATATTCTATAACTATTACATAATAGAACGCATGATTGATATAAAAATGTTTAGAACTAAATATCTGTTGAATGAGGTAGAACGTAGTAAGATTCAAAATTGTAATGTTTTATCTACATGTACGGTTAATGACCAGTTAATTCATTTTTCATATGAAATAAAGTCACTGGATATGCTTTTGAAATATTCAGTATCCCTAATATTTGATTTTGATTTATAATAAAATGAGTTCAGAATTTCTTTTATACATGTATATAGAACGTATATTAATTGAGTAAGGTAATGATGAATCATATCTGCCATGTTCTTTAAAGCAGCACGCCTCCAGATTCATGCTAATTTTCATGAAAAATGTGAAAATGTAAAAGTAAAACATTGTGAGGTGAACAAAGAAAGTAATTTACACATTACAATCGACACTTACAATCTACGCAAATTACCAAAAGGCCAAAATGCGCGAAAATGGTCCTTACTTCATTAGTCACGTAGTAGAGATGTGGTGATGAATACCACAAAATCAGTCTTAAATCGCACGTTACATGTAAATTATTTATTGAATCTAGAATCTTTTTACCTCTCTTAATATATTAGTAAAAATAATTTAAATATTCATTTTCATGATTTTCTTTTTCGCTCACCTGGAAGCATGCAGCTTTAATATACTTTAAGAACTTGCTTCTACTACTTCGACATGATGACCAAGCGCAATTAACAGATATTCTTATATAACATATTTACGTTGCTTATTTTCAAATTCTCCAAACGCTTTTAACTAAAGAGTTAACACACTTGTACTAAGTGGTTTGTAGAGATGTTTTAAAAGCATGTTCTATATATGGATGGTAAAACCTGGTGGTGTTCAACCAGAAAGAAAAGTAGGTCTTGCCGGTGATATGTTTATACTTTGAACGAATACAGGAATTTGTATACTAATTAATGTCTTTATCAACTCAAAAGGCAAAAGCTTAAAAATTGTTGAATTAAAAACGTCAAGAAATAGATCTTAGTGTATCGTATCTAAAAAGAGTCACTGATTTATTTCCACACCGCTGTGGATTCGAATCCCGACAGGGACGTTGGATCCTTTTATGTGAGGAAGCTATCCAGCTAGCTTATGGAACGTCGGTGGTTCTACTCAGGTGCCCGTTCGTACCTGTAATAATGCATGGAAGGGTACCAGAGGTTTTTCCTTCACCAGTAAAGCTGGAACGTCGCCATATGACCTATACTATGTCGGTGTGACGTAAAACCCAATCAAACAAACAAAACAAACTGATTTATTTTTGACTTTGTCGCACTTTACGGGAGCTTTGTTTCAGTTTAATAGCTCGAATTACAATATAAACTTCACTCACTAAACACTACTCACAACCTGAACATTAATAAGGGAGTACTACTAACTTAATAAATACTACTCAGTTATGAGTTAGCAATTAAATGAAACTTGAATTTGAACTTGAAATCTTAAATTAAAAACATCGAACAATACAGATTCATATCTTTTTACGTTCTGTTTTTAGTAAAGAAGAATATTGTTGTTCAAATTCACAACATTTTCACTGTCTTGTCCTGCGGATATTAGAAGTGAATCTTGAGTGCACATTGTGGCGTTTGCTATTTTATCAGCCTCTGCTATTCCCATACTTAAGACGGGTTTGGCAGTGAAAAACTTGTGCTTAAGGCTTTAATTTAATCACATTATTCTAAAGTAAACTGATTTGTATTTGGCTTTGTAGCACTCGATGTGGCTTTGTTTTAATTTATTAGCTTTTCAAGAGAGATAGATGACATATTTTGATAAACTTTTAAACCGTTGGTAAATATTTAATTTCTCAATATAAACGACAGAATAACCTCACATTTTGCTTGTTGAAATGTATGTAAACATGGTGGTATTTTCTGTCAAATTTGGACAGTTATTGTGCCGATGTATTTAATACGATATATAAGCAAATATTTTGATATTTTTCAGTGAATTTCGAGAATATCTCAATTAGAAGTGAGAACTGTCTTACGTTTTCAAGAATTTAACTTCGAAGTATAAATTGTATGTGTTTCTTGTTTGCTCAGTTTCTTGTTTCCAGTTTGATATTATATAACATCATATTCTAAAGCTACTGAGACATTACCAAATATGGCGCCAAAATGACACTTATTTATATGATATCAAGAAAATATATCATATCCATACAATTGGAATCTTAATTTTTTGTTTTATCTAATATAGTGTAATATGACATTTATTTCACTGATTGGCCAGTCGGATACATAATTTAAAGTTTAGGTCAGTCGGAGTTTAGGTCAGTCGGAGTTTAGGTCAGTCGGATACAAGAATTACCGTACTTACTTCAAATAAGCTTTTTGCTGAACGTACAAGGTTACATTTAGTAATCCGTGAGTTAAACTATCACATCTTTAAGTGAATTGTGTTATTGTTTTTGAAAACAACAACAACAACAACAACAACAACAAAAAAAAACAAAAAATGAGTCAGTGATTTACAAATCTTCATAGTTTAAAGAAGGTCAATCCATGTGAAGGACCAGCTTGTCTGAGTGGTTAAGGTCGCTGACATTAAATCATTTGCCTATCACCGCTGTGGTTTCGAATCCCGCTATTGGAGTTTGGTTTCTTTCATATCACAAAGATATCCTGTTATATCTTGCGCAAGATCGGTGGTTCCACTCAGGTACCCGCTTGTGCTTAAAATAATGTAAGTTGGACATTAAAGCATGACCAAGTTCTTAGTTTGTTTTCACCTCTAAGTTTAATAATAATCCATTTATATAAATGACATAGCAAATAATCACCAAAAGCATAGATAAATTGTACATGTCTAAAACAGTTGGTCAAGCATAGAAGAATTGTCACACTAATTCAAAGCATGTGTACCTTTTTTCAACTGTTGTTTTAGGATTTTGAAAAAAAATAATAAAAGCTTTTTTCTAATTTAAGTTTTATAAAATGTTTCAACACTTGAATTAGTTAATCTTTAAAATACAAATGTACATCTTTTCTGTACTGTGTGGGATTATAAAATGGTTTAAACAGGGTTATTTATTGAGTTTTAATTTTTATTGTAAAATAAAACAATGTATCGTGTTTCAAATGTAGTAGATAAAAAAATACTTTGCCTAAAACCTAAAGCTTATGTTGTGTACTGTATAGTATATACGGTAATTTCATACTATAAAAGTCCACGAAGGTTTGCTAAACCACTCGAAAAGTACATTACTGACACTTGATCAAACGATTAAATAAGCCTATTTTTATTTATGATCCCCTCTTAACATGTTTTAATTCTAATTTCATCAAGAATCTATCGGCCAACATATCTGTACCAAGGTTTTATATATTTGGTTTTTAATCTTTTTGTAACTGTTTTAAAAAAAAGTGTGTGGTCTAAATGGAAAATTAAAACCCAATGACCGGGTTATTTGCATTAAGCAAAGTCACTAAAGCTAATTAAAGAATAAAGTGAATTTTAATAGGGTTAAAAATTAATATTTGAATTACATGATTTTTAACATCGTGTAACGGTGAATAAATATTGTAGACATAATACGATGAATATAAGATCGAATGAGTTATAAAGTTTTGGCGAATGGTAACGACAAATTCCAAACTATCACGTCGTAGTTGTCAAGAAAATATTAAAGCGCTTGGAAGTAGTCAGTCCGACAAAAATATTTTATATCAAAAGCTAAGAAATTAAACAGATAAAGTGAGGTTCTGCGAAGGAATGATAAAAAATGTCTTTAAAGGAAGTCGGTAGTGAGCCTAGTACGGTTGACACGGATAATAGTGTATTTCTGGATGTAGAAGAACGATTAATGACACCTGCAGAAGAACTAGAACAAGATGAACGGATAGAACAAAGCAAATCTAGGCTTGGAACATCTCGTATAGAACACGAGAACTGGACTGAAGAAATGACAAAAAGACGCATGTTCGCACTAGCCAGGTTACGGACACTACAGCGGACTCGGAGGAAACGATTTGTATTCTATGAAAATATGAAAGAATTGATATGTGAAAGTGGGACTTCAAGTCCTGGAACGATATCTACAAGTAGTTCAGGATGAAATTGATTCAATACTTTTCGCTCATGGTTAGAACTATAAATATTAAACGCTGAGTTTTACCAAAAGATTACTAGTTTTAAACAAAAGAAAAAAGCAGGTCGAAGTGATCTTAGACTTGTTACCTCCGTTTGATTTGTTTTTTTTTTGTGTGTGGAAAATGCAATAATAGGGGTATTCGGACTTTCAACTCAAAAACATGATGACAATTGTTGTACATATTCATGTTTTGAAATTAAATTTTATGAAAAGAGATACCGTGAAACAAGCTGGACATCTCGAGTTGTCCATCAATAGTGACAAGTTGCAACGCGAAGGGACGTATAACGTTATCCGAAGGTTCATGATTACCACTAAATGATGAAATATTAAAACATTAAATAGCAAAACTTAAACTAATGTTCCAATGGAAGGTATATAATACAGATGGTTTAGCATGAGATTTTTATAAATAAGTAACTCTCTTTGACAATAATTGATTTTACAGAGGAAGATCTAGTAGACTTTATTTCACTCATTGATAATCATTATAAATACTGACACCTTTGAATAAATCCTGTTTAAACATTTACAAAAAAACCTTCCAGATGAGTTTTGTTCAATGCTGATGACAGCGCTACAGCAAAGTTTTAATTCGTGATGCTTATATTTCATAAGATTTATGCTGTCAAACTTAATAAATACACCCGGAAATCATTTCGAGGAAAATGCACAGATAAGTCTATTTTATAAGCAAATACAACAATACAATACTTATTTATATTAAAAGCATATAATAAAATCTAAATTAAAAATAAAATGGTTATACGATTAATTACAATGCCTGTGTTCATTTCTTTATTTCAAAGCTTCGAATAGTCTGTCCCAAAACTGTTCTCTGTGGGCATCCTCATGTGGAAATTCTAAGTAAGTCTTCTGTCGAATGATATCTACAATTTCAAGCGGAAGTCCAGCGGTTGGCACGTCTTTTAACAACACGACAGTCAGAACATTTCTTTCAGTTTTAATCGCTTCCATTCTGGCCATGTGCATTTCAAACCTGCACCATACACTCTGCAGAAAAGCATCTGACATAACAATAAGTGTTTTCTTTGATGTACAAATCGCCTTAACTATGTTATCATGAACGAATTCTCCGGGTCTAAAGTCTCGATCATGTAGCAGAAGTCGTAGGTGTCGCTTTTCTTCTAGTTCCGGTATGGCAAAGTCTCTAACGAATGAATTATCCTCGTTTGCAAAAGAAACGAATACGTCATGATCAAAATCGCTACCGTCATCCTTTATTGGAATATAACCCTTCATTCTCATTTTGCCCGAGTAATAAATATATCTTAGATTCCAACGGTATCTGTATACGATACAGACCGTGATAACGGTCAAGGCAAGAACAAATATAGCAGAACTAATGAATATAAGCAATGTGTAACTTTTACAATATTCAAAAAGCTCAGCATAAAGCTCATGCGGAGACGACATATTTCTTGACTCTCCATTTTCATCTATGCAAGAGTAATCCTTCAAGTTTTGAAAGTTGATCTTCGAATTAGACATCCACTTTAGAAGATTAAGATGCTTACAGCTACATGAAAGGTTATTCTTATAAAGATCAATGGTTAAATTGTTTACAGCAAGGTGTTCAAATTCATGTAATATATAATCACTGAATTGGAATAATAAGTTGTGTCTTAAATTTATGTGATTAAGCTTTTTCATTGTCTGCAGGTTGACTTCAAATTGCGCCAAAAAATTATCTCTTAGAATAAGTTTTTCCAAATTAATCAACCCCGAAAAGAAACCAGAATTAAAAGCGCGTATTCTATTTTCCGTGAGATCTAAAGTCCTCAAGCGGCTTTGCTGGCTAAAAATATCCCCATGTCTATCAAGTTTGAATGAAGATCCAAGATAGTTGTATGAAAGATTCAAAAACTTCAGGCCTGGTAGTTCATGAAGAACATTAGGACTGATGTACTCACAGAAATTCCAAGAGAAGTCCACCCATTCTAATTTTGTAAGTCCCAAGATACTCCCTTCGATGCTATAGAATATATTTCTATGTACGTCAAGTGATCTTAAACTATTTGGTTCACAGACACAAATCCTTTGTAACGGATACCTTGCTTTCATGTTGCTCATATCAAGGTGTTGTAAGTTTTGTGGGACTGGGTAAGGTATCGAAAAATTATTTATACATGTGGAGCAATTTTGTTCTGACCATCTTTTCATAATTCGCCTTTTTCCACTTGGTTTCAGAACAGTCGTTTCAACAAGTCTCTCCGTGTTTTGATTACTTTTTTTATTAAAGTCTTGGTTATATAGTGGCCATAGTTCGGAGAGATTATGGTTATGAGTTTGGTCAGCCAAAATTAATGACGACAAGTTTGTAAGATTATGATGGGTCAACAGTGAAATAATATAGACGTCAATCAGTAATAAGTTGTCCTTAACGGATAGCGTCCCTGTTAGTTTTGGAATATTATCTACCGCATCCCTTTTCATTACGGAGAGTCTGTTAGAATCAATTATAAAATTTTTGATCGTCATTTTTGTCATATATTGCAGATCGTTTGCCTTTAAATTTGTACAATCTCCAAATGTTTTATGGATTTTAGTAAGATTTAATAAGTACATGGTTCTGCCTCTTAATGCAAATGTTATATTTGGAAGACTAGCGAATGTAAGTTCAGTGTTATATGATAGATCAAGACTATTAAGCCAGTGGAGTTCAGCAAAGCTACCATTTTCAACCCTTGTTGTATAGCAGTTGACCACTGTCAATGATTTCAAAAATGGAAAGTTTACAAACATATCTTTTTCTATTGTTTTCATCTTGCATCTTCTATAAGGTTCCCCAATCAAGCTTAAATTGGAAAGCTTGCTCAAGTTCTGAAATTCAACTTGGAAAGGCCTATTATTAAGTCCATCAATATGTAAGAACTGGAGCTCAGTCAATGCACTGAGAGCAATCGACGGGTACATTTCTTCGGGAAATTGTTCATCTAAATTTTGTTGAAATTCTAGATAAATCAAATTATTTAAGTCTCGAAAGGTACTTTCTGGAATGGTAACGTTTGTGTATTTTATTTGGTTTCCAGTAAGTTTCAAAACACATAACCCTTCAAGTCCATGAAACGAGCCGTTCGTCAAGTTTTGGAGTTCATTTTGCGACATGTCTAAATATTTCAAATATTTCAGATTCTTAAACGCTCCATCTTTTATACTTTTAATCTGGTTTCTGCTTAGAAGTAGAACAGATGTTTCTTTTGGAAATTGAGGAATTTCAGTAATATTCCTTTTAGAACAGTCGACAACTTGTCCATAAACTCTATCATTACCACATGAACAGTTCACTAATGTTTTACAGTTAATGTCCACATGTGGTATATGAAGCGGCATACTAGTATAGTCATCGCATGACTTTAACATGGGGTTAGTGTTACGAGATACGGAAGCTTTATCAGATGATTCTTTTGGGTTAGACTTTCCATGAAAATAGTCGATGAAAGTTTCTGAGCTGAGTGGCGTTGCATTGCTGTCGGAGATTGTCTGTCCGACACGAGATGAGTGTGACCCGTCTTCATCAATGGTACATGATCCGGATGAAACCAACAATAAAATAAGGAAGAATTGGTGTAAACTCTTCACAATTCTATCGTGTAATGTAGCCATGTTTTAAGTATCTGTAAAAGATCAATGTTATATATTACTTAGTGCATGTATCTTTATTGCAGTAGATCAGTAGCGAGTACAGGATTAGTGTGGTGACACTGTCGGGTTATATAGTCGTGGATCATGAGTTTCATTCCATATGTAACAACTACAGCTAAAAATACGTAACAACATGAGCATGAGTGGTGTAAAATCAGTAGCCAAGAGCTTCTCCTTGTCGCTGCGAAACCGAAATAGGGTAATCTTATTAATTTAAAAAATTTTTTTTTTACTATTTGTTACCATTTGTCTTAAGATAACATAAAAATTGATAAATGTTATACGTATGGTGTGAACATAATCAAACCACAGATTGATGTTAGCCCAAAAAACATGCCGAGGCGGTCGCTGTGACGAAACATCGGTCGAAACAATGTAGCCTATTGTGGTGTTGCATTAACAATAAAAGACATAGATAAAACATTCTAATGTTCCGTGGTATACTTTTCCAAACATTGTCACCACCTTTTATCAGTAGGCTGAACATTCCCTAGACTGCTGTCCGTTGCCTATTTGTTTGCAGAGAATGACAGTAGCATATGCAAAAGGGTACCATTTTGACAGTGGGTTTCGCAAAGCGGGTATCGTTTCAGTAGACTTTGCAAAGAGGGTACATATTTAGTAGATTTAGGAAAGATGGTACCGATCTAGTAGACTTCGCAAAGATGGTACCGATATGAATACGCATCGTACGCATTGTGTTCTCGTGCAAATTTTGCGCCAATGTGACAGTTGAAATTGTCATTAAAGATGAAAAACATGATAAAACATCAATCAAAACATGTAAATTAAATGAGAAATATACTTGTTGAAATTAAAAACATATACACTTATAACAAATAAGTGAAATAAAAAATAAAAGATTACTTTTTATAAAACAAGTTTAATGAATACGACTTACTCTGTAAGATCCAGTGGCATAAAGTTTTATAATGAGAAAGATAAAAAATAATAATTAGAAAAAGTTCGTGCATTTAATTTCCCTGTGTAAACATGTGCTATCGTCACGACCTTTCTTTTGTGTATTTTCTTTCCGTATTTTGTTAGTACATAAATAAACATTTTTTTTGTTTGTTAATGACTGTATTCAAGACAGACAACTCTTGCAAGAAGTGCATAAAGAACGTAATATTCGTGCACGGCCAGATTATTTTATGCCGGCTCGCCACGGCGAGCCGGTATTACGTTAGGATTTTACTGAGAAACAACCTAAAACTCCGAATCCATCCAAAAATTTAATCGAAGCTTGGCTTCCAGCTTTCTATAAAAATTTATCTATCAGGGCTAGGATCCAAAATTATTTAGCCAATCAAATTTAATCTTACATAGCGTCAAAAAACCTTCAATTTTCACGCCATATTTAAAAAGCAGCAAGTATTGTTTTGAGCGCAAAGATATTATGATGATTAAAAATGTTTGTTTTCATGAATTCTTTTCAATAAATCATATTAACACTGACTTTTGATTTAGCGATTTCACCTGTTCCTCTGTAGTAAGTTTCGTTTGGTTAATTAACATAAGTGTACACCTGGTTCTGTGCATTTTTTTCTTTTTCCTTTTTTCCGGTCATTTTATCCTTTCCGGTATTTAGTGTATATATTTACTGGCCGGGATCCGGGACGACCGGACTGGCCGGGATCGTATAAGATATAGAGGAAAAACTTATAAACTATATTTGTGTTGATTATTGTCGTAATGAAAGGCCATTAAACGTTAAGTTTTTTTATTGTATGTAATGAACGTTAAATTAATTAAACTTTGGATATAAATATATTTAGAGCTATTTATCAACAAACTTAAAAATCACAATACTTATAATTATATGCCTAATTAATTGGAAAAATCAAAGACTACATTCTTGAATTGGTCAAATCCCGGGATCCCTTTATGTTTTAATGCGATCCCAGCTTTTCTGAAAACTATATTCTTGAACTGGCCAATTCCTTGGATCTCTTTATACTTTAATACGATCCCGGCTTTTCTGAAAACTATATTCTTGAACTGGTCAATTCCCGGGATCCCTATATGTTTTAATAGGATCCCGGCTTATCTGAAAAGCATCTAAGACTGGTTAATTCCCGGGATCCCTATATTCTTAATAGGATCCCGTCTTTTCTGGCTGAATTAATTGACAACTTGTGTTTACTTTAGGGCTTGTGTCTGTCACTCATTCCAATACTAAATATGATATTACAACTTAACTTCGTATAAAGAGACATCTTTATGAATTCTACCTATCTAACATTTATTTGGTCAAGGTCAAAAGGCCATATAGTAAATGTGCATAGACATAGGGACTTCATTCTATCTGTTTACATGCATCTTCATATATACTCATATTCCTCTTTGTTAAACTGAGTGAAACTGGCTTCCATAACTTTATGTCACTTTTATTTTGATGTTCTCTGAAGTCTCTTCAGCTAACAGAACTGTCATTTTTACATTTAAACGCACCCCTGGAAAAAAATTACGAAGCGAGTCGCTACTAGCTTTTTTAAAAGCTAACCTTGTACCCATTAAACTAGGGCAATGCCGATTGGTTTATCAAAATATAAATCCTGGGTGAAATGTCTAATCTTTAACAAGAGTTAATAAATTGCACTTTATTGAATAAACCCTGCTTGAACCATTGGTGCCATTATAGAGCTTTAATTTCCTTTCCACGGCAAAAAAAAAAAAAAAATATTACAATTCTTATAATTTAAAAGTACAAATGCCTAAAATTTAGGAAGTACTAATTGCATTAGAAAATATGGGCTCACTAATAAATTTTAAGATTTATAGTGAAACATAAAATGAATACATTTGGACGTATAATGAAAAAAATAACAAGAGGGCCATGGTAGCCTTAGATCGCTCAACCTGAGGTCAAATGCTAGGGAAAAAAAAAATCATACTGGGTATGTCATTTTTGTATCCTCCTACGATAGTTGTAGAGATCATATTGAAAAGGCTACAAAACAAAAACTCCAGCTGTAGAAGACATTGTATGTTCCCAAACGACTTTTAATGTGTTTCCCGAATACAAGTCTATATAAAACTAAGTGATCCGAGGGGTCATGATTTGTACATATCTTTATTGTGATTCTACACGCCAAAACTCTAAGCTTTAGGCACTACAGTTTCTGAGATTTTTAAGACGTCATTGAGTCTATTTTTAGCTAATGTGACCTACTTACGCATGAAACTAGAATCATTTACATCACATTGAGGGTCACATTAGGATCCTGTGAGTATGGTCAAAATGATGAAGAAAACAAGAGAAACAGCACAAACAAATTTTGGTAAAATTTTGTTTTATTTTCAGTATATATATAAAGATAAATTCACAATCATACATTACAGACTAGAATAAATAAACATGACAGTTAATGGTGGAAAGAAAATCAAAACAATGGGCTGGAAAAAATACAGTTTTTTTGGTTTTCTCTAGACAGCAGACCAGGTTCTAGTTTCTGTTTTCTTTATATCTCAAATTGGGCTGACAATTATTATAATTCAAGACTTTATGGCGATAATGAGCAAATTTCAATTTAACTTTTAATCTGCCTAATTTGTAAAATTTTTCTTGACTGCTTTGATTTTGGATTAGTCCATTAATTGCTTGCTTAAAAGGTTTAAATATCAAAAAGCTAAACACAACAGGTGACACCACATGAATAAGTGCAAACTCGCCTTTTATCTATACTGATTGCATGCAATAAAATACAGTTAGAATTAGTTTAATGTAACCATTAACCAAGCGTCATAATGACTATATCAATATTTAAAGCAACTTTTTTCCCCAAATTTCAGATTGAGAAATCAAATAATCTGTATTTTTTCAGCCTTGTTTTTGTTTTTTTTTAGAAAAATGTCTGTTATACACTGAGATTTTGGAACAGTCCATACACTCCATTCTAAGTTTAAGATTATCCCACAAAAAAGGAAGTAAAAACTTGTTGTTATTACAGTGATTTCCTTAAAATAAAACCTATCAAATATAACAAGAGCTGTCGGTAGGACAGCAACGCTCGACTATTCTAAGTGCTTGATAGTAAAAAAATGCTTGATACAGTTACCTCCTCCTGTTTACAGGTTGGGGTAATGATGGTGAACAAGTGTGCAAAGTTTCAAAGCCATATGTCAATGGACTTTGAAAATATTTTAACTATTACAAAAACTTTTAACGTAAATTCTAAGTCGAAAAAGGGGCATAATTCTGTCAAAATGCTTGATAGAGTTACCTCCTCCTGTCTACAGGTTGGGATCAGGATGGTGAACAAGTGTGCAAAGTTTCAAAGCCATATGTCAATGGACTTGGAAAATATTTGAACTATTACAAAAACTTTAACGTAAATTCTAAGTCGAAAAAGGGGCATAATTCTGTCAAAATGCTTGATAGAGTTACCTCCTCCTGTCTACAGGTTTGGGTCATGATGGTGAACAAGTGTGCAAAGTTTCAAAGCCATATGTCAATGGACTTTGAAAATATTTGAACTATTACAAAAACTTTAACGTAAATTCTAAGTCGAAAAAGGGGCATAATTCTGTCAAAATGCTTGATAGAGTTACCTCCTCCTGTCTACAGATTGGGGTCATGATGGTGAACAAGTGTGCAAAGTTTCAAAGCCATATGTCAATGGACTTGGAAAATATTTGAACTATTACAAAAACTTTAACGTAAATTCTAAGTCAAAAAAGGGGCATAATTCTGTCAAAATGCTTGATAGAGTTACCTCCTCCTGTGTACAGGTTGGGGTCATGATGGTGAACAAGTGTGCAAAGTTTCAAAGCCATATGTCAATGGACTTTGAAAATATTTGAACTATTACAAAAACTTTAACATAAGTGGTTACGCCGACGCCGACGCTCGGGTGACTGCAATAGCTCTACTTATTCTTATCGAATAGTCGAGCTAAAAAGCAATAGCTCTGTTTCTGTTAACAAAGTTCTTTTAAATTTTGCATCAATTTTCAAAATTTGTTACAAGTACAGTGTCATTGGCTAAATACACATTTTTGAAACCCCTCACAACTCAACTCTCATCCCCCTCCCTCATTCCTTACTCCCCCTCCCTCATTCCCTACTCCCCCTCCCTCATTCCTTACTCCCCATCCCCACCAAAAAAAAATTCCTCTACTATATTCTGACCCATTACATTGTTTCTTTCATATCTTATAATGTATTGAGATTTCGTAAAGGAAAATCAAGGTAAAATCCATGTTTCAAAACATAAACAAAAACATAATTGTGTGGATTATGCAAGAGTATGAACTTTGAAATAATTTTTGCACCTATATTTACATTCTAAAAAGTATATACATGTGGAATGTTAAAATAACTATATAAAAAACAGTAAGAACTTAACAATTAATAAAATCATTTTGCTTTGCAGGCTTTAAAATACATGAAACTTATTAGGATTTTTTCAATTTCTGAAACAATTTCAATACAAATATAGTCTGTTTTAATATTAACACTGAATATTGACAATGCTATTCCAGACTTTAAAATTTCATACTTGTTTGTATTTTGTAAGGACTTGTCAAACTCTAAATTTACAAATCATCACCTTAGTGATTTCAATTTCAATATGAGTTAACCCCTTACTGCACTAAGGTGACAATTTAGCTTATGAAATTACAATATTCAGTCACCAGCAAACATGTCTAACTGTATGAATAAAAAAATTATCATTCACTTATGTGTCAGATATGTGTGGGTTTTTTCTTTTTTAATTTCTTATTTAAATGATACGTCCCAAAGAGAATGAAACTAAAATGTTACAAAGCCAAATAATAAGCTAGAAAAAGTTTGTTTAAAAATGAATGAATCAATGAATGAATAACATTCAAACAAAATTATTAAGACAAAATCTTTTTCAAGGATTTCATGCAATTCCTTACACCTCAATATTGTACATGTACTTGCAAAAATAAACAAAACTAGAACTCCGCGAGTCGGATGTGTCGCCTTGTGAACAATGTAGTTTAGGGGAAATGGCCAGGACAAAAATGAAATATGAAAAATAACAAAGGGCAATAACTAAAAAAATAATAAGTGCAAAGCAGCAGTTTCTATACACTGCACTTCTTATCAATAAGATCTATCATTCTATGATGTTTCAAGTCCATAGCTTTCATACTTGAGAAATGACCAGGACAAAAATAAAGTAAGAAAATCAACAAAGGGCAATAACTCAAAAATAAGAAATGCAGAGTATCAGTTCTTATGCACTGCACTTCTTTTTAATGAGATCTATCATCCTATGAAGTTTCAAGTCCATAACTTTTATACTTTCGGCAAATTGGCCTGGACAAAAATTAAGTATGAAAATTAACAAATGGCCATAACTCAAAAATTAAGAAATGCAGAGTACCGATTCTTGTGCACTGCACTTCTTAATAATAAGATCTATCATCCTATGAAGTTTCAAGTCCATAGCTTTTATACTTAAGGAGAAATGGCCCGGACAAAATCAAAGTATGAAAATAAACAAAGGGCAATAACTCAAAAAATAAGAAATGCAGAGTACCAGTTCTTGTGCACTGCACTTCTTCTTAATGAGACCTATTATCCTATGAATTTTCAAGTCCATGGCTTTTACACATTAGGAGAAATGGCCCGGACAAAAATAAAGTATGAAAATTAACAAAGGGCAATAACTCAAAAATTAGGAAGTGCAGAGTACTGGTTCTTGTGCACTGCATTTCTTCTTAATGAGATCTATCATCCTATGAAGTTCCAAGTCCATAGCTTTTTTAGTTGAAGAGAAATGGCCCGGACAAAATTAAAGTATGTAAATTAACAAAGGGCAATAACTCAAAAAATAAGAACTGCAGAGTACCGGTCCTTGTGCACTGCACTTCGAGTTATTGAAAGAAGCATGCATACCAAGTTTGAAGTCAATCAGACTTATAGTGACTGAGTTATGCTCCGGACAAGCTTTAAGGGACGCCGACGTCGACAACGACGCCAACACAGACGCCGCCGACAAAAGTAACCCCTATATGTCACCTTTTCAAGGCGACACAAAAAGTCTGTTTTCATAATAAATGTCTAGAACTTTGCTTGTACATTTTATATTTCTGTTTTATTTTTGAGTTTAAAATTTTAAAGGGTATAAAACTATTATCAATGTAATATATGTGGAATAATGATAGCAAGAAAAAAAATTGAATTCTTACTAACAAATCTTAATTTTTCGGATCCAACCTAGACCGAACCCTTCTGTTATCAGTCTTACAGTGCAAGCTAAATCATCCAATCAAATTAAAGTCATCCAACAACATTCTATGACAGTAATAAATATCGACTGAACACCATGCTACCTTATGTTAAAATCTACATGTACACAATATAAAAATAGAGAACAATTATGCAAGAAACATTCGCTCTTTGGATTTTGAACTACAAGTATGCAAGAGAAAAACCAATGATTTTTAATGAAGTAAAGAATAAATACAACACACAATATGAATCTAGTGAATAATATCTTGTGACCAGCAATACTACAATATAAATCTATTTATAGTAACACAAATCTATATATAGTAACAATCACTGACTGGTCTTCATATGAACAATAAAGAGAAATATACATCTATAATAAACATTTATCCTATTTCAGTACAACATTCTGTGAGTTTATAAAAGTCAGAACTTTACATATTTCAGACATAATAAAACTATTTTCATTTATAAAATAGATCATATATGGAACTGTTTCAAGTAACTTCTTCATTGTATCTATTAACGGAGCTTCACTGAGAGCCTAAAATCATAAAATTTCACTTTCTTATATAGATCATTTGGGGCCCTAAAACAGAGATATCCAAATGTTAATTAAGAAATATACTCAGAAATAAAGTAAATAATAATAATTTGTACTATTCTATGCCTGATTTGAGTTGTGACGTTTTTCAGTTTTGGGTCATTTTTTTACAATTAGAGGGATTATTCTTGAAAAATGGAGTAGGTCAATGATCTAAAATTTTACACACAAGTTATTGGTCTAGACCTACATTGAATGAATGATTAATTTTAAACAGTCCCGTTTTGTCAAAATACCTCAGTGTAGTCCCTTTAAACCTCAGTGGAGTCCCTTTAAAGTTACACAAACACTGTTTAATCATATAAGGAGTAAATCTAGACATCCCTCCTACCTGGATAAAACTGATATTTATCCATAACCTTTTCACACGCCATTGCAAACAATTTAAATGTCAAATAATGTACTGCTCCTTACAAGCAATTTTCATTATTGATCTAAGTAAAAAAATCTGCAAGAATGAAAAATTCTGTACATCATGTCAACTCATTTCCTACACACCAATATATATATACATATATAATACATATATATTATATTCCCGCACATTCTTTGACTCAAACTTTCTCCCCACCTCTCTAAAGTAACATAATAACAATATCACATGGAATGAAAACAGCAAGTGCATTGTTCAAAATTTGAAAATGTGTAATTTTATTAAAAAAGTTACATAAGCAATAACTGTACACAATTAACTTTGAAAAAAAAGGATAAAATTCATTATAAAATAGATAAACATGAAAGGATTTAAACAAAAAATTAAAAATCTAATCCCAAAAAAAAGAGCACTTTTAATCTTTTCTATATATGAAGTATTCCACCATTTGACTTCAAAACTAAAAGTCTTAAGATTTCAAATTTAAAGAAAACTTGAGAATTGTCGAAATATCTCCCAATCTATTTAGTGCCAAAATGCTTTTTGCAAAATATAACTGAATTCAATATTTTAATTACCATATTTCCATGCAATTACAAGGCCAAATAAAAGCTCATATTGCACATTTTCACAAATTTTAGGTATTTCATATGGATTACTAGTAGGGGTGTAACAATACAGCAAAAACCGTATTGCAATATATTGCCATTTTGCTGAAGCGTATTGCAATATATTGCAATACGTATTGTCGTGTATATGTTTTGATGTATAGATGGAGTAACATTTATATATTATTATTATATGTATATATTTTTAGTAGAAACTTAAAGTTACATTAAATAAATATGTAAAAATATTTTGCCGTCGGCCTAAAAAACAAGCATTATACAGTTTCATAAACCCTTTCAACAGTTATGTTGTAAATCTCATCAAATATTGTTAATAAATTAGGGTTTTAAACGGAAAACCCCACGGTAACACTAAAGTTCGTATACGAATTTTAAGATGCAAATGAAGACAATAATTAGCTCGTGTATGCGCTACGTCACAGTGTTATAGTTGCTGTCCGGAACACAGTAAATGTGAGATTTTCTTGTGCAAACACACTTTTACCGTTTTAGCTTCAGGGTGCACTAGGCCTGTGGTTCAGAAAAAATTAATCATCTCATAAAAAGGATTAAATTTGTATGAAAATATCTGTTACAATGCGGAAATATACCGTTAGATTAGGACTCCTGCATATAGTCATGTTTGTTGATTTAATATTGATGTACGGATGATATGAAGCGGAAGTTTCTCAAGCAAACAGAAATGATTATTATTGTACTTCCGATTTCGCCACAATGAAGTTGCCCATTTTTTATGCTTATAAAACTTATTTTGGTTGTCTTGACACCAAAATAAAATCTGGAGTCGATATGAAATTTATTAATAAAATGTCGCCATTTCTGTTTTTATGAAATTTATTTAATGTAGCTTTAATAAAAATGTAAGGAATAAATAGAAAGGAAAGTGTCACACAATTTGATAAACAAAACTAGTCGCGTGTGACCTTTCACATCTGGTTAGAACAGGCCTGGTTCTATACTGGTGGCAAAGGCTGATCACTTTAAATTCCAGCAGGTGAAGAGTTACATGTAAACATCTAACATATAGCAATAAAAAAGAAATGAAAAACTAAGGTCAGGATGAATATAAGATTCTTCCTGAGAAAAAATTCAGTAGTAACTCCTTGTGTAAATGCAATCAATGTACCACATTTCAATACTGTGTCAAGTCTTCAAAATTAGGCCAATTAAAATTATGCTCAGCATTCACCACAGTGTGTAATATAACAAAAAACAAGTGTTACCTGTGTGACTTGGATGATTAATGTCATCTTTAATAAAAATTGGACGTTTTATAAATTCATTTCTATTTTTAACTTCGACAGCCATTTTGTTACAATGAAGTTATTTTTTTTGTCAAAGTTCATCCTAGAATCATTCCCATATTGTTTCTTCACAATTCATGGCAATGTAGATAAGGAGTAGGTATTGTTCTCATGTACAATATAAAACTAGAAAACCAACAATGGATCACAATACTTTACCCATGCTCAGATGAGCTAAAAAATGTTAAAAATTATTTACAAACATTATTGAAGGTGCTAAAAGAAACCCTTACAAACAAGCTAATTAGGTAACATTTACTAAACTATCTGGAAAAACAATCACAGTGCCATGGTTTACCCTGAACCCGCTAGATTTGATAATGGACTTGACCTACTTTGAATTGTGAACAGACCATTATTTAAATAAAGGATTTCAGGGTAAAAAAAATAGCTAAAATTCGACTACAAACAATAGAGATTGTTCAGGCTGCACTGATATGCATCACTGCCTGCCTCTTCAATGGTGGGTATTAAAAGTTTTATTATTGCCAATATTGTTTCCTAAAAAGAAATAGAATCAAAAATGCATGTTAACACACAGCTGTATTTACATACTTACTGCACTTTCCCCACAGAGTGAAATCATGAAGAATGGTGGATTACCATTTTGAAATTGATATAGATCTATGATAATTATAATAATGACAACTAAAATTTGTGACAACATTTGAAACTAATAATATCCAATTAAAGTTCCTGTAAAAAAAACCCATAAATTTTGTGATTTATTTGAAAGACAAGTAAATTCTCCCATCACAAATATTTGGTCCTCCTCTAGAAACACCCAGAGGTTTTCTCCCATCACCCCTCACCCCTATTTTCCTGACCCTCTCTAATTTGGACGTAATACTGGAGTGAATGCTCAACATAAATTTAATTAAAATTAACCAAATCAAAAAATTCATGACAATTTCAAACAGAATAAAATCTACTGTTTTTCCAAACATATAATGCTTTTACACATAATTTAACAATTTATTAAACAAACAAAACAAATTTTGAAAATTAATGACTATTTTTAGCATAAAACGCTACCAAATATGCATCAAATATGATATAATATTTGTAGGCTCAGAACATAATGCTATACTTTATTAACCATCATTTAACACAATTGCACAATTTACCTTTTTTTTTTCTACTTAAAACATCAAATTTTATTTTGTAAATGGCATTTATCAAGAAAAATATTATGATATATGTATATAAATGTTCATAACCTTATAAGTACAGCATTTTTTTGCTTCCTAAATATCTTTAAACCTATACTTTCTACAAAATCATCATCTACATATAGTTTACGACATTAAAGTCTAAAAACAGCCTTTGGTTACTAATTTCTTTGAAATCTTCTGCATCATCTAGGTCATACAAATGTATTATATTCATTAACTCTAGTCTTTCAAGCCTTTAAACTGCTGTTCTTCATATTTTATTCTTTTATCATCATCATCGTCATCATCATCATCATCATCATCATCAGTTGAATGTAGTTCTACTCGTCACATTGATCATCTCTGAAGTTCTGAAAAATTAAAAAAAAATAAGTTAATATACTTTAGTTGTCATCTTTTATAGTTACGGAATATAGTACATGTACGTTTTTATTGTATGAATTTTTTTTCTGACAAATTTTATCACTCTAGCTGGTTGTGCAAAACTATTTCAAATACATCATGCTGATGAATGTAAAAACCACTATATAGAACCAATGACAGTTGTACAATCCATCAGAAAAACACATTTCTGTAATATTTCTTCTTTTATATACCTTTTGTAAAATTTTGCAAACAAAATTTAGACAATACCATAGCAGTGTAGTTTTCCTAAAGAAAAGGCAAATGAATATATCATCAAAACATTTGTGACGTCACCACTGGATCAAAATAAGGCGTTCAACACACTGAAATTCTACCTAGATGTATAATAAGGTGACAAGTCAAGGTGACAACTTGGAAAGTATAAAATTTATCTGAACTACACACTTCTTTCATTATCTCTCAAAACTACATTAAAACACCTTAGTGCAGTAACAGGTTAACTAAGTTCTTCTAAATTCAATAGGAGTTAACCAGTTATTGCACTAAGGTGACAAATTTTCTCTTTTTTTTATTTACAATGTTTTATAAACTGACTTAATGTGTTAAACATCATCAATTTAAAATCAAAGGAACAACTTTTGAACAAATGAACAATAGTAAAAAAACAATAGTAACTTGTATTCAAAGATAACAAATTACATGCACTTCCATAAATTTTTATGTATATTTTCTGAAAGTAAAAAAGGGAACATTTCTACATGTTTGAATGGGCATATAACGCAATGTGTCTTAAAAAGTATATAATGTTGGTGTGAAGGAAAGATTGGAAGGAAAGTAGAACATAATATGCAACATCAAATTAATTTGATAACCAGTCAAAATATCAAACACCTGATTGGTTTGTTCTAAAAATAGATATGAAATTAACCAACCGTATAGCTCAATTTTCAGACTGGTCTTCAACAACTTTTTTTTTGGTATCTTATGTGGGACTGAATAGTGATAATTGTAAACATGGTGTGAATAGGGAAACAGAAACTTTAGACTGTTTAATGCTTTGTCTGCTGTAACTAAGAGTGATAAACCTTTACCAAATAGTATAGATCCAGGCTTGCCTGCACTTAAGTCCCATCAGATCAAGCTCTATACTGTTGGTAGCTCAATATTATGTAATTTTTGTATAGATATCCCTGTAACTATGACTTGAATGTTCAAATTTCAATCAACATTGTATTACACAGATTCAGGGGGGCTCAAGGGTTGACAATACAATTTGTAAAGATAGGGGAAACTGTGGTCATTCTAAGATCTACCTTGTCCATATGTTTTATCAAATCTGTTCTTTGCTCAAACATACTAGCAATGTCTGAAATACTATTGAAATAATTGACTTATTAAAACTGAAATAAAAATCAATGCTCCTTTTTTTCCTGAAAAGTATTTAACCCATATTAAAAGAGGCAGTACAGATGCAAAATAGGTTGGCATTTTTTTGTGAGATTAATAGGATAATTTTCTAAAATGGGTACTTTTTATTTTCAAAATTCTCTTTTTTCCAGAAATGATTAATTCTTGCTTTCAATACCAAAATAACAACTGCATGTGTGATACTTGAGATATAAATCCTGTATGATCACAGTATATTAAAGCTATATAATTATGATGTTTGACAATCATATGTCAAATTATGAACCTTAAGTATACTATACATTGTATGACATGATTATTAATATTATGCCATGTCACATTATTGTAAATCAAAATGAATGCATCAATCAATCATTTCACTTTACACTATCCTGCCACTTACATGAACATTAAAGGAAGTTTTTGCATCCCATATAGCGCCCTTTACTTTAAAGTTTATACAATGAAACAAATTTTTTTTTTCATTTCAAAAGTTTACCCTGTAGTATTTGGCATTAAAAAAATAGTAACCAAAAGTTCATCATAATGGAAAAGTAGTGAAAACTAGAAATGTGTCCATAGGACACAGATGCCCCCACACACCACTGTTCTGTCAATCTTATGACTCCAGGTCAAATATTTTTTGGACAAAAAATCAACAAAGGGCCATAATTCTGTTAAATTTGGTCGCAGCAAAAATTCTTTCCTTTACTAACATCTACACATTAAGGTTGTAAATCCCTGGAAGTTTAAGCAAAATCTGCAATCCGGTTTAAGAGGAGTTACGTTAACAAAATTTCTACAAAGTATATAATGAAAAAATCAACAAAGGGCCATAATTCTGTTAAATTTGGTTGCAGCAAAAATTCCTCCCTTCACTGCCATCTACACATTAAGGTTGTTCATCCCTGGAAGTTTAAGCAAAATCTGCCATCCGGTTTAAGAAAAGTTGCATTCACAAAATTTCTACATAGTATATAGTGAAAAAATCATCAAAGGGCCATAATTCTGTAAAATTTGGTCGCAGCGAAAATTCCTTCCTTTACTACCATCTACACCTTTAGGTTGTTCATCCCTGTAAGTTTAAGCAAAATCTGCCATCCGGTTTAAGAGGAGTTGCGTAAACAAAATTTCTACATAGTATATAGTGAAAAAATCAACAAAGGGCCATAATTCTGTTAAATTTGGTCGCAGCAAAAATTCCTTCCTTTACTACCATCTACACATTAAGGTTGTTCATCCCTGTAAGTTTAAGCAAAATCTGCCATCCGGTTTAAGAGGAGTTGCGTTCACAAGATTTCGGGACGTACGGACGGACGGACTGACTGACTGATTGTTGGACGGACGGACAAGTGCAACGCTATATGCTCCCACATTTTGGGGGCATAAAAAGTTCAACTAAAACAAAAACATAACATAAATCAACAATGGACCTTCTGGTTTGACTTTGGTGTACAAATTGTCTTCTATAGGTGCTGAAATGTCAATTTCTTACACTTTACAGACGAACAGACAGGCATTAACAGTTTACACAAATTTATTTTAATTTTGCTTTTGTTGAAACTATAAGCTTATTGAAACACTCTCGAATCCGCACCTGGAACCAACCAGTACTAAGCAATGAATGTAAAGTTTCTTGCTCAAGGAAACAACGGCTTGCCCCAGACAGGGTTTAAACCCACATGGTCAGCAAACCTTAGATTACTAATCAGACGCACTTACCATTTAGCCACGTGGCCAGACAGGCATTTTAAATCAAGAAAGACAGACAGACGTTTATAATCAAACAACTAGGGCTGATAAGCCCAACATAACATGATAAGAACATATGCATTGAATACGTTAATAAACATTACTATTATTATATCTTATTATTATCATTATTTGACAGAAGAGGGTATTGACAATTGGTCCTAAAAATGTTGAACAGAAATGTACATTATATGTGATGTCAAATTAAATAAACTTAATTTTTGCACTATATTTTCATTTCATATACAGATAAACCTCACATTTGGTCAACAAAAAAAAGCTTATAATTTCAAATGCAATCTTAAACATATAGTAATTTTTCATTACTTTGTCAAAAATCTAAATTGACATTAATAAATTATAATGTATGAAATATGACATCATTTTGATAATAATTTTGCATCATATATAACTTTCACATACTTAAGATGGAAGATCTTAATTGATACCAATTGAACAAAAACTTCAATTTGACATTGTTTAAATGGACCTTATATGAACAGAGATTTGACATTTCCTTTTTTTTTACATTACGTATAGGTTAGTGTTTAATAATATGCATTAACAAAAATAATTGGTCAAGCCTGCCACAGGCAGGCGACCAATTATTTTTGTTAATGCATATTATTAAACATTAACCTATTTAATGATCAACATTATTTTTTTCAACTAACAACAAGGCATTTCTCTAAATCACCTATAGCTCCGCCCTTTCGCTCTACAACATGTCTACACCTTGTCAAGTTGCTAACATGTCACATTTAGATAAGCTAAATAAATGGCCCAGGCACATTTTTTACTGAAATGTCACAGAATTTATACCTTTATCTACAGTAAGACTATCATGTTTATAATATGTCTGGAAAAAACAGCGAGGAAAACGATGCAATTAGGTAAAAACAATGGAGTTAATGAAATGTGTACATCCTTTTAAAATAAATGGAAAATGTGAGAAAAAAATACATTAGAGATTATTCATTGATACAAATTCGTTATTAGCTTCAAGTTATTCACTAACATTTAAAATCCCTATTGATTTGCTCATTTGAAAAACAGTTCATTTTTTTCTGTGTGAAGGGGGTCCATTTTCAATGAGTTTTCCAGCCAAAAAATGTAATCATTGTATTCTTGATATCAATGATTGTTAATGCAGTTTATTCCTATCAAGTGAAAGAAAATAATGTTTTGGTTACTTTTTCTATAAAATATAAAGTTTAAAACAGTCAGCAATTTATAACAGTCATTTTTCTTAGAGTTCAAAGGATATAAAAAAGTTAATATGCAATCATTTGTCTCTGCGTACCCAACATGTATTATCTATGTAATAAATCAGTTGATTGTATCCTCACATTTAGAAACACCTGACCTCGACTAATTTTTTTTATGTTGGCATTGTTTTGCTAACCTTGACATTTTACAAATCAGAGTGTAAACCATACCTCTAACTCCTCCCTAATATAATGCATTATTGAAATTTGTTAGACTGCGGTTAGACGACAGATTAAGTGAATTTTATTTAGTTAGTACACATTAACCAAAGTTAGACAAAGCAGAAATTTGAAAAATACTACAATGTGATTGGACAAAAAATAATGTTGATCATTAAATAAATATACATCAAACTACTACAATGCTGATTCTGAAACAGCTCTATGTAAGTAAACGTTTTCTTCCATTACATTGCATGTCAGTAAAACTTCTATAAATAACGTGGCACTTACTTGCGTCCCCATTTCAGGTGAATGAGCAGGAATATAACTCCCAGCAAGATACAGATTGATCCGACAACGAGATATGCTATTCCGAGGAATGGATTCTTGCCGCCGAGCCATGAGGTTGTTGTCAATATAATACTCTTAGTTCCGTCAAACAATGTTACCGGGTAGGCTATATTTAACAAAAAGAGCAAAATATTGTACAGGAACAAAAATAAAGCTACACCTACAAAAACAATATCAGCTGATGATCTTAGGAATCTACAGTTTCAACTGATGCTTATTTCAAGCCTCATTTGACAAACTTTCCACCAATCAAAACAAATATATTTATATTTTAAGAAATGTATAAAAAATAACCATTCATGTTTCCCTTTAATTCACAATTTAAGTAATATTTTTTATTTTATTTTTCATTTTAAGTATTAATGACACTATAAAGACCACATGGCAACTTTCCAGCTTTACTGGAGAAAGAATAACTCAGGTACCCCATTGTGCATTATTTCAGGCATGAGCAGGCACCAGAGTAGAACCACTGACTGAGGTTCTGTAAGCTAGCTTGACAGCTTCCTCACATGAAAATCCAAAATCCCTCACAGGATTTTAACCCACAAGGAAAAGAGCAAATGATTTAAAGTAAGGGACTTAAACCACCTGACCACTTAGGTCCCCTATATTTTGTATGCATATAAATAATTATTTGGAAAACAGGACATAATTTAATATTTTTAACAATTTTTTTTTCAACCCTGTTAGTTATAAAGTAATGGCTATTTCAGCAGTTTTGCCATTTGTACTGATTAGAATAATTTCTAAATTTTTATTTAAATGCACAGAAATCTGATGGCAAACTAATTTACAAACTAACCATAATCAATGGTAACTTCATACTGTCCTTTTGGGAGACCGTCAGTGAATTCTGTTTGCTGATGATTAATCCTGCGGTGAAGTTTACGGAACGTCGGCAAGGCAGCCGTCCTCATCCAGACAATGAGGTCCTCATTCTTGTATCCGTTGTTGTTCTCATCGTCCGGGTCAAGCTGATACACCATCTTGTTGTTCCAGTTGGGCGGATTTGTAAATCCTGCCCATGCTAAAAATAGACATCAATTAGTACATTATAAATCTTTTTTTGGATTTTAGCCTTTAGCTGCTGTATTCATACACTCAACTTCTCTACATTTAATTAGGAAACAACATTGTATCTACAATGAGACTATAGTAATTCAATACTAAAAGAATGTAGACATTAAGAAGCTTATATATAAGAGACATGTACGACTGTACAGACGACTGGTCTGATATGATACTAGTGAAGTAAGTCAGCTATTATACTGGTAAAATAAGTCAGCCATTAACAATGTTAATTTTCATACAATTTCAATTGTACCCACGATTTCAAGGTCACAGAGCAAATATCTCACACTTCCAAGTTAATAGTTCTCAAACGCCAGTATAGAATATTCACTATAAACTGCTTTAGGTTGCAGAGGTGTTCCTCATATGACAGAAAATTCAAAAAGCAAAGCAGGACTTCAATCTACAGCTGTCATTGCTGATAAACAAAAGCATAGGTATAGACATACACATACGGACATCAGGAATTTCATAGTGAAAACTAATGGCTTGAAAGACAGGCCCTCTTCGTGGCACCAACAATCCTGTTCAGGGCTAACCTTCTTCATTACTTTCCAAGGTGTGTGAGCCCTAAGCACAGAAAGTGACCGCTTGAAAGGCAGCCCCTTTAAAGGGCTATCTCCTTATCATATTGTCTCAGGTTACTGTACATTTAGGTTCTCACTGACTGTCGTAAAGTGACCTACATTTGGCTTAAAGTTCATATCTTGAATACTTTTTTGGGTGGATGGATCCTCATTAAACATAGACAAAATACAGCCAGGAATTTCTTAAACTTTCTGGAAAACACTTGGCAGTTTATATATGAAACTGTATAATATACAGTAAAACAAAGTTTCAAAATAAAAGTGTACATACTTTGTCCACCTCCTCAACAAAAATATCAACAGAAATTTCTGAATTCAGTAAATTGGATCAAAAGCTAACATATAAATGGAAATTAAGGCAGGGTAACACCTTGATACTTGTTCCCAGCTTTTACTATGTTTTATTCTTGCCTCTTAAATTGAACACAAAGTAAACCAGGAACCATTATTTCCATAACCAATATCAGAACTGAACAATCGGAGGTAAAGGGCAATTATCAACAAAATACTTACGATCATCAGAACCATTCTTAGCTGATAAACCAATTATGTGATAATTAAAAACACTACTAATCCTAAACAAAGAATTCATAGCGTTCATTTAAGAATAAAAACCTATATACATTGTATGAATTACAGTATTTTAGTAGTTATTAAAATATAGGTTGTGTTCAAATGAGAAAAAAAATCCAATTCATTTAAGTGAGACAGTGATGAAGATTTTTTCACATTTAAATTTAGGTAAACATTTCTAAATCTGGTTCTTGCTACACAACAATCTTATCATAGATATTCAAAACACCAAACATTAGAATAAAATGTTTGTAAATTCTATTCAAATCCAATACTGCCACAATAATGTCAATGAATGCAGATGAAATATCATAATCTTTAGCCATTAAGAAATTTATGAGTAAATATACAAGGGAGTAAATTATACCAGCCATGTTAAACAAAGCTGGTATGGTTTGCTCCGATGTATTGGGTAAATACTGAACTACCAACAGTATAAAGCTTGTTCAGACTGCACAGGTTTGCCAGCTAGGCTAGCTTGATACTGGTGACAAAGGTTCATCACTTTCACCTTGTCATCAGTTATCTACACTCCTATTACTGGACATGTTGTTAAACATATTACCTATGACTATGCAAGATAAATCAGTCTCAATTGTAAAGTTTCATATTCATATTCAAAAGTATTTATGAATACTTACAACTAGGGTTACCAAACTTCACATCTTTATCAGACGCCCAGGCGATGCCTGTTCTCAACATTGATACATTTACATTCTTAGTTCCATCTCCCTTATATACAAATGTGTATGAGTCTGTAATACAAATTTATCATTACTGAAACATTAATACAACGTCCTTATAAACAAATGTGTATGAGCCTGTAATACAAATTATCATTGTTGAAACATTTATACAACACCCTCTTATACAAATGTGTAAGAATCTGTAACACAAATTATCATTATTGAAACATTAATACAACACGTTTATAAACAAAAGTGGGAGACGCTCAAAATCCCCTTGATCATAATCCCCTTGGTTCATAAACGACATAGTGATCGAAATCCCCTCAACAGAAATGACAGGGTTATCATAATCCCCTTGGCAAAAATAAAGGGATGGTCATAATCCCCTCAGTGGGTAGTCAAAATCCCCTCAAATAATGTGAAATGGTTGGGAAATTTCTTTTCTTATTTTTCTTTTTAGTTCAATGAATTTAAGAACCAACTGCTTCAAGAATTGCTGAAAAAAAAGAGAAAAGCATACAAACAATTAAAAGGTGTATGTTTGTCACAGCCAGTTAATAATGACACCCTTTATTGATGTTATTATTGCTGAGAAAATTGTAAAATACAAACAAATAAATGATAGTTGATTATAATTAATCATTGCAATTATAGTTATATGTAGCAAACAATCAATTAATCTTTGCAATGATAAACACCTTTAAAGGCAAATTTGTTGCACACTAGCTTTAGATCTTTCCAGATAATAACTTAAAATGAGGCTATTAATTGCAGTTTGCTATCTAAAATTACTTCATCTTTGTTTTACTTAACTGCAAACTGTTATTTTGTTGGGTATATAATATGATGGCTCTCTGCAATAGACATGAATACCCAAAATGGAATTCATTACAAGTAACAAAGGTTCTCGTAAGCTTCTGTATGAAGGTTATGCCTACACAAAGAAAAATGAAAATAAGTCCTCAATGCGGTGGAATGCTCTCAGAGAATTGGTCTGAACTGTAAAGGTGCACTGACTACTGATTTACATGTAAGTATATAATCAATAATAATCATTTGGTACATTGAACATGAGATAAACTAATATGTATCAATTGTGCAAGTTATGCCTGAATTAATTTTTTTCGTCTTATTATTTTTTTTAACCTTTGTATAGCACTCTTTTAAGTAAAGCAAAAGAGATTACATGAAAATATTAATGGAGACATAAAGCACATCATAATAAAAGTATGCATAAATTTGAATTATAATAGGTAAATATTAATTTCAGCATGCTAACTTTATGTTCTATTTCTAGGTGTCTTCTGTCAAATCTGAAACCGCGCACAGTCATGCTCCTGACAAATTTGCAATGCAGGCACTTAAAGTCCGCAGTGAGATAAAAGCATCTGCTGAAGCTAACCGTGGTAAACCCGGACAGATAGTAACAGATAAATTATCGCTGCAGCCTACAGAGGTGAGTTAATAAATAAGACTCATAGAAATCCTGTAAATTTCAAAATTGTTCTTTTTTAAATTTCAACATGCTCTGTAAAATGCACATGGGTCTTCTCATGAAATAAACCACTTTGGAAATTTATATTAGTAAGATTACTTTTAATGATGATATTAATGATATAATGACAATACTGATGAATATGTTAAATGCCCAGAATGTACAGACACAAAGGCCAGACAAACAACTGTGAAATAGGAAAATGAAATAATTGAATTGAGTGCATGAAAAACTGTTGCTTTATTTTTACTTCAGGTTATTGCTGCCAGTTCCGTAAAGAGTTTGAAGCAAACTGTGAGACGCGCCAAGAGAGGAACAGCACCTAAGAACCCATCAACAATCAGAGATGTTCCTGTTCCTTTCCCTATTGAGTTTGCAAGTAATGTCATCTACGACAACGAGTCTCCAGGCAAACCGTATCCTCATCTTCGCCACTAATGACGGTCTTCGCCTCCTAGATAGTGCATCCAGATGGTTTATGGATGGCACCCACTCTACAGCGCCCTCTCAGTTCCAACAACTTTTGTCATCCGTGTACATTTAGGTGAATCCTGTGTCTCAGTTGTCTACGCACTCCTTCCGTCAAAGCAACAGCTGGTGTATGAAGAAATGCTGACTGCCCTACTAGATGCCTGTCTGCAGCGAGGTATCCGACCTATCCCAGAGCAAATTATGGCAGACTATGAGATAGCTATACACAATGCTGTGAGAACTGTATTGGCCAGCAACATTCATATCCAGGTAATAAAAAATAAGATCATTTGTGATAATTTATTTTCAATGTTAAATGAAATAAAATAAAAAAAATTAAATGAAACCATTTATTTCATTGCTAAATGAAAAAAAATAAAAAAAAAAAATGAAACCATTTATTTCATTAAATAAAAAAATAAATGAAACCAAATTTCTGTTAATAATTATACAAGCCTTTAACATGTCTGACGTTGAATCAGGATAAAAGTTGCTGAAAATGAATCATTCAATACAACACATGATCAGGCTTTGTATGTATATATATATCATTCATATTCTTGTTTAATTGTATTATAATATGTAAAAGACTATTTAAACAGCATATTAAAACCTTTTTTTTTTACACCATCTAGGATGTTTAATACATCTAACCAAGCTACTTGGAGAAGAGTGCAAGCAGAGGGTCTTCAGTCTGACTACAACAATGATGATGATGTGAAATCCTTCTGCGGAAAGCTTGACGGTCTGGCGTTTCTTCCATGCAGCGATGTGCAAGAAGGCTTGACGTTACTACGTGAACAGGCCCCAGATCATCTACAGTGTCTGGTTGAGTATTTTTGACTCCAACTATGTAAATGGATCCTTTCGCGCAGTCATCACTGCTAATGGAAATATGAGGTTCCGACGCTCCTCTCCAAGATTTCCTCCACCAATTTGGAATGTGCACAGTGCCACAATGACTGACCAGGATAGAAAAAATAACCAGTGTGAATCTTGGAACAATGGGTTTAAGCACCTTGTTGGACATTCAAATCCTTCACTTTGGACAGTTGTGCAATGTGTTGAAAAGGATGCAAAAATGGTGGCAGCTGAAATTCTGAGATGTAATCGTGGTGAACTTCTACAGAAACGAGTGAAGAAGGCCACTTAAGCTCACCAGCAGAGACTGAAAGTTTTGTGCTCACAGTACGCAAGTGGCATTAAATCCCTTGAAGACTTCTTGGGTGCTCTGGGACAGATTATCAGAATAAAATAATGTCGGTGCTATGTAAATTCTGTGAATGTGCTAACATATGTAAAATGTGCTGTCAGAAAATAAATAAGAGTGAAATATTATGTCTGGTTTTATATTTTATATTAACATGAAAATGACAACATTGGAGTATTTAAAAATAACCTGTATTATATTGCTAAAGTATACTCCATACTCTTTCCTCTACTCAATGTAACTGCTGTTTGCAACATTTCTTTATGTAACACAATAGTTTAGCTGGAGTGACAAAAGATCAAAGGAAAAAGAATATTGAGTAAAGGGGGTTGTTTTTCACAAGTTGAGGGGATTTTGACCACCCCATCATTTTTGCCAAGGGGATTTTGACTATCCATCAAGGGGATTATGAACACCCGGTCATTTCTGTTGAGGGGATTTCGATCACTATGTCATTTTTCAACCAAGGGGATTATGATCAAGGGGATTTTGATATACATTCACAAAAGTATATGAGCCTGTAATACAAATTATCATTGTTGAAACATGAATACAAAACCCCCATAAACAAATGACTACACATCAGTAATACAAATTAATCATTATTGAAACATTAATATAACGCTCTCATAGACAATTATTTATGAGTCTGTAATATAAATTATCATTATTAAAACATTAATTATGATTAATACAACACCCCCATAAATGATTGTGTACAAATCTGTAATACAAATTATCAATATTCTGAGTTACAACCCTTATAAACAAATATGTATGAATCTTTAATATAAATGATCATATATTGATACATAAATATTCTTTATACAAATGTGTAAAAATTACACAAATTATGAGATCTGATACACTAAAAGTTTAATATTATCAACCTTTGCATATAAGTACATCTAGAACCAGTTAGTGCTCTAAATTATCATTAAGCACTTTATTAGTATTACTGAAAATATCTTAATCATTTAGAACACTTTCATAAAAATTTGTGTAAATCTGCAAGCTTCCTGCTTTAATGTAAACAAAAACCTTTTTCCTAATGTATCAAAAACTGGACAAAAAGACAGGTGACTGTTGTAGATAGTACTAACCATTGAACAGACTGTTGGCAATAGCACCACAAGGTGCGATCTTCATCTCAACGGATGTGTTTAACTTCTTAGTCTTGAATGGTTCACAATCACTGTATAAACTATCTACATCGTAACCATGTAGCTGGCTGTCGTCTCGTGAACGTACATAACGTCGATGGTTTTGATAAAAGTTTGTGAGTCCATAATACATGTATACTGTGCCCTAGATAAAAAGAAATATATATCTTATATAAGAATTGATATATGATGTACATGTACTTTCAAACATTTATTTGTAAAAAAAATCAGCAATGTGATGTCATCACTGATGTGATGTCACATATGTGTTTATTACTGTTTAATCTAATTGGGTTTTCACTATTTCTTCATTTGTAATAAAAAAGTAAAATAATCAAAGCAAAGCTGCCAGTCAGAACAGGTAGGAATATCCACCTCTTGGATAACTCCTCAGGGGAAACTTGCTGTAGCCTTGTTACCACCCTCAACAGTTACCATTGAGTCAGACATTTCTCCTGTACTGGAAATGGTGTATGCAGCATTGCTTCTTATAATACACATCTGTTTATCTTACCACAAAATCCTCTTTCAACTCTATCTTAAATGTGCATGTACATGTCTGCCCTGTGGCTGTAAGGTTTGTGAGAAGGTCAGCACACTTGTCTTCATTACTATTGACACACTGTGTGTAGTCGTATCTATATTCCTGAATCTATAAATAGAAAATACACCATAAGTAACCAATGTGAGTTCAATTGCTATATTTGGCCATGTGTAACAGCTCAAAGAAAGACTTAGTTTTTAGGATTACAAACCCTAATTAATCTATAATGACTCATGTAGGTTATACCATACATACTTGATGCTGGCACTCTCACCTTTTTTGGACAGTTTGCACAATACATGTACATAATTTACCTATTACCTGACAAGGTTTTTTCCTCTGTGACCTCATTATCTGATATCTTGTTCTCATAAGGGTCTGAATCTTTAAGTCACATTGACAATGATGGTGTCTCGGCAGGATCAATTTTTGGATGTTAAAAATATTATAAACTTGTGAACAAGTGGCCTAAGTGGTGAATTAATGATGGTCATGTATACAGTTTTGATTTTTAAACCAACTATAATTAAAAAACTAGTAAGTTAAAACTTATTTAGTTCAAGCTGGTTCAATCCGTTCATATCACTTTTTCAAATTTTAGAATTCATTTACGCATATTAATACACCTACAAATCTGGTGACATTTATGAGAACACAGAATGCTAAGCCAAAGATGAAAGATACTTTTATTGAGCGACACTGTGTAACTACTAATGTAATATACTCACATCATTAGATGTAACTAGTAGAACAACTCCAAGAGGTATAAATGCCAATCCTATGGCAAAGAAAGCTGGTAAAACAGTGCCAGCTGTCAAAATGGGTTGCCATGCTGGAAGTCTCTGTTGTTTGAGTTTTGTATCTGCAGAGAGAAATTACCATTGGTTTCAATTTTCTTTAAGTATTATATAATAGAATAATATAATATTATTCATGGATAAAAATTATTCTGTGAGAATCAAACCAGCATTTTAAATGTTTGAGCCAATTTTTTCAAGAAATCGTGTTTAATTCATGATTAATAAATCTTTTAAATTTAATACTAGTGGCATCTATAAATTGTATAAGATCTATGATGTGTGCATGTCAACGGTATACAGAAAATTTGTGACATTTTCCAGACAAGGCAAAATACTACATACTTGCTGCTCTAATTTCTAATTGATCTGACCAATCATTTGACAGCATTTTATTTTCTATTTTAAATTATTCATAATCAAAATATTAAAACCAAAAATGAACAATCTATATAAACAAATTGACAGTGAAATCAAAATTATTTCGTGGACAAAAATCAGAATATTAATAAATTATTAATGACATATGTCAAAAAGTGTGACGAAAACCAAAACAAGGAAAAACAAAAACATAACAACAGGTGTTTATTTCACAAAGATCTGGAAAACCTCTTAATTTTCGGTAAAAATAAGAATTTAAATATATAAAAGGGTTCATGGAAGAAATTTTATTAAGAAAATTTAAGCTGAAATCACCTTTTGGACGTCGACTAGCAGCTTTTTCCGCTTCAGGACCCGGAGTTCCTGGTGTACCGTTCGCCATTTTGAAATATTTTGGCGTGTCGTGAGAATTAAAGTGCGTGATATTTATTGAAGGTACACCACCACAAGTTTGTTTGGATTTCAAGAAATCTGACACCTTATTAGTCTGGTTCCAGTCGTACTATTGAACGGAGATAAAAGGGCAGGTAATCCAGACTAAACACCTTATAAAAAGAAGGAAAAGTTCTAAAATCATGAAACAAATAAATGATTATAAAAAGGGTGATTAGTCATTTTTGTTAGCGTTATTGTTGTCGTTTTATAATTTTATTATGAATTTGTTGACCTATTTGCACAGACACTTGGGGCGTGGAGCTTAAAACGCCTTTAAAATCCAAATAAAATGTATACTAGTATTTGTTGATCCCAGCACATGTACTGACCATATATATAAAAAAAACTTAATATAAGCCGTTTTGAAAAAAATCGTATTTCAACGTCTGTATAATAAGGCTAATTTTGCCACAGACACTTGGGGTGTGGAGCTTGAAACGCCTTTTTCAAATAAAATGTATATTTGTCAATCTCGATCAGCACATGTACTGATCATATATATAAATAAAAAAAACTTAATATAAGCCGTTTTGAAATTTTTTTCGTATTTCAACGTCTATAATAATACATATTAATTATAATATTATTATAACCGTTGAAATATTTTTTTTTTTCAAAACGGCTTATATTAAGTTTTTTTTTTAAGTGTACATGTATATATGCAACAAATTTGAGTGTTTGCATTAAAGCCTCCAGAATAATGCTTATTTTCATGAAAATTTTGAAAACATACTGAAGAAGAAAAATGTTGTGGGGATGACATGGAAAGCAATAAAAGATCCTGTATGTTTTGTGATTGATATTTTTACTGTGTGTATACTGACTGACTAAAGTTAATGCTTAATGAGGGTCCATCCGCCCGTAAGGGCACAAAAAGCAGCTTTCGCTGTGGAGTACGGACCCCGGACATGTCACCAGTCATGCCCTTAAAGAGTTAATTTTGAAGCACAAAGTGGTGATAATTTACCTCCATGCAATTTCCACGGAGTATTAGCCAAAGATATGAATTTTGAGCCAAAAGTAGGTCACTGTACGGCGGTCAATGAGAACCTAAATGTACAGTAACCTGTGACAATATGAAAGGATAGCCCTGAAAAGGGCTGTTGGTGCCAGCAAAAGGCCTGCCATTCAAGCCGTCTAACCGTGCTAAGGGCTCACGCACCTTAGCACACCATCCTCGTCGACCCAAGCGCCTACTTTGTAAGGCCACTCCCCTCGGCATTTGTCAGAACACCGGCAGGTGGTCCGCAGTTGTTGACGAAGTAGCGGTTCCGTGATAACGCCCACGAATGCTTCAATTTAAGTTAACTATACCAGCCAAGCCGTAAATCTTTTGCCGATGCCCTGTGCCTTCTCAGCGACGTGCACGCTCCGAGGGGAAGTGAGAAGACTGTGTGTATCCACATTTGCAAAAAAATATATATGTATATAATCATGCAAATAAAACAATTTTCAAACATCAAAGAATATGTAAAATGTGTACTGCGAATATTTGTGTACATGATATTTAACCCATTACGCGATATACCTGGGGTTGCCAGAAGGGGGATGTGCCCCCTTCTGTTTGGGGGTTTGAAGCGGGGCGGAGTCCCCCTCATCGCCAAGAAAATTTTGGACTTGTGAGAGGCCATAAATGATCCCAGATTGATCATAAGGTAACGTGTAACCAACGCTGAAAAACATTTGACTCTATCTCAATCCATTGAGAAGTTGCAGCACTTTGAAATCAATTTTAATGGAAAAAATCAACGCAAAATAGTGATTTTTGGCAATTTTGAGATTGCCATGGTAACAGAAAATTTAAGCCTGAGCATGTTGTTTCAAGGGCAATTGTCCAGTCAACATTTGTGTCAAGTTTGATTAGTGTTGAAGCAGTTTTTATAGTATTAGAGCAATTTGAACTTGTAACGGGAGACTTTTCAATGAAAACAGCCATTTTTCACAAAATGATCATGAAGTAATGGGTTAATCAATAAATTACATGCATTCATTTCTTATTGGAAAATTTGATATAAAATTTATAGAAAATAAATTTCTAATTACCTCCCTTTATTTACATGAAATGTTAAATTGGGTAATAAGTTCATAAATAATGCTTATTTGAACTTACAATATTGACAAATCTTAATTTGAGCACATCATATTTATGAAATAAAACCACGAAAAAAATGTGTTACAGGATCTTTAAAACATTGCAAACGACACTTATAGCCCACATAAATTACCGAAAAGAGGTCAAAGTATGCAAAATTAGCCCTTACTGCGTTAGTAACGCAGTAGAAATATGGTAATAAATTCTGCAAAATCAGTCATCTAAAGCAGACAAAATTTACATTATTACTCGAATCTTGAATATTTCTAATGTTCTTAATATCTTAGAACGTTTTTCTCAAGTTTATTTTTCTTGAAATATTTTGGCTCATCTGGAGGCATGCAGCTTTAAAGTCAAAAGTTTTATTTCACATTATACCTCATAGCAGGGTCTTTCTATTTAAAAGACCCTGCTCACAGGAAGACCTTTTTGTTCCAATAGTTATCCCACACACGCACACGCACGCGCGCGCACGCACGCACGCATACATACGCACACACACGCGCGGGCGCACTCCTAATGGAAATGTACATGTATAGCTTTTATAGATCTTCAATTGGCTCATATAAAAGATGTTTTAAATAAAAGTTTATTGCATGTAAAAGGAAGGTGTTGGAGGTATTTTTGTTACGATCAATTTATCAAGTTTGCTTTACGGAGATAGCTAGCCTACATTAGAAATCTCTGCCTTTGGTTATACCGGTAAGCACGGCACGGCACGGCACAACACAACACAGAACAGCACAGCTCAAATAGTTTACAACATAATATAATGTAAGATCATTTCCTAACAGTAAGTTAGTTGAGAAGGTTCCGTAGACAACAATCATAAGTTTCATTTACAATTTGTTAATACATGTATAACAAACTTTTATCATACATACAAACATTTCATGTACCAATTTATAATATAATTACTTCGAGCCGACAAGTACCTTAAATGGCAGAATATTTCCTCATGCTTATATATAAAAAATTCTAGATTTTATATTCATAAGTACTTGTATGGGTGATAGTAAGAACGGATCTAGATTTGGCTGCTATCGATCTAACCAATATATTCATTACTAAGATGACATAACCATTGTACACTTTTAACAACATGCTGTATGTGTTATCTCCCCTGTACCGTTCATCATGTCCTTAATGTTATTATTTGTTTTGATGTTTGTACTTGACATAAGTCATCAAAATAGCCTGAAATTTGCTTAGCTTATATCCTATGAACAACTGCCTTTATAATGATTAAATGTTTCCTGCTTAAAGGCACATTATGTCTCAGAAAATAAAAATATTTTATTTCCGTTTTTAGAAAGAGCAAACATGAGTTTTAAAACGTTAGGGCATGCTATATACATGTTACCTGAAATTACAGCTCTGTATGTAAAATATTTGTAATCTAAGTAGCAACATGAAGTATAAATATAAAAATGTATTTTGACTCCCATACAAAATACTTAACCACCATAACTGTATCAATTGCAAACGAGCAATTAATGCAAATGATAGTTCAAGTAAGTTGCCAATGTATAACGTATTGGAAATTCTAGCAGGACAACAAAGGTAAAAAACTTTCGAGAAATAAAAATATAAACAAAAAATCTGATGTATAATGGGCCTTTAAGTTGCCTGTATTGCTATTTATATTAACCTGTTTAATTCCTTAAATCGACTTGTCCAACTTCTAAATTCAGAACAGTTTATTATCAATTTTTATGTAACGAAGACGGAAATGTAGAGTTAGTCAGCCAACAATATATAGTCTGGTAAAATTGTACCATTGCACTATTTATTAAATTATAGCTTGGCCTGGATCAATACTGTTGGCAAAGGCTATAATCACTTCCGGTTCTGGGGCAGCATGTAGATTATCTTGTTGTAGCCAAATATGAGACAATCATATTTGATTCAGCTTTTTGTATTTTAGAAACTGTGTAGACTATAGAGGTAAAAAGTTGATAATCGCACAGTAATCTCCCATTATCATTTGAAATGTGTGTAAGGGAAGTAACCGCTGTGAGTATCGCAAAGATGGTGCGCAACAATGCACTGATCTCGAGGGGGATAACTCGTACACGCTTCTTACTTTCTTCAGAAAATGAAAGATAACATTTTCTCTTCATTTTAACGACAATCAAAGGAAATAGAGTATAACAAACGTATTATGTAATAATTGTTTGACAAACATATCTGCTTTTTTTAACAAGTAAGTAAATGGCTAATATATGGAGTAAACACAATAAGTTAAATATTTATAAATGCATGTTTAATTATAGTATAACTAACGCTTTATGTAATGTTTGACGAAACATATTTGATTATTCTTGGTAACTAAATGACGCTGTTCTTTCCGTTAACATGATTTGGGTTTTATTTGACAGAGACCGGGAGTAATTGTGTACTAACTATAAATTAGAGAATGTTATAATAAAACAGTCAGTATAACTAGTCAATTGATTTGTGATGGCACCTCTTGTTAGACCCCTTATTCGTCATCCGGGGACATTTTTACGACGAAGCTGACCAACATGTCTCAAGACAGTCATAAAAATTTAGTGATGGTCAATGTAACTATTGTCTGAATAATAAATAAATAAACGGGTATAACCCAAGATGCTACATGTCGTCAGAAGATAAAAATTAGACAATCATATTATTTTTATAAGACGGTTGTCATTTAATACTTTATGATTTTCTAAAACGCTTTATCTGTTTAAAGATGTAGGAGGTAGGCTGATTATTTGCTCAAACTTTGGATATGGATATAAAAAATTGTATGTGATTTTATTAAATCAGTTTTTGTATATTTTTATTGTGTAATGTTTTAATATAACAACTCTACTCTGCCCTGCACATCCTGCACAGTCAACTCAGACTTACCGGTAGCTGATCTATCTACGTATAGTGCTTTCAATTGGCGCCGGTAAATTTCAAAATAATGCTTATGTTGTTTACTTGATGTAAACCTAAGATGGAAATAAAAGTTTGAATATTTTATTCAAAGTTACTTATCAAACCACAATTTCAAATACAAAGCAAGACAATTCAGTTACACACATTCAGCATGGAATGTGCTTGAAAACGGGACCATTTTACATATCGGCTATTAAAAATTCACACCATTTACAAGATCCTCATATCTCTGTATGATGAGCATGTATAGTATTTCTGATGTTCCAAATATTTAGAAAAAATAAACAACAACACAACATGTAAAATAAACATGTAGTACGGTGTCAAATTGTCTCTTACAATATCAAAAAAATACGGAACTTTTAGGTTATTCCCATGTTACTTCAGTACTTTGAAAAAAAAGGCTGACAAATCGGATGTTTCCTATATATACATGCATACAGTATAGTTATCAACACGAACTTAAATCAGTTAACAGATTATTATAAAATGTTTCAAACTTGAAAAATATCAAAACATTAAAAGAAATAGACTTTAGATATATATTCTTACGGACACACATCTTTTTTACTGCGAATAACTTTCATCAATCCTCTATGGCTTTTATTTGAATATCAATACAACCTTTTCTGGTAATTGACGTTTGAAATTATTTCTAGTCCAATAGGATTGTAGTTTTTCAAATCAATCATAACAGATTTACAAAAATTAATCAGTCAAGTTAATCGGCTGAAAAATATTGTGAAAAATATTGAATAATAAAGTAAAAAAATATTAAAAAATAAATTTTCTTCAAACAGTTTATACATATTGTATACAGGTCATTGATATTAGTACAGATGTGTGTGTATTTTTTATTCAATTTACATGTAATGACAAGTTGCCTAAGGAAATGTAATAAATGTACAGTTTTTTCCGGTAAATTTTGACTTTTATTTCCTATTATACTATTAATGATGAATGATGTATCAATGTTATGTCAATATTTAAATATCTAATTAAATTATGCGCGAGAATTTAGTTCAACAATGAATTATGCATACCAAAGATATATCGATCATTGTTCGGTATTTTTCGCCCATTTCCGTTTTTATATAGTGTTATGCAATCAATCCCTTACACCATAATGACAGTAAAGAAGTAAAATTTCAATGGCAGTTTGCTGTGTTTACTGCTTTACTGTTTGAATTAATTTGTATAATAATCTGACTGATCCACGTAGAAATTTTAACCCGGAAGTGATAAGCCAGTGTAGAGTCAGGCATATTTTCACATCCGTCTGAATCTACGATTTCATATTGACCTCCCAAACATTTATAATGGACAGTCCCAAAATTGAAAGCTGGGCGAGTTCAGGAAAAAATCAACAGGTTAAGGGTTGAAGAAAATTTATATGATAATCATACAAATAAAATATATTTCTGTTTTCCTTTTATGTGTTACCCAAATTGGAGACGTACAAATTAACATAATTATATCAATTTTATTGTGCTTATAAATCAAATGTACAGTAAAACCTGTACTACATACCACTTCGGACTGTAGACCACAACCAGAAAATCCTGTCACGAAAGATTAACACTTTAGCTTTTTTCCTTCAGCGTTAAGGCGAATATATACTTTTTCTGAACTACAAAGAGCGATTTATTTCAGTTCTCGTGAGAGTAGTCGCTACAGACAGATTAAACTGTACCTTGGAAAATTGATTTTCATTGAAACCCGAAGGCAGCGTTCTCTGGCCATTGTTTCTTTTTGGTATTTATGCTTATATTTACTAAATCTTCTTTATTGAAAACGAACTACAAATTTCTATATATAAATTTAGCAAAAATATCTATGACCGAAGGTTGATAACAGATCGCATATAACAATGGGTACATTGGGTTGTATACATGGGTTTTGTGACAATGGTAACAATTATCAAATAATTTTACCCTGAAAACAATAAAATGAAGAAAAAAAATCATTTATATTCTTCATAAACATTTTATTGCACATTTTCAAAACGTTTAACTTATCAATAACAAATCATATGCACAAAAAACAAAAATTATGTTTCCATAGCAATCATAACAATAGTTTAAAACACAACTATAGCACACTCCAGGTTTCAAAAACCACATATTTACAGAAATGATAAAAGCAATGAGTCTTTATACAAAAAAGAATTGAAAGCAAGTGATTTAGAGAAACGGCGGCCATTATATCAAAATGGTAATACACAAAGTATACACAAATAAGCAATGGTCTTTTGGAAGACACGTCCATTTGGATTGTCTTTTACTAGCTATGCTTAGACTTATACACAAGGAGTTATTGTCTAAGAAAAGATATGATCTTTTAACAGTTTTCTATTTTTCATTTGAGTACATATTTTCCGTTTTCATCAGTGAATAAGTGTCTGATTTTAAACAAGTATCTCCTTTTCATCTTCACTGCCTAAAGAACTGAGGCCCTCATCGGAGAATTCGTCCCAAAGTTTCGTCTTCATAAAACTCTCCATTTCGTCATCTTCGCTGACCTCTCGGTTCTCGTTAAAAATAGCTTTAACAATATCAGAGACGCTGCTCACATTATGTACGATATGTTCGCTAACTGTACTTATAGAACTGATGTCACTTGGGTCAGCAAGTACAGAATCTTCTTCGCTCAAACTATAGTCTACTAACTTGCCTACACATGCAGTATTTAAGTCTACTTCTTCGTGTAGAGAATTGTCAAGATGGGAGTTAGGGCTAGCGTGAGGTACTTTATATCCGGTGTCAACTTTCGTGACGTCAGAGATGAACGCTGTATCGAAGTTCAACATATCGTCCTCCTGGCCGGAATCGCTGCTCGTGTCACTTTCATTGAATGTGAGAGATGACCGCGAGATGCTTCGCTTTGGTGTTACTGTCTCGAACTCACAACCGGTTACATTTCGTTGAGCGGGGTATACAGTCGTAGATTCCGCGCCATCACCTTGTTCTCGGAATCTTGTGTCACGATATTTGTGTCCTGGTGAACGATATGCTATGTAGTCGGCGAAGTACTTCTGCAACAACGCTTCTTTACCTTCTCTCTGGTCCATTTTAGCAACTTTTGTAGCAATTTCATTGGCGAATTTGTCGTGACGTTTCATAGCCCTGCTTTGTTCCTTTGCTGCTTTTCGATTTGGTGTCGCGTGAATTTCAGCTCCGAGATTATTTCTTTTAGTACTGAGGTCAGATATAGTACATGTTTTGGTTTTCAGTGTTTTTCTAACGGCATATTTCACGTCATTAACGTTGTGTTGTAAGGTGCATGTAACATCTTTACCACGTACAAATCCACAATCATCCGATTGTCCGGTCACGTTTCTGCTCATCTCAAGCTGGCTTACAGACGACAATTTGTTAATCTCTTCCGCTGAAACAGCACCGCAGAAATTTAGAAATCCGTTCATGTTACTTTTGTCGACGTGAGAAATAAACTCATCCATACTACTATCAGAGTCATTAAAATATATTTCTTTCACAAATTCATTGTTACCACTGTGTTTACTGAGTCTAGTTTTCTGTGAATGTACAAGTCCTGCAAGCTTTGCGACATTTTCGTATTTATTTGTTGTTCTTTGCCTGTTGGTCAGTTTCCTTCTTTTAGCTTCTGATATTTTTGGGGCGACAAACGCCGTGTTCACTTTACGGAATACAAATTCATAATCAGCATCCATGCCCCACGAGCGCATAACTTTTAGCACGCGGCTTTTGGCGGGAAGCAGACGTTCAATGCCTCGTGAAGACTCGTAGATTCCGAAAGCTTCCGGAGTTCCATTTTCTTTGCCTTCGTCGGTTTTCTTCAATATCATTTTGATGACGTCACCGCATGTTGTGTATTTTGAGACTCCCTTTACGTATTTGAGGTTTCCCTCAATTATCATAGGAACTTCTACGTATTTTCTCCTGGCATGAGACATCTGAAAGAATAAAAATGAATTCATGAAAAACCGGTCAAACAAAATTACGACGAGCAAAATATCAAATGATCATTTATATCGTTTTTTCAAAAGAACTTATAAATGGCAGAGAGAAGTACGGACGCCACTCGTTTAATAACTTACCACGAACGAATGTACGTAAGAAATCATTTTTTTTCGACCTTGACACTTTGAACTTAGCATGTGAAATGAATTTGAATTCGAAGAAGTTTGATATTTATACTGAATTAATTAAGATCGAAGAAAAAGATTATTAAACATAGATAATGAGTTTTTGAAAAGATAAAATTCGATTTTGATGTATGTGAAAAGAAATGCGAATGTTTAATCATAGATTTTCTAATTTTTCCCTCCCTAGGACAAGTAAAACCTTTGTCGGCAGGCGACTTCAAAGACATAACAATGAGCCGAAATATCTTGATATTGTTTCGAACATGAAGATGGTAATATTTGATAAAATTTATCTAATAATAACAATGTTTGATACAATCATTTCTTCCTTCTAACATTTCTGTCTTAATCTGATTAAAATTGTAAGAATTTTCTCTGATAAAATCAACATGACAATAGAAAGTGATAATGATGTTGTTTATATGTTTACAAGACTGTGACAGTGTGTTTACTCATGTTTGAAAAGATTAGATTTAAAAAGTCAAATTTAAAAAGCAAAAGTTGAATAATATTTTAAGAAAATTGATTAAGTATGTGAATTTTTTTATCAAAATCAATTAAAAGCTGCGATTGGCGGTGCTTTTTTCTCGGGTTAAAGAAAAATGATAAATATACATAATTTAGTTCGATAATCGATTTGAGAGGATTTTGATGGTTGATTTGTGAAACGAGCACCAATTTTTGACCATTTTTTTTAAAAAAGATTCAAATTTTAATTGCAAAGAGCGTCTGGTTGGGATTTGGAAAAAAAAGAAACGTGATTCATTTATATCATTATTAGTTACGAGTACATGTACTAAAATATCTTACAATAAATCAGCATTCTGCTCTAGCAGACGGCAGTTTGACCCCAAACAGTACAATTTAGTCCTTGTTTAACATAGGTTTAAGTTTATTGGGCATTAAATCAGGAACATTTGAATACGTTTGTAACGTATTATTACTATAAAGTGAAATGTGATTAAATTTATGACCCATTTTATATCAAACAATACGTCCCCCGTGTAACTGTACCAATTCTACTTATTTATACCACGGGCTTTTAAAATGAATTACTAGTACCCTATTTGACCATTAATTTAATGTTTAAGCAAGCATACTGATGTAAGATTTTTCCATAAGATTTTTATTACATCTTCAGTGAACCTTTGAAACGATTTTAGCGGATATCGGTGTATCGTATATCAAAATCATGAAAGACAACTCTTGTAAGATTAACTCGATAAGGCCATAAATTATGGAACGTCAACGACGCAGAAAAAAAGATACAAATGTGTCCTCTTTACATGTGATTTAACATGTTAAATGGTTTGAAAATAACAATTTAGAGAAAACATTTACTGACGTAACTAGAGCAATAAAACTCAAAACAAACACATAAATAGATAAATTAGACAGTTGAACAGTTAAAGACAACCGGCGAGCGCAATAAAACGCATTTTTCAAATCTGTCACAAGTAAATGGGCTTAATAATATAATGTAATAACGAAATGTCATCGGACGCCGGTCAGACTGGATTCTGTGTGAATGATAAATGTATTATAACGCAATGAGTTTGTTTGAATAAGACAAGAGAGTAAAATCTCCAAACTTCAATTATAAAACCAACGCATTCTTTATTAGTGTGTCAAACATATGAAGTGAAAAAAAAAAATAGCTTCACGAAACATAATTGTATATAGCTTAATAATAAATTTTTATCGGAAATAGAGAAAAGAGAACTTAAATATTATAAAATTTGAAAAGATTTCAAGGACAATTATATGAAAATTGAAATATTACAAGGGACGCCTCCTGTGCGGATGTCTGAATTAAGTTCTACAGATACAAGCCCTGAATTAATTCGTCTGTATAGCTTTAGTGTTTAACATCAAAGACCAAATTTTGAAAAAGAAAAAAAACAAATCTTAAGTGGCTGTTTTAAAGTATTATGTATATAGAGTATAACTTGACACTTTAACAAAAGCCTTCCACAAATACTAATTTACAAACTTTTTGTTTCAACAAAGAAGTAAGACCTAATCTAAGAAGGCCAACAGGAAGTATCTTTTACAGACATGAGCAAAATATAATCTTTTTTAAAGTTTTTCTTTTACAGTTATGATGAACAAAATACACTCACAAGCCGTGATGACTAAGCCTTGGACATAAAGGGGGTGGGGGGGAGGAGACGCTAAATATCTTTTTATTTTAACAAGAGATGATTTGAATGCGTGTCATAATTATAAACGTCCATTCATTAACAGATACAAAAACCTCCTTAGTCACCTTGAAAACAAATCTCACGGACAGTGAATCATCCACTTAACGCTGCTGAAATTGTTTAATGGACTTGCCCTTCTTTAAATTTGGGACATTCTATTTTGAGTTTAAAGGATTTTGTAACATGAAAATGTAAAATTTAAGTTACTAACAGTATAAAGCCTGGTCAGATTGCATGAATGTTGGTAGTATTTTAAGTGTAATAATATACTTGAAATTTTGAAAATCATTAATTAATCAAGATTTTCATTAATTAATTAAGGTCTTAGTTAATCAATTGAGATCTTAGTTAATTTAAACTTAATTTACGAACATTGGTTTACTTACTTAAAAATTGTTCATTTCTTAGTACGAATAAAATGTCAAAGAATTTGTAACTGTGTGAGCCTATCATTATAATATTGACGTAGTGCTTCCAATATAGTATTCTGCTATTTCTTATGTACTATAAGTATATGTTTGAATGGAGCATTTGTGCTTTCAAATCTTGTTCTATTCTGTTTTGTTACTATATGTAGTAAAATATTTAATCATTCTTAATCACCCCTCCAACCTTTATATTAAAATATTCTAATAACCCCTCTAGGAATATCATCTATAACGTGTAGATATCTCACAAGATGACGTATTGCATAATTTCAACTTTATCTTAACATATCTGTCTCAAATATTACAATTGTTTAACATCAACTGATTTCAAATCATGATGAAACTTTATGAATGATAAAATATATACATGTATACTAAAAAAAATGTAGTCTGCAGAAAATATTATTATATTATTTTTAGGAAAATCAAAGAATCATTAACGACATTTTTTCTACAGCAATTTTCCATTTCCTTCGAGCAATGTTTATGTTTAGTAAAATTTTATATTTGCTATATTTATATATCTGTATTTTACATGTAGTTCACAAAATTAAAGTATTCGCACAAAATTATACATTTAGGTGGTGTCGCATTGCATTTAAAGGTAAATAGCTAAACATCTTTGATTTTGCCTATACATAAAACTTAAGTAATATGAGTTGTATGTATACACGATACCGCTTTTAAAAGTTTAAACGCATTTTATCAAAGATTCAAATTTAATAATTTGAGTTTAAATGTAAATCTATTTTTACTCTAAAATGATTAATGCACAGTTATAGAAAATGTTAAAATATATTTCGGCCTACCTTTCGTATGTGAAATAAATAATTCCTTTAGTATAAATGGTGTCTTATGGTGTCTATCTCCAACTGATGTTGTCTTCAGTTTATCTTAACTGATTCGTAACACTTGTAATTGAAAAATCTAATGCCTGTTTAACTGTCATTGCACTTTTTATATCCTTGTCACGTGACGGACATTAACTTGACGTCAGGACCGTAACGCCCGCAAGGTATTATGGGTGGGCGCGCGCTGAAAATTGTCTTCTGCTTGACACGCAATGTGACTTCCGTCACCCCCGACCTGTGGAGACAATAACGAGAAAATGCAACTTCCTACAAAGAATTAATTTTAAGACAGAATGCCAGTTTCATTGTACAATTGCAATTAATTAATAGAATTGTGTAAGTAATTAGGTAGAGCTGAACCTTGAAGACTAAGGGCCGTTAGTGACATGTTCAAACACTGATATATTTGCTTACGGATTAGGGAACAAGGGCTATTCGGCCCCATGTAGGGTATTTCAAACAAATATAGGCTAAAGCGTAAATAATCCGAATTACAAACACTTAACAGTCGAGAAAGGTGGCCAAAATATGATATTATTTTAAATCATTGTTATAAATAATCTTTGAAAAGCAATTATTAGGTAACAATGCCAAAACCAGATTTACTAAATTTGTTTGAACAAATTTTTATTATGAAAGCCATATTTTTCTTATTTTCTTCATCGAATAGATTGGAAATAGATCTACATAAATAAAAATGTGTGAATGTGTCTTATTTATATATGACTTTAAATCATACATGCATTGCATACTGCCCTCTTTCTATGGTCGTAATGAAATCAACTAAATCCTAATAAACTTAATTAAACTAAGCTAAACTATATTTCATTATAGAATACATGTATTATAACCGCACATAATTCAGTTTAACCTAGGATCTACATTTCAATAATGTTTTTTTCTTCCGTCAGTTTATTTTTTGGTTCGTTTTAATTTTCTGTTATATCATTTCTCAAAATTTGATATTTTGCCTCAAAAATTTCTATTTATATTTTGAATTAAAATTCTTCACATAAGAGGGGTGTGGATTTAGTTACATTCAAATTGTTTGTTCGAGCACAATATAACCCTTATACCGCAAGATGTAATAAAACCATATCGCCTGTGAAATAGGTTTTTATAGAAACTTAAAGACTTGAAAAATAGGGACAATATTTTGAAAATGTAATCTTGTACAAACATCTTGACTCAGCAAAGATACAGTCTATCCCTTATTCTTTTTTTTTGTAACACGCAAGATTACCAATTGTCGGTACTTTAGAGAGAAATTTACAATATTGAATTATTGCAAACGCGTGAAAAACGTGATTTTATTTTAAGGTTAAGTTAGCGACGTTGCTGGAAGATAAAGTGAAAGTGAATCTTTTTTTAGTGAGAATGAAAATTTGTATACCCGTTTAAGATATCAGAAAAGAGGGTTTTGGTATTTCAGTTTTGAGTAGTAAATTCTTATTTGAAAATCTGCATAAGTTATATAAAGGGATCACATATTATTGAGCCCCAAATTTATATTTTTGTTTAATAAGAAAATTCGAAAATATTATTGTCTTAAAAATAATTTATTTTTAAAAGTTTCTAGGCATTTAATTAAAAAAAAATAATTTAAGAGTACAAGGAGCTAAATCTAACAAAATCGTTGTAAAAGTGACACGTGATAACAGCATCTGATAGTGTCATAGTGTTGTACCTACAGTAAATCTAAAGTGCCAAACCCGAGCTAATCGTCAGGTTCGATGTCGAATTAGTGTTCGAACTTTGGCCGGCGGGGACAGCGATGTGTCAACGATAAACAACTTTGTTATCTATTGTATTACTAGTGTTCATACATGGTAATTTTCAGGTTTTACGACTGTTTTCAATTTAAATTGCAATAAAGATGTTTTAATTATTTTCATTTACTCGTGTCAGGACAAAGTTCCATATTGTTAAAGGTCATAATTAAAGTTTATCTTAAAATCTGTTTTATTTTGTTTATATTATATTCCTGTGGTTATTTTCTGTAATCAGCAATAAATTATTCTAGCTTCTAGTTTACCCAGATTGGACACAATGTCAACAATTTCATTTTTACCAGTTAAAACTGGAGCTTAATGATTATCTCATAAGGAAATTGAAAAATAGATTAGAATTATTCATCAAGAGGCACATTCATCTATTCTTCGCCCAAGTTTGAAAGCCTGATAAAATATTTATTCAACTCAATAAATAGCATATTAGCAATTTGTTGAATTACATTATAAAGTTATACATAAATATAATATTGATACCGCTGTTATAATTCTAATATCTGGAACACTTCTTAAAGAAACGTTTGATTATAAACGTAAAAACCAATCAAACATCAAACAAGCAAATCGGATTATCAGAGATACAAATTTTTATTCAAGTGGCATAAGTAAATTTAAGTGTAAGTAAACCTTTAAGTGTATTAGGATGTATCGACAGAACTTTACGGCATATTATTGTGGGAAGCAACAAATTAATGTGATCTTCAAAATATAAAACAACAGGTGTTCTTATATATAAATATATATCATCCGTATATAAAGATTACGTTAATTCATTTCTTAATATCCTTAAATCTCTTTAACACATTTTCGAAGAAATACTTGATTAATATCCTTCAGATCAATCAAACATCAAACAGAAAATACCGATTCAATACGAGATACAAATTGCATTTAAGTGTCATAAGTAAGTTTTAAGTACAGCTTTAGGATTAGGGGAAACAGTACCCGTATTAAGAAATATATCATTTTTCTCACAACGCAAGCTTATTTAAATACAAACAAGAGTTCTTGATTTGGAACTTGACTTTGCCTTGAGTGTATTTTATTTGGTAGGAATCTCACGAGATATGAGAGCGCCGATTGGAAACCTCACAATACAATTTTTACTAGCAATTCATAATACTTTAATAATGACACTGTTTACGTGGTTGCGTTTATCCCTTTAAAGAACCCCCAAAACAAAACAAAAAACAAAACGCTTCAATATCGCACAGATATTTTTTTCCCACTTCAATTCAATTTAATAGTATTCATTGCAAACATATTCATATGAATATGAAAAGTTAAAACAACATTACATCAAACATATGTAATAAACAATTATGGTTACACAGTTTTAATACTTAATGAATTATATTGTTGCAATTGATATCATGCTGTGTTGTAATAAAGAAAGTACCAAAATATGAGAGAATTTTATGTAACTGCGATCTATGTTGTTGCAAAATAAAAAGCAAAGAATGACAAGTGGCAAAAATCTCATTATCAGTTGACAAAATATTCTTACAAAGAAAAGCTAATTTTGCTAATGTAGCCTGATCTTTACAATTAATTAATTCTTCCAGTTCGTAGCCAATTGGATAACAATAGTAGTATCTCTTTTACATTTTTGTTCCGATTTCTTTAAAATTATCTCATTCAAGCAAATAATGAAATTCATCACCAATAAAGGTTTTGTTACAATGAGTACAGGTTCTAAGATCACTTTCAATGCCATGATGGCGGCCCTTTTCCATAGGGTGATGGTGATTTGTAGTTTTAAATTTGGAAAGTTATTTCATTAAATCAACTGGAAGTTCAACTGGCTTTTCAAACTTGAATTCCTTTTAAAAACACGGTAAACTTAACATTTAGGAGATTAATCAACCTTTTTCAATCACAAATTAAAATTTTCTCTAATATTCAACCTTGCAAATTTTAATTAATATCGAATAACGGTCATCATACGCAAAAACATGTGTCGTCTGCTAAAATTACGTGTTCCTACACATGTACATTTGAGGTAAGGATGTTGGTAGGGGGTCTGACACTAAGCCCTTCATCTTGTTATCACTTTGCCGAGCGACAATCGCTACCCCTCGGCGTTAACATTGTCGCAGTCTGACGGAAATTGCCGAGCAGAAACGACCGAGCTTCAGACAAATAGTATATTGCTCACATTTCTTTTTTTACAAATTTTTATTGTTTTATCTTAAATATAAATATATTTATAGTAGTAGTCAAAAACTCACAGCCTAGATGGCAATTTTCTCACATTATATGAAGGATTTAATTGATAAATTTGAACAATTATTCATTTATATATTTACAACTTGTTATCCAGCCATCTTTCAATTTAGATAAAAGTTGTAAAATTGCCACCCTTATTTATCGTCTGAGTCTATCGTGCACTGAATCTAAAGTGCTTTAATCAATTAATATTCACTTATTTGACTATTAAATAAGAAAAAGGTAGATTTTTTAAAACATAATCTTCTGATCTTCAAGTATATTTAAATTTCGTACTTATATAATCTAGCTTTTTATAAGTGACGGGTCATCAATAAACATGCTTTTATTGTACTTTATTATTCGGAAAAAGTGCAAGGCATTGGGCATTTCACTATATTCACTAAGTGAATGATATAGCCAAATTTGTAAAAGTCAAGGAAATTTCTAAAGAGAAAGTGGATAACTTCGATTGCCAAGTTCATACTTTGATTGCCAAGTTTATACTCCGATTGCAAAGTTCATATCTTTTTTTTTGTCAGACTTGTACATTATTAAGTTAAAAGTTGTTACATTTTTATGTTTTCTAATCAAATGTTGCATTGCGAAATAGATTCATCTCTAAGCTAGTCAACAATGCAGCATGTTTTTCTCACGATGTCAGGTCATGGCGCACAAAAATAGCTTTCATTCTTTCGTCTTAAATTCCTGTTGTATTTGCAGTACTTTGTCATGGTTTTCTTATCAATTTAGACACCACGTCTCTAGCAATACCAGACACACACTTGACCCTTTCTTTCATAGCTAATTGATCGTATGTGATTGACCACTTGATGTCCAGCGTGTTCAATATTGTAAAACAAGAAAAATCGAATGTTTATGTCAATTTAATAGCTCCTTCCCTATGAAATTGTCATTTCTCGCGACACATTATTCTCACATTACACCACAAACTATCATCCGATTTATTTTTTCCGGGTCCAGTGATGCTCTGATCTGCAGGGTAGCGATCCTGTTACTAGGGATGTTTGACCTTGGTTAATGTCCTTGTACAAGATGACACAAATGACACTTGGAGTGCATACGACAGTAAGACAATTATAAGCCTAATATCACTTTTTGTGGAAAATAAAATTTTCTTTTCGTTTTTTAAAAGGCAATTTTTTTGCAGCAAATTGAAAATGCATGCTTGGGAGTACATTGGTTATTCGATCTAGTACTGCATGGGTTATTTATCAGCAACCTAGGCACTTTTAAATGATGAGCATGGCTTTTCCTTATTCAAATCTATTCAAGACTCTTATGGTTTGTTGAATATTCAGAATTATGGTGGTTGGATTTTATTTCAATATTGTCATAAATAGAAATTCAATACGCAATTGTGTAAAATCAAGATGATTGCTTCCCTTAAATACACAGTGCGCTGAACAATACAATCTTACTAATTAAGTTTACGCATTAGACAAGAAAAAAACTTAAATAGATCTGAACTTAAGCCAAATTTCTGAACAATACTACCCTGAAAAAAGTTTTAAAAAGTTGCAAATCTTTGAATTATTATGAAATAGTTTGATTTACTTCCATGGTCGATATATATGGAATATCAAATACGAGAGTGCCTAACAAAATGGAAAAAAATGTTTTCTGACAAAAAAGTTTTGATTTTATTATTTGAAATATTGATAAAATATTTATTTAGTTCATTTATCATTTTCAATTACGCCATCATTTTTTTCTAGTTTTGTTATTGATATTATTATTGGTAATTGGCGAGGTGTTCCGAATGCTGTATACGGTAACACAATAATGGCAAACTGTCAATTGTTAAATGATATTTTATCGCTTTAAAATCATTTAATGGGACATAAACATTATGCTAAACATAGAATACAAGATGAGGTCCAAGTGCTCGCGACAGGAAACTGAACTGCATGCTGGGAGCATGAGAGCGTTCCATTGTAAAATTCAAATTGAAATTAATGCCTTGTGGAAGTTTGAAGAGCGTCTTTTAAATTAAAATGTGACAAAAATGCTGCATCTTCACGAGTAATTGCATTGAAAGTATTTTGGTGTAACTGAAAGTGGTAATTTTTAACTGAAGACAAAATAATTTTCAATTATATTTTTTTTCTTCTAATTTTATCTCATTTCATTTTGCAAAATACTATGATTTTTCCATGAATATCTGTGAATTGTGTTACAATTTCTGTCAAACGGCTTCGAGTTAAACTTATCATTTATGAGTATCCTCATTTCTGACCAACATTAAGAAAAAAAAGTTAATATCAGTTATGTATTGTTTAACATTGTTTGCCCAAAGTGGGGGAAAAGTGAAAAATATTGTTAATAAATATCAAGAAAAACAAAAATAAATGTGTCCTTTTTTATTTTTTTATTTATATTCATCCTTTTATCTGAGAAGAAAATATTGCCACTTTGAAGGGAACCAAATACCACAGGCATAATAATAATAATAATAATAATAATAATAATAATAATAATAATAATAATAATAATAAAAAATAACGATGAAAAAAAAATGTTTAAAAATATCTTTCATAGATTGGTATCAACACATGTTGTGTACATTTACATAATGAAATATGATCTTTGGCACCAGAGGATTCCCGAAACAGTGGACAACATTTTTATAGAAACTTTTTCAAGCCGCGTCATGACAAAACCAACATAGTGCGTTTGCGACCAGCATTGATCCAGACCAGCCTGCGCATCCGTGCAGTCTGACTAGGACCCATGCTGTTCGCCTACAAACCCCATTACAAGTAGAGAAAAAGTGCCAGTAATGACCTATGGTCTTCATGCACCAGTAAAAGCAACTGCTATGGAATCTTATTGTTTCGTACCGTTTCTTATGTAACTACTTCAGTTAATACATATCAAAACCGATCTTGAGCTTTATCTAGAAAAATACTAAAGAAACAAAAAAACAAAAAACAAAAAAAAACCCCCATTTTTATGAGAAAAGGCCATGTCTCTATTTAGTTAAAAATGTTAAACGGACTCAATAATTGCCACTTGTGTCATTTTATATCTGTGACAGTCACCAACAGTCAAACAACCCTAGAAACATAACACTTAGCCACCACCAGATCAGGACATTCTAACCAGAGAGTTTGTGGTGTAACGTGAGAATAATGTGTCGCGAGAAAATGACAATTTCATAGGGAAGGAGCTATTAAATTGACATAAACATTCGATTTTTCTTGTTTTACAATATTGAAAAAGGTGCACATCAAGTGGTCAAACACATACAATCAATTAGCTATGAAAGAAAGGGTCAAGTGCTTGTCTGGCAATGTATGAGACGTGTTGTCTAAATTGATAAGAACACAATGACAAAGTATTGCAAAAACAACAGGAATTTAAGACGAAAGAATGAAAGCTATTTTTTGTTCGTCATGGGTCTGGCATCGTGAGAAAAATGTCCAGCGTCGTAGTTCATTTAAACATTTCAAACTAAAAGGCATCAACATCATCATAATCATCTTTGTCATTATAATAATAATAATAATAATAATAATAATAATAATAATAATAATAATAATAATGTATAATGTATATCATCATCATCATCATCATCATCATCATCATCATCATCATCACCATCATCACCATCATCATCATCATCATCATCATCATCATCATCATCATCATCATCATCATCACCATTATCATCATCATCATCATCATCATCATCATCATCATCATCATCATCATCATCATTATTATTATTATCATCATCATCATCATCATCATCATCATCATCATCATCATCATCATTATCATCATCATCAAAATCATCATCAAAATCATCATCATTATCATCACCATCATCATCATCATTATTATCATCATCATCATCATCATCATCAACATCATCTACATCATCATTATCATCATCATCACCATCATCATCATCATCATCACTATCGTCAATATATAAATATATTCAGCAGCAGCAGCAGCAGCAGGAAAACATAATCATCATAATTACCACCACTACATAATGTTCCTCATATTTTCATCATTTGCATCATATAATCTTCATTATTATCGTCATCATCATCACCACCACCACCATAATCATCAGTACATCATCATCGCCTTCATTCTTATCATTAACATCATAGTCAAATACAGTCGTTCATCATCATCATAAGTACGTCATAATTATCATTATCATCACCAGTAAATCAGTATTACCATTATCACCCACAGTTCATCATCACCGCCATCATCTGAACATCATTACAACTATCATTATCATTATTATCGGTACCATCATCATGATAATCATCATAAGTATATCATCAACATTATCATCATAATCAGCTGTACATCATCACTATCAGCAATTCCAATAATTGAAAATTTTATACATAATACAAAGGACTTCATATTTGAGCAAGTCAAGATGATCATATTTTTCTTATGTTTTTCGATGTGATACTGAAAATTCTAACACTCACGTGATTTTGTCACTATAGACAAAGAAGGAAAAAAACTGGTGTTAAACTGACAATAAACACCGGATAGGGACTACTTGTATATGCGCTGTTATGTTTTCACCCTCGATTGTATAGTTTAAAAAGCATTTTAAAGCAACAATAAAAGGCATTTTTATTTATATTTTCAGTTCGTATAATACTTTCTTTTCATACAATACCAAAATAATATATCACATACACTCATGCCACGTATTAGATCCATATCAGTCAATAAATATTTTGACAAAACGGCGCCAATCCGTATAAGCAGCGTAATGACGTCATCCTAAGTATAAACAAGCTGACGTTATTTCATACATACAAGAATGATAATTGGGGCACTGACGTAAACACAATTCGACGTAAGTTTTTATGTTGAAAACTTGATAAAATAACGTTTTTTTTCTTATTGTTTCTTTTGTTCAATAATTTCTATATCTTCGCAAGAGTAGGGTGCGAAAATCGAACAGCGTTTTACGAAAATCGGCACCGGAAGTTATTTCCGCTTGCAAAATAACATTAGTGATTTTCCTTATTTTATCGTGTTAGAATCGAAATAACATCGGCCTGAGAGGTGTATATCGGCTATTTAACACCGGTTTTGTCGTTTTGATGCGAGAAAATTAACCACTCAGGCCGTACCCACTCAGGCCTACGGCCTTCGTGGTCAATTCCTACGCATCAAAACTCCAAACCGGTGTTAAATAGCCGATATACACCTCTCAGGCCGATGTTATTTCTTAAATATATTTAATATGTTACTAAACAAATACTTCTGTCCCTGTTTTCTTACATTAACCATACAGTATAACGGACTTCGTGTAATTAAGCGCTGAAAATGATGATGGAAGTGATGATAAAGATAATGATGATGATTTTTGATGATGATTTTGATGATAATTATAATTTTGATGAAAATGATGACATAATAGTTGTAAATTATGATTTTGATGCTGATGATGATGGGGATTAAGGTGATGATATTAATAAACATGGTTTTGATGATGCTGCTGATGAATTTGATGATGATGAGTTGTTGACAAATAAAGCTCCCTGCAGCTACTCCAAGTGGATTCCCTAAATTTGTATGTCGCCACTTTTCGGAAGTAGTGGAGCGAAAGGGCAAGAGGTGGGCGAAAAAACTGAGTTGCGTGTGTGGACAAATTTTCAGCATTCATAACAAATTGGGAACATAAACTGCAAATTCTAAAAATTTATAATGCAAATGTTTTATTTATTAATAAGCTGTGGATAAGTACATATACAAAGACAGCAAAAAGAAAAGCAGCAAAATAAATCTGTTCCTGTGGAGTTCAGTCATACAAATATAACATACAATTTTTTTCCCTGTTGCGATTCAATACCATGTTTGTTTTGCTTTAACGTATCTATTTATAATATTACACGTTGGTAACGTCGATTTTCATTGGATATTCGTGACGTTTATATAATTTACATACATGACTTCTGTCAATTCATGACGTAATTTCTTTTTTTTTCTCAAATAAAGGGAGTTTTCAGTATTAAAAATAATGTGTATCGTTAAAATATTATACTTATTATTGCGACACAAAAAACAACAAACAAACAAGACATAACTTAAATATAAGTAAAGCATGATAATAAAATGCATACAGCTTAAAGGTACATAAAGCCTCAGATAAAAATATATTGTTTTCTTTTGTAGAAGGGGCAAACATGTGTTTTATAATGTTATAATAATGGATTTTGAACATTTAACATGCTTTTAAATTTAAGCGAATAGTGCTGAATCTGAAATAATTAAAGGTAGCAAAATTTAAACAAAAAGATATATCTTGGCTACCATACACAAAATACCAAAATAGCTACAATTGTACTTATTATCAATACGCAAAAGAAATAAAACTATGGTTCAGTACTATTGACAATGAGTTGAAATTTGTAATATACCGCCAAACGTATAAAGTTTACAAAAATAAATGCATTATGGCGGTTTAATGGACATCATAGACTGTTATGTACAATTGGAATTACGAGAGAAAAGATGCATTTATTCTATGATATACAGACTGAAAGACGAAAAAAAAAGATGCATTTAGAAATAATAAAGAACATACAAGTAATTTTATTCATTACACTGAAATTCAGTGGTAATTCACTGTAGGTTTATTTCACTGTAGGTGTAATTCACTGTAGATGAACTTTATTCCTTGCCGACCACAGCAAATTTCCCTTTTTTACGAAGGACTTCACATGTCGTGAACTTGTAAATGCGGTCCCTGACAAGAACAAGAAAATAATTCGAATAACATCATTATTTCAAGACTAAAACTAAAATGGCGGCTTCAATGCATATCATTAAGCAGATAAATACATACATATTGAACTTTTCTTACACAAATAAGGATAACTAAAACGTATTCTATATTTTTCTCTAGCTACCTTACGGATTGCCAGTGGTCTACCCAACTGCTCGTTTGTGCCTGAAGCAATGAAACCTCAGAGTTAGTTTAAACATATTTATTTCCCGTATATTTACATGATATACATAATACAATACCATCAGAATAGAAATATATAATATATTCAAAGAAAAGGATGAGAACGAAAGACTAAGTCTTATAAAATTCTTCTTCTTATACTCTGAGTTATACTCCGGACTAAACACAAACTAAGAAACAGCAATGCCATATGCATTGAATGTACGAGTCTAATGAATACAAAGTCAGAGGGCAATAACAGTGCCAAGGAGAGGGAAATTAAATTCTTTAAACAACCGACCGACCGACCAGTCAGCTGGCCAGTCAGCCAACCAGTATACCTCCTTCAAACTTTGTTTGCGAAAATATAATATCAGCAACAATAACGCATATTTCGTCAAGTTGTTGGTAATTTCTGTTTTAAAGCAATTTAGGAGTACAGTTCTAAAGGTTTTTCTTATTAATCTTGAGGTGTGCTGAATGACTTTAACTTGATTTGTGCTACTTAAAATGATTTCAACTTGGAACCGGGCTACTTTAAATGATTTCAACTTGAAGGCGTGCTACTTTAAATAATTTCAACTTGGATGCGTGCTGCTTTAAATGCTTTCAACTTGGGAACGTGCTGCTTAAAATGATTTCAGCTTGGAACCGTGCTGCTTTAAATGATTTCAACTTCTTAAAATGATATCAACTTGGAACCGTGTTACTTCAAATGTTTTCAACTTCGATGCGTACTGCTTTAAATGATTTCAATTTGGTAAAACGATTTCAATATGGAGGCGTGCTGCTTTAAATGATTTCAAGTTGGAGGCGTGCTGCATTAAATGATTTCAACTGGAAACTTGCTGCTTAAAATAATTCAAACTTGGAGAAATGATTTCAACTTGGAACCGTGCTACTTAAAATGATTTCAGCTTGGATTCGTGCTGCTTTAAATGATTCCAAGTTGGAGGCGTGCTGCTTAAAATGTTTTCAAGTTTAAGACGTTCTGCTTTAAATGATTTCAACATGGAGGCGTGCTGTTTCAAATGATTCAAACTTGGAGGCGTGCTGCTTGAAATATTTCAACTTGGAAACGTGCTGCTTAGAATGTTTTAAACTTTGAGGCATGCTGTTTTAAATGATTTCAACTTGGGACATTGCTACTTAAAATGATTTCAACTTGGATGCGCGCTGCTTTTATTAATTTCAAACATGGAGGCGTGCTACTTGGAATAATCTAAATTTGGAGGCGTGCTGTCATAATGATTTCATTTTTGGGGCGTGCTGCTTCAAATGATTTAAAATATAGAGACATTTTGCTTTACCCATAACGCGACATACAAGCCTTTTAACGCCTTTTCAACCCCCCTCCCCCTTTTGTTGTCTCAAATGGTGAAAAAATGCCTAATTTAGACCCCCAACACTTGTTTTTGTTTGAGAAATGTTGTTAAAAAAAGTTGCCACTTTTTCGGCGCGGCCCCCAACCAAAATATACATCAGGGGGTTGCCAGAAGGGGGATGTGCCCCCTTCTGTTTGGGGGGTTAGAAGGGGGGGGGGCGGAGTCCCCCTCATCGCCAAGAAAGATTTGGACTTATGAGAGGCTATAAATGACCCCAGATTGATCATAAGGTAACGTGTAACCAACGCTGAAAAGCATCTGACTCTATCTCAATCCATTGAGAAGTTGCAGCACTTTGAAATCAATTTTGATGGAAAAAATCAACGCAAAATAGTGATTGTTGGCAATTTTGAGATGTCCCCTCGTTGCCATGGTAACAGAAAATTTAAGCCTGAGCATGTTGTTGCAATGGCAATGGTCCAGTCAACATTTGTGCCAAGTTTGATTAGTGTTGAAGCAGTTTTTATAGTATTATAGCAATTTGAACTTGTAACTGGATACTTTTCAATGAAAACAGCCATTTTTCACAACATGCTCATGAAGTAATGGGTTAACATGATTTGAACTTGGAGGCGTGCTGCTTTAATTGATTTGAACTTGGAGGCAAACTGCTTAAAATGATTTCAATATTTAGGCGTGCTGCTTAAAATGATTTAAACTTGGGGGCGTGCTGTTTAAATGATTTCAGCTTTGATGCGTGTTGATTTAAATGATTTCAATTTGGAGGCGTGCTGCTTAACATAAATTTCAAAATCGATACGTACTGCTTTAAATGATTTCAACTTGGAGGCGAACTGCTTAAAATGATTTCGATATTGAGGCGTGCTGCTTTAAATGATTTCAACTTGGAGGCGTGCTGCTTTAAATGATTTCATCTTGGAGGCGTGATGATTTTAATTTTTTTAATTTGGAGGCGTGCTGCTTCAAAAGATTTAAAATATAGAGACGTATTGTCAACATCGATACGTGCTGCTTTAAATGATTTCAACTTGGGTGCGTGCTGCTTTTCAACTTGGAAACGTGCTGCTTTATATAATGATTTCAACTTGGAGGCATGCTGCTTTAAATGATTTCAGCTTAGCGGCGTGCTATTTTAAATGATTTCAACTTGGAGGCGTGCTGCTTTAAATGATTTCAACTTACTCAATGCCATTTAGATGAACTGAGGCGATGCCTTTCGTTACTCGGTTAGTTTCGGCATCAAAGTTTTGCTTGCCATCATAGTTATTGGTCCAGGGAGTATAGTGACATCCAGCTAAGTAAATTCCTAAAGAATAAATCATATAATAAACATATATATTAACTGGATGTGACAAACATACCTTGTCTCTTTTAAACATTAATGATAAGGTATTTGTTAAGATGTCTTAAAGCTCATATTGAGGCTGACACGGGCAAATATGATCATATTGAGGCTGACACGGACAAATAAGCTCATATTGAGGCTGACACGGGCAAATAAGCTCATATTGAGGCTGACCCGGGCAAATAAGCTCATATTGAGGCTGACCCGGGCAAGTAAGCTCATATTGAGGCTGACCCGGGCAAATAAGCTCATATTGAGGCTGACCCAGGCAAATAAGCTCATATTGAGGCTGACCCGGGCAAATAAGCTCATATTGAGGCTGACCCGGGCAAATAAGCTCATATTGAGGCTGACCCGGGCAAATAAGCTCTTATTGAGGCTGACCCGGGCAAATAAGCTCAAATTGAGGCTGACACGGGCAAATAAGCTCTTATTGAGGCTGACCCGGGCAAATATGATTATGACCGAGCGTCCCGTCGTTCTAATAAGGCAGTGCTACTATATTCAGTTTATACATGCACACTTCGTTCCAAACTCTTAATTATTAAGTGTTCGACTCAATAAATAAGTGACAAAATTTGCCTGGCTATCCGATTAAGAAGAGAAAAAATGCAAATGATGAAATGCTGATTGCTATAAATTTCTATAAGGGTCTGCTATTCTTGTATTAAAAATATCCTAGCAGGAAACCTTTAAAGTTGACATTTTTCGGTTGAGAGTAGCATAAATCAACCAACAGACAAACTTTAGACTGTTTGAGATTATCAATGACAGCAATTAGGAAGATTTATTATTAAAAAGTAGCAAAATTTACCTTTCATATGACAACATTTGGCCTTCCACCTCCTGTCTTTATGAGGATTGCTGTAGTCACTTTGAAATCCACCGATGTACGAATTGCCAGGGCATTGATATATCATAACTTGGTCCCAATCGTTTATATACCCTGAAATACATAGTTTTAAATACATAATCAGCATTGGCATATTTTGATCTTCAATGTTCAGAGGAAATAATGGCCCATTCGTCAAATACACTAACTCTTAAAACATTAAAGCATGTACAAAAGAAACATAGTCACTTTAATTTCTAATTTCTGTTATGTCACTTCATTTTCTAATTTCTATAAAACGGAAACCAACGTAAGATCAATAAATATAGGCAAAAATATGATAGAATTTCTGATGACGAAAATTAAATACTGTACAAATAGTTGGTTTCTTGAAATAAGATAGAAGATTTGCACGACGGCGGCAGACTGCATATGTTATCACAAAAACTCACCTCTGATCACTTTGTGCTTAAAAAATGAGCCAAATTGTTTGTTGCACACGCGCAAATCAACAAAAGGCAAAAACATGATTTTACATAATACCTGTCCAATAGCAAGTGGGCGTCAGACCAGCAACCTTAACTGGAAAATCTCGACATTTCATGGAGAATACACGATCTTCATGGGGATTGCTGTGTATACTCGATACATGGGATACGAACTGGTTCTGTCTGTCACATTTGAATTCCACATGTTGATCATAATTGTTTAAAAGTCTGCAACCGCCAGTGTGAAGCACACTGGCCACAATCAGAAGTTCCTTTATTGATTAAAAATATAACAATCTTTCATTTAATTAACATCATATACCTAAGAAAAAGCGTGTAATGGTGGTTAGATATTAATCGTAATAGTATTCGCAACATTCCGGACATTTTCGTAAAAGTACGGAGAACTACTATAATCGTCATTCGGCAAGGTGTTTGGAATATCCACGGTGACTGCAACATGTTTCTTTGAGGTTTAGGTTTAGTAAAGTTTTGAAATATTTTGCTCATCAAAAACAATCTTAAGACACGTCACACTCTGTCCCTTTGGTAAAAAGTATACAGACGAAAAAACATTTGAATATATTGGAAATATAGCCTGTAAAAGACGCATGATCCATCAAAAGCCTCATACCCTCATTGGCGCATTTATGCTATGACTTATAAAAAAGGTTTAGGCCTTTCTTTTATGAAGAAGGCGCTTTATACTTTCACCTGTGCCCCTCATTATAGTAAAATAAATACAAACAAATTAAAGAAATAAATTCACATTCTAAAATTTATTTAAAACAGTTCTTACCCAAATGAGATACATTTCAGTTGTAGAATTCTTACTTTTAACGGGAAGATGGTTATTTTTCTGAAAATGTCAGAGTAAAATTATTAAAAAATGCAGAAACTTTTTGATTTTCACGTATTGTGTCTATGTTAGAAACTGACAACCATTATACATATTATGTATGTATGAACGAAGTTTTGAACTGCAATATTACTGCCAAACATGTATCACTTATATTATTCAAATATCAAGAAATATCTTTAAAAATCCATTCGAACTACTGATTTTGAAATTCTGTCAAAGTCCCTTTTGCTTTATATATTTTCTAAAAGACGAGGGAATGTTTGGTTCAATGCTGCCAGCTTCGTGCCGCTAGTCCGTGCAGTTCACGGGGCGTCAATGGCTGAGTGGTAAAAGCCAATTTCACGCCGTAAAGTCGCTAAATTCATGCCGTTAGACCGTTAACTTTACGGGGCATCCATGCTAAAATGCTTAAAAGTCAACGACTTGCCACTCACCGCTGTTGGTTCGAACATGGACTTCATGAATGATGCCATGTGAGTAACCTATCGTTCATGTAATATTTGAAAGACCCTGGTTGGGAGGAACCGGATAAAATGTGCGTTAATTCACTACCCATATTAACTTCTCAAAACTTTGAAAAATTATTTAAATAATATTTAAATAATGGGATATAAGGGGGACTTCTTCAACACGTTCTATGGCAATTTTGGCCACAGAGCTATAAAGGTATCTTATGTGTTTCTGTTAAAAAGCTATTTTATATCATTTTCTACTTTTTTCCTTAAACTAACTCAGAATTGTCTATGAACCTTTACTACATTTCTATGTAGGGGGATGTTCTTTTGCAAATACTACTTCCGATCAATATTTCATAGCAAAGGACTTCGTCGTACAAAGGTCTATGCTGTTGTTAATATATTTATCAATTCATATATCTTGTATCTGTTTTGTACGTTTTATGATGTTATCCCATTGTATGAATACTCCATATATTTTCTTAAACAATAAATCTAGAAAGTCGCCACACCGCCTTTATTTGCAGTGTTGATGCGACGTAAACCCCAACAATAAGTTAAAGCATGTGATGTCCTAAAATTGACTAAAGTTATTTTTGCATTAAAATACGATAGAGGCTACGTAGGTTGAGAATTTATTTTTTGTTAAGTGTAGATGTGTATAAAAATTATAAGAATTTTCTCTTTAAATGAACGTTTGTGCAGAAAGTCTCAAAATATTAAAAAAATGAATACGAAAATGTCCTAAGAATTTTTTTCCATAATTTATCGAAAACGTTCGACTTTTGATCAATCAATGCTTTGTATATTAAAATAGAATAAAAATAATAGAATAAAATGTAATTTAAGCAGATAATAAACGTTAATGAGAATTAATAAGTATAAAATATTCATCACATACCTGTAATCAAATGTCCTAACGAGAATCGTGTGGTACCTAAAGTCCTGCAATGATCGAGTCTGCATTATTTTATAGGTTGTTATATCATCCTCCATAAAAAATCCCATCTCTGAATTGACTAGTCAAAGTTTATTTGTCCCTATATTTAGATTAACATTTCAATAAACAGGACACAATTTCTTTATAAATTTCTTTTGTAACATCTCTTTTATTTTGCGCTTTTCCTTATAATGAAGCGTATGTGATGCAGGGACCGTCGTCATTTTTCTTTAAAGGCGTTTTGTTGTAATTTTATATGAAAACCTTGTCAAATATTCACAAACGGGTAGGTTGTTTACTTTTTGAATGGAATCAAAATGCATTAAGTTTATATGAAGAAAGTTAACTGCACGAAAAAACCTGCGGAAAAAACAAAGATATTAATTTTTCCAAGGAAAGCGTAATACCGGACGATCGTCGGGACAAGTTGCCGTTTTGAATCTCTTGGAATTTTTTGCAACCCTATCTACTATACGACAAAACACAGCAGTTAATAAATTAACCGAATCATCTTTAAAAAATCATATGTATAACAATATAGAACAATGTTCTAGCGGAATGCCAAAAATTGGTGGTGTGAAACTATATATTGGTGATTACAATACTGCATCTATTGGACATTTATTAGAGTCCAATATAGGTGTGACAGTAACCCGTCCGATAAAATTCAGTATTGCACTCAACAATGTAGAATGATCCTGTAATATTACATATCGTAAGTTTAAGTATTTCTCTTTTCCTAATATTTGGGTCGTTGTTGTATAATTAAATGTGCAAGAAGAAAATTTGGTTGATGTTAACATTTGTAATATTCAAGGGAATATCAGTATTTTCTTCTTATATTACCATCATCTTGCATAACCTCCATGATACATTACCATCATCTTGAATAACCTCTATGATACATTACCGTCATCTTGCATAACCTCCATGATACATTACCGTAATTTTTCATAATCTCCATGATACATTACCGTCATTTTTCATAACCTCCATGATACATTACCGTCATCTTGCATAACCTCAATGATACATTACCATCATCTTGCATAACCTCCATGATACATTACCATCATCTTGCATAACCTCCATGATACATTACCATCATCTTGCATAACCTCCATGATACATTACCATCATCTTGCATAACCTCCATGATACATTACCATCATCTTGCATAACCTCCATGATACATTACCATCATCTTGCATAACCTCCATGATACATTACCATCATCTTGCATAACCTCCATGATACATGACCATCATCTTGCATAACCTCCATGCTACATTACCATCATCTTGAATAACCTCCATGATACATTACCATCATCTTGCATTACCTCCATGATACATTACCATCATCTCGCATAACCTCCATGATACATTACCATCATCTTGCATAACCTCCATGATACATAACCATCATCTTGCATAACCTTCATGATGCATTAACATCATCTTGCATAACCTTCATGATACATTACCATCATGTTGCATAACCTCCATGATACATACACTATCATCTTGCATAACCTTCATGATACATTACCATCATCTTGCATAACCTCCATGATACATTACCATCATCTTGCATAACCTCCATGTTACATTACTTATCAATCTCGCAATAATCTCCATGATACATTACATCATCTTTGGAATAACCTCCACGAATACATTACCCCCCTCCATGATACATTTACCATCATCTCGCATAACCTCCATGATACATTACCATCAATCTTGCATAACCTCCATGATACATTACCATCAATCTTGAATAACCTTATGATACATTACCATAATCTTGCATAACCTCCATGATACCTTACCATCAACTCGCATAACCTTCATTATACATTACCATCATCTCGCATAACCTCCATGATACATTACCATCATCTCGCATAACCTTCATGATACATTGCCATCATCTTGCATAACCTCAATGATACATAACCATCATCTCGCATAACCTCCATGATACATTACCATCATCTTGCATAACCTCCATGATATATTACCATCATCTTACAAAACCTCCATAATATATTACCATCATCTTGCATAACCTCCTTGATACATTACTGTTTTATTATTTTATTTATGTGTCATTTCATTCATTTTTCATTACATTCGTGTAACATTTCCTTCATGTTGCATTATCTTAAAATTGTGTCACATTATTTTCATCTTGCCTTTAAAGTAGCAGCATTCTTAATAAACTTCATGTTGTATGTTACATTACCATTCATCTTACATAACCTTTATGTTACATTACCTTCCTGTTAAATTACCTTTATGTTATATTACCTTTTTGTTATATTACATTTATATTATATAGCCGTCATGTAACATGACATTAGTTTATTGTCACATAACGTTTATTTCATATATATATATATACCTCCATGTAACATTACCTTTATGTAACATAAACTTATTACATTACTTTTATGTTAAATTACCTTTACGTTACATTATCTTTATGTTACATTTTCTTAATATTACATTACCTTTATGTTACATTATCTTATGCTAGCAACATAATGATTTACCTTCTCTTGTATATTACATTACCATTCTGTTACATATCCTTATGTTACATAAGCTTTATGTTACATTACCTCCATGTTACATTATCTTCATCTTGCCTTTTAAGAAGCATCATGATAATTTACCTTTATGTTGCATATTACATTACCTTTAAGTTGCAAATCTTGTGTTACTATTATGTTGCATTGGCAACAAATAACATGACCATCATGTTGCACATTCTAGAAAGTTTGCAAGAAAAGAAAATAGAAATCACAGTAGGTAAAACTGGTACTAGTACTTATTACAATATATTAGTAAGCTAGCCATTTTCTTTTACTGAATATTTGATATAGCACGTGACTTGTATTTAATTTCATTTCCAACAACATAAAAGTAGGATACTGGTTGTTTAAAAAATGGTATTTCTAAAATTAAAATCGTCAACATCTTAAATATAATTAATGTTCATTAAAGATATACTATGCTCAACTTTGATAGAAAATTTAGAGAATATCTTTGTAAAAATAAAATAAACATGTTTTGACTTCACATAAAGTAGACCTGCTATGTTTAAAACTCTGGTTACACTATGAATAGTATCATAAAAATACCTGCCAGTTTTTAAAAGAAAGGACCGATTTTACTTGTCCGTAAATAGAAAACGCAGCTTCCCATACATAGTTTATTCATTCTTTTATTCAAATTAGACATATTTAGTAAGTATTTTATAGATTTCAATTAGTTTCTTTGACTAAAATCTATAAAGAATATGTTTACGTTTACAACACACATTTTGATAAAATCTACTTTTTTTACAGTAGGAGTACATCCTGTTACCCGATTCATGGATATATAATTCACGCCATACATACAATATACAAACACCCGGATCTTGTCTTATGGCTTTACAATTTCATATTTTTTCATACGAGGGATGATCAAAAATAAACCGGACTTTGACTGGCAATTGAAGAATTTTCATCCTATCACTTATTGTTATATATCAAACTTAATCGGAAAACAATACCTGTAAACTGATACTTTATTTAATCAGATAACGCAAATAGCTTGTCCGTAACAGCGAATTCAAACACCATGGTTAACGCACACCCGGCGCAGTGCCTAAATTCGCCTTTGACATGAGGCGCTTTATGCTGCGTGTATTTTACAATATGGCACATTTAGATTTCAAAATGCGCCAAAGCGTCATGTACCATATCTTGACGTTGTCAGTAAAAATGACTTCATTTAAACCATATTTTACATTTACAATCACAATTCAAACGTCACATGTTAATTAAATTCTCGCGTTAAAAACTATGTCGTCGGAATGTCTTGAAAATCGATCAATAGGAAAAAATTGTCAAATGTAAGACGAGAAACTGTTTAAAACGTAGAAAAAGATTATGGCTATCAAGGGAAAAGTTCCAGAAAGCCACAGCATATTTTTTGATTAGCTTAAAATATTAAGAAAGGATAATAGAGAAATAGAAACAAGTAAGGGAGAGACAGAAAAAATACATTTTCAAGGACGTTGGTGACGTCAGTCGCCAAGACGTTGCAAAATGACAGTCGATTGACTGCGGACATTGTCAACGATGTTCGAAAGTAACTACGGGACGGTGCAGTCAACTCTGAGGATCTTAAAATGATAATAGTTAATGCATTAATTGCATGTATTGTATTCTTGGTTTACAATTGTATCAATTATTTTCTTATTTTACGCAGTAGTCTTATGGAGAAATTGTGTCAACAATTTAACAGCCACTGTTCAAATTGGCTATGCGTTTTATTTATTTTAAAATAATGACAATTTTGATCATAGTTGTATTATTATGTTATTTTTTCGTATGTATGATACATTATCATTCAGCAACTTTATTTTATATTATTTGTAATACATAATATAGTTAATTGCATGTGCGATTTCTTCAACAATCAAGTTACAGAAGAAAATAACGGAAGTGTGCGTCATTACAGGAGCTCTTTATCACCATTCATTCTATTACAATACAATATGATACCCACTTGTACAGAAATATATATATAGGCAGGGGATCCGCCGCATCAATAACATGACGGTACCACATATTGGCCTACTCCGTAAATGAGTAAAAATCTGCTCCGTTAAGGAACGCTTGTGACGACGTTAACGTCAATTTTAAAGTTATACCGTGCGCCGCATAGCTTTACATGTGCATGCCAATAACAGCATAACTTTTTTCTTTGTTAATATTTCTTGTTGGTATTTTTTGTATTATTTAGGGGATAGATTCCGATTTATTTTCCGTGTATTGTTATGTAAATTCATTTAACAGGTTAAGAATCATTTACAAAGTCCGGTTAATTTTTGATCATCCCTCGTACATTATATACATAATAAGATAGATAATGTTACATGTGCTATGTTGTCCCCGTTGATGAATTATCACCTTATATGGCCATTATTGCACAAAAACCTATTCCAAAAACATCTTACGGTCGCTTTGGATTTTATGAAAATCCGATTAATGTTTGAATATTAATGA